AAACTGAACTTTCCCCCATTTTGATAAAAATGCAAGGCTAACCCCTTACTGTTTTGAATTTGTGATGAAATCTGAACTTTCCTCCATTGTGATAAAAATGCAAGGCTAACCCCTTACCGTTATGAATTTGTGATAAAAGGTTTTTTTGCCCCTTTTTGATAAAAATGCAAGGCTAACCCCTTACTATTTTGAATTTGTGATAAAACCTTAACTTTCCTCCATTTTGATAAAAATGCAAGGCTAACTCCTAACCGTTTTAAATTTGTGATGAAAACTGAACTTTCCCCCATTTTGATAAAAATGCAAGGCTAACCCCTTACCGTTTTGAATTTGTGATGAAAACTGAACTTTCCTCCATTACGATAAAAATGCAAGGCTAACTCCTTACTGTTTTAAATTTTGGATAAAAAAAAAATTGTTTTTGCCCCGTTTTGATAAAAATGCAAGGCTAACCCCTTACCGCTTTGAATTTGTGATAAAAGTTGTTTTTGCCACTTTTTGATAAAAATGCAAGGCTAACCCCTTACTGTTTTGAATTTGTGATAAAAACTTAACTTTCCCCCATTTTGAAAAAAATGCAAGACTAACCCCTTGTTTTGAATTCATGATAAAAACGTGTTTTCGTCCCTTTTTTCAGAAATACTTGATAAAAATGCAAGGCTAACTCCTAACCGTTTTAAATTTGTGATGAAAACTGAACTTTCCCCCATTTTGATAAAAATGCTAGGCTAACCCCTTACTGTTTTGAATTTGTGATGAAAACTGAACTTTCCTCCATTTTGATAAAAATGCAAGGCTTACCCCTTACCGTTATGAATTTGTGATAAAAGGTTGAAAACTGAACTTTCCTCCATTTTGATAAAAATGCAAGGCTAACTCCTTACTTTTTTAAATTTTGGATAAAAAAAAAATTGTTTTTGCCCCGTTTTGATAAAAATGCAAGGCTAACCCCTTACCGCTTTGAATTTGTGATAAAAGTTGTTTTTGCCACTTTTTGATAAAAATGCAAGGCTTACCCCTTACTGTTTTGAATTTGTGATGAAAACTGAACTTTCCTCCATTTTGATACAAATGCAAGCTAACCCCTTACCGTTATGAATTTGTGATAAAAGGTTTTTTGCCCCTTTTTGATAAAAATGCAAGGCTAACCCCTTACTATTTTGAATTTGTGATAAAACCTTAACTTTCCTCCATTTTGATAAAAATGCAAGGCTAACTCCTAACCGTTTTAAATTTGTGATGAAAACTGAACTTTCCCCCATTTTGATAAAAATGCAAGGCTAACCCCTTACTGTTTTGAATTTGTGATGAAATCTGAACTTTCCTCCATTGTGATAAAAATGCAAGGCTAACCCCTTACCGTTATGAATTTGTGATAAAAGGTTTTTTTGCCCCTTTTTGATAAAAATGCAAGGCTAACCCCTTACTATTTTGAATTTGTGATAAAACCTTAACTTTCCTCCATTTTGATAAAAATGCAAGGCTAACTCCTAACCGTTTTAAATTTGTGATGAAAACTGAACTTTCCCCCATTTTGATAAAAATGCAAGGCTAACCCCTTACCGTTTTGAATTTGTGATGAAAACTGAACTTTCCTCCATTACGATAAAAATGCAAGGCTAACTCCTTACTGTTTTAAATTTTGGATAAAAAAAAAATTGTTTTTGCCCCGTTTTGATAAAAATGCAAGGCTAACCCCTTACCGCTTTGAATTTGTGATAAAAGTTGTTTTTGCCACTTTTTGATAAAAATGCAAGGCTAACCCCTTACTGTTTTGAATTTGTGATAAAAACTTAACTTTCCCCCATTTTGAAAAAAATGCAAGACTAACCCCTTGTTTTGAATTCATGATAAAAACGTGTTTTCGTCCCTTTTTTCAGAAATACTTGATAAAAATGCAAGGCTAACTCCTAACCGTTTTAAATTTGTGATGAAAACTGAACTTTCCCCCATTTTGATAAAAATGCTAGGCTAACCCCTTACTGTTTTGAATTTGTGATGAAAACTGAACTTTCCTCCATTTTGATAAAAATGCAAGGCTTACCCCTTACCGTTATGAATTTGTGATAAAAGGTTGAAAACTGAACTTTCCTCCATTTTGATAAAAATGCAAGGCTAACTCCTTACTTTTTTTAATTTTGGATAAAAGTTGTTTTTGCCACTTTTTGATAAAAATGCAAGGCTAACCCCTTACTGTTTTGAATTTGTGATACAAACTTAACTTTCCTCCATTTTGATAAAAATGCAAGGCTAACTCCTAACCGTTTTAAATTCGTGATAAAAACTGAACTTTCCCCCATTTTGATAAAAATGCCAGGCTAACCCCTTACCATTTTGAATTTGTGATAAAAACTTAACTTTCCCCCATTTTGAAAAAAATGCAAGACTAACCCCTTGTTTTGAATTCATGATAAAAACGTGTTTTCGTCCCTTTTTTCAGAAATACTTGGTGAACTGATTTCAAATTTCGTTTATTGCTTGACCCTGATATATTACACAAGTCTGTTGAATTTGAGTGAAATCGTCAAAAAAATACAAAATGATATTATCAAATCAACGTTTTGTGTTCAGCGCGGGAAATACATTAAAGTCAACGTTCATGCAAAAAAATGCAACAGGCCCGTTTTCCCGGACAATAATTCATACGTGTTGTATTGACTTACAATTTCGTCAAGTGATTGAACATGATATATAACACAAGTCTCTGGAATTTCCAGAGAAAACGTCAAAAATCAAAATGTTATAACCAAGCTTACTTTCTTGCAACAAAAGCAACAGACTCGTTTTCCGGACAATAAATAAAGAAAATCTTGTTGTTATGATTTGAAATTTCCTCAAATCATTGGACATGATAGCCTATATATAACACAGGTCTGTTGAATTTCGAGATCAAATGTCAAAACATCGAATCAACTTAGTGTGTTCTGCGCGGAAAATCGTAATAATCGTAATAAAAGTCAACTTCCATGTAAAATGTAAAATATTACACACAAGTTGTTTATTTTTTTTTTTACACAACTGGTTGCTAGGTTCATATAGTACTCAGCCGATATTGACTTGTAATTTCCCCAAATGATTGGCGCTGATGTATAGCACAAGTCTGTTGAATTTCAAGAGGAAAAAAAATAAATAAATAAATAAAAAAAATAAAATAAACGAAACAAGATAGTTTGTCAGCGCGGAAATTACAATCCAAATGAACGTCAACTTTCATTCTTCTTTTAAAAGAGGGCGCGCTTCACTAATAGTGGTCACCACCCTAGAAGAAACCAGTTAAAGTATTGTAGACTTGTATAATCTGCTACAGACCCCTGTGATAAAAGGAAATCGTTATTCATTGGTGATAACAACAAGTACATTAATGTAAGCTCTAATTTTGATATAGTGTATGTGCTTTTAATTTTTTTCCACTATCTTTGAGGCCTCTGGGCACTTGTCAAAATTGATGGGAACTAAATTTGTTCAAGAAATCCTTAATTTTTTAAAGAACTCACAGCCAAAATAAAACAAAACGGTCAGTCAGTAGCTCAGTTTATCTCTCTTTATTTGTCTAAACCTTTCTACGAATTACTCCTATAAACAAAAACATTTATTTCATTTCACATTAAAAAAGTATGTGCAACATTTAATTTTGTTTCGCGTCAAGGTGATAAACAAGTATTCTAATCTGTAGCGATTTTTCTTTTTGGAATAAAAGAAAAAATACATCAGCATGACAGATGAAAAACATGGACGGAGTAAGTTCCGTGCAAAATCATTTAGGCCTATGGCTTTCAGTTCACACGGATAAAGTTGATGTAAAGACTTGTAATTAAGTTAGATCAAAGAACACGGGCAAATACATAACATCACTCAGAATAACCTCTTAATTGCAACAAATAAAAACACGACAGAAGATCATTTAAGTTACTAATTTTTAAACTTTCTATATAAAAACAAACCTCATTTTGTACAATTTCAAAATTTCCAAAATTTACACAAATCCAAAGAAAAAAATAAAAGAAATACACTGAAGGAAAAACCTGAGTAATCAAAGACACTTCATCTGATAATTCAACATTAAAACAATGAAATTCTCAATCACCCGACATTGATTTGAAAAACCTAAAGAAATACACAACCACCTTGAATATTCGTGGAAATACTACTGTAGTGTTGAATATCAAGGTTGAATACAAAAAGTCTTGATGCGTAGTCAGCACAGCATAATTATTTTTCTGACTTTCACATTTTCTTTCATGCAAAATAAATAACGGACGTTTTTTTTTTAAATCCAATTTGATCTCGTATAAACATCTTGATGGCCTACTCTTTGTTCAAATTTTCTTTTTTAAATACTGTGCATAATCTGTTGTTGGAAATGGACGGTGATGAAAAGATTTTATTTCAAAAACAAAAATGGACGATTGGAATTTTGGACGGAATAAAAAGCTTGCAAAAATATACAAAAAGTTGATCATTTGGCTTGAGGTTCATATTTCCCGTAATCAAATTTTAATTGCTACTTTATTTAATCACACACAGAGCAGTTGTAAAAATATAGCGTGTGCATCTCTGAGTATTAAAAATAGTTTATAAACAAGATTGAACGAATATGTATAATTCCATTAAAGACTTCAAATTGACATCAAAATGTCGATAACGTTAAAAAAAATTAATCAAGGAATGAATCGTATTTTTAAAGCGACAGAGCTTAATTTGTAATACAAGGTGATGAAAGGTATTTACAGCTGCATACGGAAAGTCCATTACATCTACTTAAAACAAACCACGCTATTTTCCAAACCTTGTGTCACTATTCCATCTGAACAAAACCTAACTCCTAGTTGGACTTTCTCTGTGGAAATACGCCCTTCTTTAATAATAACTTAGTTACAAACTTCGTTACAAACTTCAAATTTATGTCACGATCACAAATTTGTTTTAACTTTTACCGGTACCATATTCTTTCCCCTTCTTTCCTTGAGTTCTGGAAATAGCGTATAGATTTAGACTTCCAAGCGAAAGTATTTTCCCAGTAAATTCTTTAACAATTTCATAAGGCAACTTAGTCCTGCACAAGTCTAACAGGTTTTCAGGTTAGTTTTTGTTCAATTGTGTCATTACTTGGTCATTATGTGAAAACATTCCAAAGATTGAAAAGATGGTCGTCTCAGTGTTTGCTGCCTTTCCCCCGGATGTAGGACTGCAGCTGCTGTTGTTTCTCCTCCAGCTGGCCCCGGTAGGCGTCCAGCTTCTTGGAGATGGTGTCCCGTCGGATGGTCAACGAGGCCAGCCTGTCCTGGGCAGCGGTCAGTTTGGCCGTGGTCTCCCGGATCAGTGCCGGCTAAAGATGAAAATCACAAGCAAGAACATTGGGAAAAAACCAAATCAGTCATGGGTCCTGGATTCTGTGAAGAAGTCCCTCTCAATGTCAAAAGCAAAAGTAGAACAAAAAGCTACTCTAATAACTTTTTTCCACATTCTGTATCTCTTTGGAACTCCTTGCCTAGTGGCTGTTTCCCTCCATTCTATGATCTAGCCTGTTTTAAGAGGAATATCAATTCCTACCTCCAGCTTTCTTGATTTGTTTAAGTGTATTTTTCTTTTTTTCCAGCCCTTTGCCAAGAGTGGCTTTTGAAGCCTTGCTTGGCGTGATTTTCCATTAAAAAAAAATATATTGATGGACACCTTCCCAACACTGATGCAGTGCTTGGGATATCCTCTCATATAAAGACAACACAGCAGGGTGTGGCCACACCTCCTCCATAGTGGAGTCGATTTTTTTCCCCGTAGCCATCTCTCACTGATATTCTCAAACCTTGGCAGGCCCCATTAGGGTGTCACATGAAAATTGACTCCTATAAAATCTGGACTTCTTTAATGTCTTTTTGGTAAAACCCTCTCACGTGACCAGTCACTCTCCTAATTATCTTCACGTAGGCATGCGCAATGCTACCAATGAGTCCATATTTCATAGAGTCTTAAATTCATGCTACGCCGGCTTGAACTGTGTTTTTGGAACTAACCGACTTATTTTCGATGTCGTGAAATCAAAACATTGTGCGATTACACAATGTGCCAATATTGCTACCAGGTATCATTTCAAGGCAGTATATCAGCCTTCCAGACGCACAATGTTGAGAATGACCAAGTCCCGAGCGTTTGGAGACATTTCATTATTCCAGCTATTTTGGTTATGAGTTTGGCATCTACTCACCTCTGACTCGTCATACTGGCCTTCCCTCAGTGCCTTCTGGGCCTCAAGCTCCTGGGACATGGACTCCATGGCTTCCTGCGTCTCCACCACCTGGGTGCTGAGGGCAGAGAACTCCATGCTCATGCCGTCCACCTTGTCCTCTAAGGAGTTCACCTCATCCTGCAAAAACGTAAACACGGTTAAGTGTTGTGGTGGAGTGTTAAGTAGGGAAGTATGTTTGCGGATGCACCTCGGACAAATCTCTTTTTTTGAGAAAGTGTTGACTCTGGAGAGAGCCAGGGGTGAGAGTAAGGTCAGGACGTTTCGAACAGTATACTCTGTTACCTCAAAATTTCACACTCCAAAGTGTGACACTTTTCCCGTCCCTGTTACCTCTGAATTTTGTCTTTTGCCATTCAAGTGTCATCGAAGAATGACTAATTCTATTTGTTGGTTACGTTGTTTGCTTAATCACTCTTGGAGGAAGAATACATGCATCAGGAATTACAAAATCATAGATATCAGATGTAACAGTGACAGGGAAAAGTGGACCCCCAATTTATAGAACGACCCAGATTTAACACGCACAAGTTGACTAGAGAAAGGGCTTTAGTACCTACTGACTAGAAATGAGGGTGCTTTTGATTTGCAATGAGAGCACAAGTGACTTACAATGAGGGCAATAGTGACTATTTATTGGCATACAGGACACTAGAGAATAGTGACTGGACATCAGGGCACTAGTGAATATGGACTGACAATGAAGGCACTAGTGACTGTTGACTCACACTCAGGGCAATAATGACAACATGGCGCCCCATGAGGGCACAACTGAATTCTGACTTGTAATGAAGGCACTAGTTGCTACCGACTATCAAAACAAAAAGACAGGTTTCAATATTGGTTTTGACTAGACATCAAGGAACTGGTCTTTCATAATACGCCATCCGTACTACAGGAACAATCAACCAAGTTTTGATTCTCAGGCATGCAACTGGGAATTTAGAAAAAAAATTAGGAAATTCCAAACCACAAAAGACTTTGTACAGTGTTTTTCAATTTATAATGGCATTCATGAGAAGTAAAAAACACGAGGAAATCAGCGGATCCGAGGAAAGATGCATGCTTGGATTCAATGGTAAGAGAACTTTCAGAGTTATCGTTGATTCCAGGATATCACAACAAAATCTCTACCTGTAGGATGTTCTTCTGCAGGTCCTGTCCCTTGGAGGTCTTCTTGGATGATTCCTGGGCCATCCTCTCCCCTCTTGGTTCAGCGACGGTCTGCCACAGCGCGGTACCACTCAGCTCTCCAGGCAGTTGCTCCATGGCCTTCTGGGCCAGCGTGGCTGCCGTGGGGCCGGCCTTGGTTGACGGGGCCGGGGCTCCTGTCAGGGTGGCAAGGCGGCTGTCCACCGCAGTGTGGGCGCCGTGTTGCCGCGCTAGGGCCATCTTGTCCTCCGGTGAGCCCAGGAGGACGCGCATCTCCTCGTTGGCTGCGAAGCCGCCGTACTTGGACAATCTGTGGCGGAAGCAAAATGGGAAATAATGAGAATGTGACATGATGCCAAAACAAACAATCTGTTTAATATTGTCAGACTAAACACACTTTCCCAACCACCCTAACCAAAAAAATAGTAAATAATAATAAATAATTTGTTTATTTTTAATTAATTTAAAAAAAAAAACCCAAAACAACGTTTTGGCTGGTGTGTCAAAATATCGACATTTTTTTACTAAGTTTTGTGCCAGAGTTAAAGTGAAGTTGTTTATAAGTTAAGGAGAAGCTGAAAGTCAAAACACGATACAAGGGATGACTCCACTTGTGATTTGACTTTTTAAGGACTTGATTGCAGCTTTAAAAAGCATTCGCCACAACCAAGTGGAAAGTGGCTACTCCTTATACCGCCCCAAATTGCTCCGGCACTGTATGATTTTTTTTTTCTTAATTCATCATGGGGTTCATTCAATGTACGGCTGCATCCGAATCAGCTGTCTAGAGCTAGGTCTAGGTCTGCGCCCATTGAAAATACGCGGGGACGCGCTGACAATAGACGTAGCCGTAGCTATGGAAGCCCGTTTCGGACACGGCCTAATACATGTACAGTGTATCATAGGGCTTTGAATGACCCACGTGACATGGCCTACATCTGAGTACCGGCAAGTCAGCGTTGACAATTGTAGAAGGCAAAGATCGTATAGCGCCACGTGCAGTAGGTAGTAGGCAAGCCTTCCAAGCTGTGATGGATGGCAAAAACTGTGACAAACATGTGCAGCCAACACCCTATGCTGGGTCTGCACGAATATGACAACTGCACTGGTAGTGACCTTTATGCCATATGATCACGAATTCACAGTTATGTTACGTGACGATTAGGCCCTACTTTCTAGTTTACAATGCACGACGTTTGCCTACTGCAATGGTGGCTGATCACGGGTAAACCGGATGGTCACATGGTACTCTGACGTCAAACGATCAGAACCTCTACAAGTACTAAAAGATTTATCCCCTTATCATTTCTACCTCTTATGGAGGTCCTCATCGGCCATATGCACCCCGTCAGCATCGGTTCCTCTCAGCAACTTGACGTCCAAGAGTTTCTCGATCGTCTCATCCCTCTCCGCCTCCGTCTCGGCTCCGCCCATCAGGGCAGCCAGGACCTTCTGGCCACTCCCGGCTGCCTCCGGGCTGTTGTCCCCTGGGGTGGGGAGGTTGGCCGCGTGACGGTAGCGGGCGAAGAAGAGGTCGTTGCAGACGGCCGAGAGCGCCTGGTGGAACTCCCGGTTGAAGCCCGACGAAGTGTCATCACGCATGTCACCTGGGGTGGAAGCAAAAGATTTCTGAATCAGGCAAACGTTTGATCAAATTGCTTCAATGAAAGCAGTTTTGTATTTTTGATACAGGTATTCCAACATAGCAGTAACTAGCTAAACTTACTTATTTCAAAATTCAATCAGAATTATCATTTCCTACTAGCATGACGGCAAAAGCAACCTGGTGTCCTATTTGACCAGTTCACACAATTGTTCTTCGGCATTCTTTGAACTTGTTGCAGCATTCATAAAATGACAGAGAGTTAAAATGGATACTTTTCATATTACGGGTGCATTTGTCTCATGCATAGAGCCCACAGGTTTGTGCACATCACAGTTCAATATCGGTCCCATAATCCCATTTATCCTTTGACATATGTGCACTCACACCAGTGTATGTGTGCAAAATATCTCCTACTGTCTCTCGTGAGTTCACAGCACCATTAACATTTTCTGCATGGTATGGAGTTCATAGTATAATAATAACTCCCGGCTGCATGAGTTCGTGATGGATAAGCCATCTTCAAAGCCGTTGGGGTATAACCTCCAACGGAAAGCCTGGGTCCGCCTCAATCGTCTGCGCACCGGCTGGGCCAAGGCACGCAGCTTTCTTCACAAAATCAGAACAGATGCCAGAGTGACAGCCAGTAAACTGTTCACCATATTGCCGCTGATTGCCCAGTATTCAGCCCTCCGAATGGCAAACAGGGACTAATCAATCTCGACGATGTCATCCTTAACTGGTTGCAGACGGTGAACTTACCATTGTAATGATCATGCTGTTGATCCATGCGAAAGAAGATGATAATATTAATAATAATTGTGCTTATATAGCGCTCTCCATCATATCAACGATGTCAAAGCACTTTACAATTATTCCCCCGTTCATCAGGCCATGGGACCACGTGGCAGCCGATATCAGCGCTCAATCAGTCCTCGACCCTCACAGGTACCCATTTATACTCTGGGTGGAGAGAGGCAATTGTGATTAAGTGTCTTGCCTAAGGGCACAAACACCATGTTCCTGGCAGGGTTCATACCCACACACCTTCGTACATGAGTCAAACACCGTAACCACTGGACCATGGCGTTCTACGGACCCACGGCGTTCTAGATTAGACTGTCAATGCTGACAATAACTTACCAGTTTTGATGTGAGCCAGAGCATGGATGAGTACCAACATGAAGTCGCCGACCATGTCCAGCCGCGCATGCCTGACGTACAGGATCCTGTTGGCGTCATCGTAGTGGTAGGAGTTGCGGTACGCGTTGCGGGACAGCTTGTCGTTGACGGGAATGCCTTCGGCCAGAAGCAAGGTGACCGGGTGGTGACCACAGCGCATGGCTACCAGGCGCACCACGAAGCAGCCGAACTTGTAGATGACAAAGTTGCGGGGGCTGAGCTTGCTCAGGTCCAGGGGGACTAGCTCCGTGTCTTTGGTCCAGCCCGCGTCTTGGTCGTCAACGAACGGTTCGTCTGGAATAAAGTTGGAAATTAAACATTAGTTTTACTTTTGATGAAATTTGGGGGTAAAGCAGATTTTGTAATTATGTGCATTCTCTCTTGTATTGAAACCACAGGTTCTGAGCTATTTGGGGAGTATAGTTGAATGATTTATTTATTTTGAATTCTCGCTGTTAAAAGTGCATCTGTAAGATATTTTGCTTTTTGTTTGAAGCGACAAAATTGCTCAAAATCTTAAGAAGGGAGCATAACAAACTGAACTAAGTTTCAGCCTTGCGGATACTACACATTATGAGAAAACCGTGCACAATTTCTTTGGGTCTCGTACATGTATTCTATTGATAATACACATAAAACCTGTGCCCGTGCACACATTTACCTAAACCACATTTAATGATTGTTTTCTTCCGAATGATACCATCTGAGGCGGAATAATTGCACAGGGTATTTGGTACCAGCCCTATCTTCACTTTGAGCAAGGATTTTCTCGTTAAATCGGTAGGTACGTTTCCGGGGAAATTGGAAATGTTCCTACATACCTTTAAATTCTTTCTGAAAATCAAACCTTGGTTTCTCAAATTGCACAGGCACTTTAAGTGTGGGAGCCCGTAGAAACACAAAGCAAAAAGGAATATTAGCAAAACAATCCTAAAATGATTGGATACTCTAGGGGAGATATTGTAACAAAAAAGGACGTATTATTACAAAAGTAGCTGGCTTGACTCGTGACTCAATTTGTTGGGTTGTGTAAGATATGAAAAATCCTTTACCTTGTCCTCGTTTCTTAGGCGGCAGGTCGGCATCCTCCATGGTCCTCTTGATCTCCTCCAGTTTCTTGTAGAGAGGAGAAGCCATGAGTAAGGCAGCCAGGTCGGCGTCGCTCAGTGGGGCTGCCGAGGCGTAGCCCGCAGGGAAGCCCCCAGCTGCGTGCTGCTGCATGCCCTCATAGGCAAGGCCGGCATGAGTTGGCTCGCCGGACAGGAGATGGTCCGTGTCCACACACTCCTTCAAGATGGTCACCTGGTGAGGATGATGGGCAACAAAATGAACAGGAGTTTAGTTCACTCGAGAGGTAACACACTACGTATACAGTGTTTATACGTCGGTGAAGGGCAAAACCTAATATTGATTTACATCACCCCGATGCAAATTCATCTTATGAATAGTTTAATGAGGTACCCGCTGCTATGTACCTCAGATTCGAACCAGCCAACCGATCCCGTAAGCTCGGTGGTCGAGTGGTAAGACATCTGCACTAGAAAGCAGGAGGTCAGTCCCACCCGAATGATGTTTTCCAAATTTCACTCAGGAGGTAAAACACTGAGTATTCAGTGTTTATACGTCAGTGAAGGGCAAAAACCTAAAATTGATCACCCCGACGCAAAAATTCCATCTTATGAATAGGAGTTCGGTATATAACAATGACAAATACAAAAAAATGACTGGAGCAGGATTCGAACCAGCTACCTTTGGAACACCGTATCTAGTGCTCCACCAACTGAGCTATCCAGCCTTATGTTGGTGCTTTCCCAATGTTTCAATGTTTTTGTTCATGCGGGCGTCAGTCAGAAGGAATAAATATGTACGTGCCATATGGCCAATGGCCATTTGAATAAGTGGCGTTAAAAAGTTTAAAACAGAGAAACTGCCTGTGCAAGGTTTTGAGGTTCTGCATTTCTTGAATTGATACATCTCTACAAACTGCCTATTACATTTCCTTTTAGGGCAGATTTACGGTCTGAAACTTTTACAGTATATTTCAGACACTGAGGATCACATATTTGCCAAAACAAAAATGCAAATCTGCCAGTTCAACAAGAACTATGGCTATACGGCAAGTCAACTATCTTCCCTCAAACCCATAATAGTTTACTATAATTTGACTAGTCAAACTCAGCCTACTCAGTCAGTCAGTCGCTTTGCTCGTTGCAATAGCCACGCTCATCATAATTAACAACCAGGGGCTGGACCACAAAGTTTCATGATGACTTTTTGACCGTTCTTTCACCAGCAATGTTTGTGTTGTTTATCAATGCGCGGGCGTAGGTTACGTCATTCATCACCCAATTGTCAATGGAATGTCTTGGATCACACTTGCTCTGCGTTGCAGCGGATGACCACTCACCTCCTCGGCTCTCATCTTTTCCTTCTCCTGCCGGAGCTTCTCCTCGTGTTCCTGCTTGTTCTCCTCCTGCTGGTTGAGAAGATGCTCCTCCTTGGCCTTGCGTCGCTCCTCCCGTCTCTTCTTCAGACGATCCTTGGATGGATACAAAGCAGACAGATATATGTTTAATGTGGTGATATAAAACAAAAAGAAGTACATTGTGTACTGCCTAATGTTATGATCCAAGCAGAATCTGTCTCTAAGAGAAACAACTTGTACTGGCTTTGCGTCTCTAACATAGGAAATAATTTTGAGATGGAATATCAAACATGAATTAGAAAACCAGTGGTCATCAGTGTAATGTACATACATGTACATAGAACACAAGTTTAGATACTAAAAGACAATGGTTGGCTGTTCAGTGTGTATTCCATTTAGATGACCCTTTAAAATAAAAACAAGCAGAACAATTCTTAAAACTGCCTGAGAAAAACACAATTATTTTTACAAGTACAGAGTCTTAAGCACAGAGTCAAATTTCATTGAACTGCCAAGTACAAAAAAATACTGCTCAGCAAATTTACATGCTCAGCAAAGCTCCAAGTGGGAACCAGTCACGAGCATTGTACATCCCATGACAATTTGGCTGGTAACCTCCTTTAGCAAAGCAATTATTATTTTCGTGCTAAGCAAATTTTGTTGCTTATCAGCGACGTGAATACATTTGTATGTTTGTGATTACAAATGGGATAGCCCACGAAAGTCTTTCGACTTATTCCCAGTGAGTTCCCTTGATAGAGGATGTGGAATGAAATTACAGTTTTAGTGGTGGGAGGAAAACCCCAGAATACTCTAGGGAAAAACCAACGAAACCAGGCAGGGACTGAAACCCAATCCATATACTGGCCCGGCCGGGATTCGAACCCGGGTCACAGCAGTGGAAGGCGAGGAAAGTACCACTACGCCAACCTGACTCCCCCTGTTCTAGATTATAGTTACAGGCTTTATTTGGTGCTTACCTCCAAGTCGCTCTGCATGCGAACGCGGTCAGCATCCATCCTGTTCTTCATTTTAGACAAGTCTCTCTCATACTCCTCCACCATTTGATCCACCTCCTCCTTGCTGGCTCCGCTCTTCTGCAGCACCTCCAGTTTCTCCTTCATGTCCAAAGAAAATGCATTATTTTTTTACACTGAAGACAAGCAAGCTTGAATGTGTTTTTTTTAAGTGCTTCAAAATTACATCTGTGTTGGTAAAAACTGAATGTTAAAGTTTGTTTTTTGGCCTCTGCCTAGTTCTGTCTCAATTTGCCAGAACATCGCACACATTTCCTGAGCAGTTACCTTGTGTTTCTGTTCCTTTTCTTTGATCATCTCTTCTTTGCGCTTGTTCAGGGCGGCCAGTCGTTTCTCGTTCCTCTCCTTCTCTTTCTTCTCCTCCTCCGACAGATTCTTGTCAAAGTCGGCAAGCTCGGCGGCCAAGCGGAGCTTCTCAGCCGATTCAAAGTCTAAAAGAAAGGCGCATTTGAGAGATTCATTTAATATTTAGGCCTTCTCTCAACGTATCTTACGTTCTTTCTCTCTCTCCAAAGCATCTCTCCTTGTCTGTTCTTTTTGGCTCTCAATTTATCATATCTCTCTTCTCTCCCATCTATCCACAATTTAGCCATCTCTCACATTTTTTTCTTTTTTCTCTTTCTTCGCCTTCTCTTAATTAGCTCCTCTCGTCTTGGTTTCCATCTATCACTACATCTCAAGCTCTGTCTTACCTTTTTTCTCTTGTAACTTCTCTTCATTTGCATAGCTCTCCCCATCTTTCCTAGCAGTCGCATCGATCTACCTATAGCCTAATCTGTTAAGGGTTCTATCTACCTATCCCAAACTCATTTCTCATTTTCTTCAGTCTCTCTTCGCTTGCCTCCCTTGTACTCTTGGCTCTCATATGGGTTCTTCTTTACCCAGCCAATCAATTGCTCTGCTTCTCACTCTTTCCTGAACGTCTCTCTGTTAGCTTCACTCTCTCACTCAAATCTCTCTAAAAGGTCTCCGTCTATCCATCTACCACCCCACCTCTCACTCAGTCTTACCTCCCTTCCTTTTCCAGAGCTTCTCTTCAGTTGCTTCTCTGTCCTCTAGTCTCCCTATCACCCGATTTCGCAGGAGCTCTTTGTACTCACCCACCTCCCTCTCACTCAGTCTTACCTTCTGTCTCTTTCTTGAGCTTCTCTTCGTTGGCTTCTCTCTCCTTCTCCAGTCTCTGTCGGACATCTTCCAGCTCCTGGGCAGCCTTGGCGGCCTGTTCGGCGCTCACCATCTGGCTATCTTTGTCACCGCTGAGCTCCCGAAGGGCTTCAGCATATTCCTGAAGGCAAAAAGTGAAAACCACACCATTACATTATGAGTCGATTGTGCTTGCTGCAAGTTATCATGTTATGCCTGGAACAAAGAATGCAACTTCAGTATTGGCTTCAAAAGCTAAGGCATGACCTAAACAAAAACACTCCCAGTTGTTCAGCACTTACATAAGGGTGATGGGGAGGGGTTGAAAGGTGATGTAAGTCTTTACCTGGCAGTGCCTCTTCTTTATGCTGAGCTTCCTTTAGCACCCCAATCCAGGCAAAAGGCAGCCAGCTCGTATCCAACCTACAACCTTGCATTCACAACCAGCAAACTCCTCCCACAACACAAGACTCTACCTGGATCAGCCTCTCCTTGTGCTACATTTCCTATGTGAATATTTCAGCTCAGAACTGCTCAGCATTCTCCAAACCTACACCCTTCCACTGCAATAATTAACCCCTTTCTCAACCCTCCAGTCTCACCAGGTAGTTCCTCTCGTTCACGTCCAGCTTTCCATGGGTCTGTCTCAGTTTTCAGCTGTCCAGCACTCCTTGCCCATCTTTGCATCCTAAACTAATCCCCCTCTCAAGCCTCACCTGGAAATGCCTCTCATTCAGCTTTCAGTGTTTGAATCCCGTACCCCTTACTAGCAAAACCCCCAACCTTTCACTTCTTATATGACATGGAAATGCCTCTCCTTCACACCCTGCTTGCTGCAGGTGTATCTCAGCTTAGAGTCACCTAGCACTTGCCAACCCTACCCTTGCCTTCTCCAGTCCCTCCCTACCTAGTCTCAACCTGTCAAGTGTACATGTACCTCAGCTCCCAGTCAGCGCCAGCGCCTCTTACACATCTAACCCCCTTCCCCCTTGCACCCTCTTACCCCCTGTGACAGCCCTCTAATTTTACCTGATAGTGCCTCTCCTTCATTTTCAGCTTGCTGCGGGCGTACCTCAGCTCCCAATCAGCCAGCGCCCCTTACACATCTAACCCCCTTCCCCCTTGCACCCTCTTACCCCCAGTGACAGCCCTCTAATCTTACCTGATAGTGCCGCTCCTTCATTTCCAGCTTGCTGCGGGCGTACCTCAGCTCCCAATCGGCTAGCGCCCCTTGCTCGATCTCCCGTTTCTCCTGGGCCATCTCCCGCTCCAGCTTGCTCAGCTCCAGCTGCTGCTGGTTTAGGAGGGCGGCCTTCCGTTGCTCCGCCTCCTCGGGGGACAGATTGTCCATCTTACTCAGGTCCGACAGCTCCCGCTCGTGGCGCTGGAGCATGGACTCGCGCCGGCCGTGGTACTTGTCGTTCAGTTTGGTCAGGGCGCCCTCGATGGCCACCTGGCGCTCGGCCGCAAACTGGGCGTCCAGATCATGCAGCTCTTGTGCTTGCCGCTTATCTAGAACCTGGTAGAGACAAGAAAAATAGGTTTCAGTATTCAACTCTTCCCTTGAAAGGGGTGAAACTACATGCATGAATCGAAATCGTGTGAAATAATACAAAAAAGTGTTAACTCCAGGAACACTGGTGGCAGAAACTGCCTTGTCTTAAGATCTAATATTCTTTTAGCTATGTTCATCATAAGTGCAAACAAATCTGCTTACAACAGCATTAGCTAAACCAAGGCATGGACATTTGGATGGTGCACGTGCATATATCCCTGTGCTTGACTGTAAGCACAAAATGGTACTGAAAAGTGCAGAATTCCATATTTAGCAGCGCTACGAAAGTGTGCCAGATTTGAAGTAGTACAGAGGCCAGAAATTTAAATAAGGGAATAAATGTGTGCTCCAGAGGTTTTTATCACTCTGTTTAAGACCACTTAGAGTCTGGGTGCTGATAATTACCCGAGCCGGAGGCGAGGGTAATTATCAGCACCCAGACTCTAAGTGGTCTTAAACAGAGTGATAAATACCGACGGAGCACATATTTATTCCCATTCATAAATACCTTTTCGGTAAAAAAAAATCATATAATTCGTTCAAAACATCCCGATTTTGTTCAACAAATTCACTTTATGCTTTTTGAAACATCCCTCTTGCAAATAATGGAGTGTTCAGCTGGCGAGTAAGATGTAAACAACCCTTTTATGGAGATTGACGCGCGCGTATCATGTTCTGCGCAATGTCGGGCAGAACGCACCTGGCGCGTTGCGTTTTGAATTTAGAACTATAAAATTCTGACTCCCTGGTAGTGTTGCGCATGCCTACGTGAGGATTGTGAACGTTCAACCAATGAAACGATAAGAGGCACTGGTTTTTTAGGAGTCCACATTTTATTGTGACACTGGAAAAGTGTTTAAGACCAGCTAGCCATGTCTTTATCATCCGTTTAAGACCGGCCACGTGACGGGCTCTCGACCAATAGGAATAGCTAAACTGTCTGAGGTATTTATGAATCAAGATTTGTGATTGGTTTCAAAACCTCTGAAGTTGTTTTAACCCTTTAGTGATTATAGCGCCCGAAACCGCCCTACCTATTACTCACTGTAGCGCCCAAAAAACCCCTGCCTATTACTCACTGTAGCGCCCAAAACCGCCCAAGCATTCTATGCTTTTATTGATTTTTCAGTGAATAAATACAGTGTCATACCATAAGGTCCAGCTGCTAATGGGTTAAAGTGTTAGGACGTGACAGAAGTGTGTTTCCACTCACCGCCTTGATGACCTTCTCCGTGTTGGCAGCCCCTTGCTCCTGGATGCCTTCTAGCATGGCCTGATGCTCGGCCTTCTTGACCACGGACGACTTGACCTCGGCCAGTTCCTTCTTCTGCTCCAGCAGCTCCCGGGCCATCTCCACGCCTTGCTTGTGGTTCTGCTCGCCTAGGAGCCGGCGCCGGCGCTCGGCCATCTTCTCCCGGGCCTTGAGCTGGGCCTTGGCCCGCTGGCCCTCCAGGCGGTCCTCCAGCTCCTCCAGCTCGCGGGCGTGAGACGCCAGCAGCTGTTGGGGGTTGGAGAATGTGATTAAACGATTATCGTTGGAAATCAATTTTTTGTTTTATGCATATTCGCCCTGAAGAGGGCTAAAAGCCTCTCTAGGTACAGGGTTACAAGAGAAGTAAAACGATGAGTAGGTACTCGGGGGAACTGATCGTAGGAGTTAACTTTCCTCTTGCGACAGGACAGATCACAGTTGTATGTGCATGCTAATGCACAGATGTTTGTTTTGCCTAAATGCACCACTTAAATTACCCAGTTCTTTAATTCTATATAAAATTAATAGTTACCACACAACAGAAAACCACACAAATTCCAGATTTCAAAAAGAAAAATGTTGACAAAAAATCCAGAAATCAAGAAAAATCCAAACAACAAACACCAGCAATCCAGAGAAATCTCAACAAAAAATCCTGAAATCACAAATAATTTCAACCCAAAAATCCTGAAATAAGGAAATTTCCTGACAAGAAGTCCCAAAATCAAGAAAAATGCCAACAAAAAATCCTGAAATCAAGAAAAAGCCTGAAAAAAAATTCCTGAAATCAGGAAACATCTTAACAAAACAGAAATCAGGAAAATCCTGACATGAAGTCCCGAAATCAAGAAAAATCCCAACAAAAAATCCTGAAATCAAGAAAAATCCTGAAATCAGGAAATATCTCAACAAAAAATCCGGAAATCAAGAAAAATCCCAGTAAAAAAAACCTGGATTCAAGAAAAATCTCAACCAAAAATTCTGAAATCAGTAAAAATCTCAGCAAAAAATCCTGAAATGAGGAAAAATCTCGACAAATCCCATCCCTGCCTTCCTTCTCACCTGCCCGGCTTCATCCTCCGACATGTCACCCCTCCTGGCAGCAAGCTCGGCAGCCTGCTTGTTTCTCTTCTCCTTGAGCAGCTTGGTCCTCTCCCGGTTGAACCTGTTGGCTTCTTCCTCTCCCTTCTTCCGGGCCTCCTGGGCCAGCCTCTCCGACAGCTGCTCCTTGTCCTCCTTGTGTCGCTGCGTCAGATCCTCCTGGACCCGCTGGTGCTCGCGGAGGACCGCCTAGCATGAAATGAATGTATCAACTCTTGTTATAGCACATTGTTATAGTGCGTCAGAGCCCAACATCTGATTCCAGGAACTGATTCTGCACCCAAAGGGTATAAACACAGAAAGGCAAAAGGCAGTTGCTCTCAATATGTAGGTTCTTCTCTTAACTTTTATAAATGAAGAGACACATTCAATTGATGATGATCAAGAGCGTACTAGGGTCCTGATAATGCCAAGTTCTAAAATAACATTACTAAAAGTTTGAGGCTCTATTACCATTAAGTCAATCAATTATTCACACACAATTTAAAAGATACAAGGAGGCAGAAGCAATTATGACTCTCTATTCGACATTCAATTCGATGGTTTCTGCACACAGAAAACTATGCATATTTTTCCTATAAACTTCTCAAACTTTGCTTTTGTGAATAAAAGATCTTCTGTAATCTATTTTTTTAAAAGAACTGCAGAGGAGGCATGTTCCAAACTGTTGGATCAGTGGCTTTGAAGGCCTGCAGCCAGCTTGCCCTTCGTGGTCTGTTACCGAATTCCTAATGCACAAAGTCTACCGCAGTTGTTAAAATACTTCTATATTTTAATGACGTTTTAGAACTTCTTGTAGCTACAATCAGACTTCCTAGCTTGCCAGGTCTTTCATTTTCAGATAAGTAGCATCAGCCGTAAGATCTGAAGGCCTTCAACCAGCTTGTTTCTTGTTGCCTCTCTCATAGAGATATCAAAGCAGATACTCCATCCTAATCATTATAATACCTCCACTTTCAAGAAAACAAAAAGCTTTAGACTAACCAGATGAAGCTAAAACATCCCAGCTTACCTGCTCTTCCATGGTCAGATCAGCAGCATCAGCTGGCGACAGGCTCTGAAGGCCTTCAACCAGCTTGCCCTCGTTCATCTTCTCCCGCTGCTTCTCCTGCTCGGCCAGCAGCCTCTTGGCCGCATCCTCCTGGGCCAGCCGCCGGGCCTCCATCTTCTTGCGGTCCCGCCGGGCGTTCAGCTTGGCGTTCAGGTCCGACTCCTGCCGGTCCCGCTGGATTCCCAGCTCGTAGTTGATGTTCTCGTTGGAGCGACGGAGCTGGTCCATCAGCTGCTGCTGCAGCACCTGGTCGACCTCCTGGTTCTTGGAGAGCTGTGGAAGCATCAAAACGACAATTGTAGATGGTGAGCAGACATATTTACATGTAAAGCAATGCATTAAACCATTCAAGAGTAAGTGAGCGTCGCAAAAGTGGAACGCTCCTTTTAGGAACACGATGGAAACGCGCTGTGTTCCCAGTGTGTTCTTACTGTTGTGTCAACAGTTGTTAAAAATATTTTTACCCTTGATGTTAGCATGCTTTTTGCTGGGCTCACTGCTAATGTCTCCTTGAATAGACAGAGGACCTGTTCACAGGAAAACGACTGCTGGACAGCATCACAAAATTGGGCTCAGCAACAGAAAAAGATGAGGCTTTTCTGGAAGATCAGTTTTGAACATGATTTCAAACAGCTTGTCCCTTTAGTCACTGTAGCGCCCGAAACCACCCAGCGTATTACTCTCTGTAGTGCCCAAAACCGATTGAGCAATCAATGTATTTATGGCTTCTTCAGTGACTAAACACAATGTAAAACACCCACACTGGAATTTGTATCCTTGTGTGGAGACATTTCTTTGTTCTCGTGTACTCAAATGTTAGAGTTTGAAAGTGTAGTTTCAAAACGCTCCTATTTTAACCAGAATTAATTTCGTGGGCTGAAATTCGGAATTAATATCCCTTACATAAAATACTTCAATTTGCGACAGATCAACACACCTTGGAAATTCCTACTTTTTGAGTAAAATCCATATATCTTTTTCGTGATAACCTTGTGGAGACGTATTCATCTATAGAAATTGCCCTGTGGAGATGTAAACAATATTTTCTTCCTTTTTGTGCACATGTCTCCACAGGGTACCGTGTACCAGATCACTGTAGTACAGATGCTAGTGGGTTTAAAGGGAAACAACAAAGGGTCTCACATTCTCCAGGATATCTCGGTGACCCTTCTTCAGTTCCTTGTTGTAATCCTCATCCACCTGCTTGTCAATCTCCTTGAGCTGCTCGGCCTCCTCTGCTTCCAGCCGGGATTCCAGGGCCTCTACCTCCTTGCGTTGTCGCTCCTGGAGCCCCTTGATGGCCTCGGGATCGGCCGAGTCGCCCAGCTGATGGAGAAGGGGAAGGAAAGAGAAGATGACGTAAGTGGCTTGATATATTAAAACGAATAAAACTGCCGCAAACTGCTTGCTAGTAATAAACTGGATTGATCTGAAATATACAAAAATTTAAAAAAAATTTGATGGTCTAAAGTTTCGATCTTAGCAGAACCTTGGTCGAACCCTTTGACAAAGACGCTGCCAGGAACAAAGAGGATAAAAACCTAGGATCTTTTTCCAGGCCTCTTTTTCCCAGGCAATTTTTTTTCGCCAGGAAAATACTTGCCGCAACAAATTATCTTCGTGTCCGTGCAACAAGGTCGTATCTCTTAAAATGGGCCGTACATGAAACAAGAGTTTCAGAATGTCAAAAGATCGCATCTCACTTCAAATAACCCGGATGTATACGCAAAGTCAATAGACGTCCAGATCTGACCTTGTTGCACGGAGCGTATTCGCGGCTTTGTTGCAGAATGAAGTTACGACCTTGTTGCACTGACGCAACGTTGCTAAAGAACTAGTTGGACGACTACAGTTTGTGCAAAGTTAACATAAATACAGGCTTTCAAGCAGACCCAGGTGAAAAAAGTAGAACCATTGGATCAAAATTCCCCCCCCCCCCAAAAAAAAAGACAAACGTAGGACTTCTGTTAATCGTTAGGTTAATATTACCTGCAAAGGTGTGAGTCTACCTGTTTAACATTATATTCAATAATATTGACGACATCGTTGTTTTGATATTTAATTAAACACTTTAATTCTAGTTATCTCACACGACCCCAGAAATACTCAAACCTCAACCAATTGTAACATGTAATGTATGTTAATCATTGGGTTAATGTTACCTGCAAGGTGTGAGTGTACCTGCTTCACATTATATTCAATAGTATTAAAAATACTTTTTCATTTAATTAAACACTTTAACTCTGGTTGTCTCACATGACCCCAGAAATACTCAAACCTCAACCAATTGTAACATGTAATGTATGTTAACCATTGAGTTAATATTACCTGCAAGGTGTGAGTGAACCTGTTCTACATTATATTCAATAGTATTAAAGACATCCTTGTTTTGTCATTTAATTAAATACTTTTAGTTGTCTCACATGACCCCGGAAATACTCAAACCTCAACCAATGGTAACATGTAATGTATGTTAAAGAGGTTGTGGAATGCTCGAAGACATTTCCGTCATTTTTCGGGTATATGTAGCCTAAGGTGTGATGAAATAAAAACGACGATTGTGTCTGTCATGAAATGAGTACAAAAGGTACTTTTGAGAGCTGTTTTTCAGGTCCTGTTTCGACCCGAACGTGCAATTTGTGTAAAAGTCGTCGTTGGGGGCAGCAAACAAAACATAGTAAATCATGACGTAATAAACAGGACTCCCGATGCAGCGTAGTATTAACAATAATCATTGGGTTAATATTACCTGCAAGGTGTGAGTGTACCTGTTTTACATCATATGACAAGAAACACAATAAAGGGGGCCCCTTTGCATCTGTCACGTTAGCAGTTTTTCCAATGGTTGTAATACAGTACCTGAAACCACCCAAAAAGTTTTTAAAATGTGAATGGACACGTAGGCTTACAATACATGCAATATGTGTTGAATCATTTCTTTCTAACTATTTTAAAATCTATCTTTTTTAAAATCACCATCAAATTTCCGTCCAAAATAGACGGACAAAGTTAGCTAAGTTTTCGTCAATATTTGATGGAAATTTGAGGATGATGTCAAAAAGCAATGTAAATAATCAACTCAAATTATCTTTAGCAAAAGGCTGCATGTCCATTCATGTGTTGAAATTCTTCTTTGATGGTTTGAGGCATTTAACAAAAAATGACAACCATTGGAAAAACTGCTAACGTGATGGTAACAATTGTGTTTCTTGTTCCCCCCCACCACCCCTTGGGTACGCCACTGTCTCCAAGGGCCCACAAACACAACAGTACGGCTTTTCAAAGCCATTTCAGCAACACATTGCCGTAACAATGTTAGATTCACCACAACCGGCCATGAACAAAATAATGTTTCGTTTCCAAACCTGTTCCGTTGCGGCATCTAATAGTGATGGCTGTTTGTTTATGGCAAATGTTCGGGATTTGGAAAGAAAGAAAATGTACATGATATGAAAAAGAGATGATAGTTCAATAGCAGGAAATATACGCAATAAAACAAAGTTAGCCTACATGGTTTGGGCATGATATGAAAATGAGACAATATGACGGTCTGACAAACAAAATTGATCACTTGCTAAGTGAATGCTGGAGCTTAAATTTCAAGAGATCAAACCAAGCAGGAAACACTTTCACAACAAACTGAGGAAACTAATCCTCACAGAATTGTCTTTGAAAGTATAAAGGCAGGGTTCATTCCTAGAGCGGACATGAAGGCAAACACGAATTTGTCACTTCACGAGAAGAGTAAGCCTCTGTACTGATGACGTCGCACTGTGTTTACAAGTGTGCTTTCTTACGGGGCCTCGACGGTTCGTAGCTCCGTAGAAAAGAACACAAGTATTAAACAAAGTGTGACGTCATCAGTACAGAGGCTTATTCAATCTGCAGACTGGCCAAAATTGGATGACGTTTCACCGCTGGAAAATGTCAGTTTAAACACTCCTTAATTACGATGTTTTTATTCAGAGGGTTAATGCTAATTTCTCTTGTGTGACTGCCTACTCATTTATTCACTAAAGTGAAACACGGTGTTGCTTTTTTTTTCACTTACAAATACAAGAGAATCCCATTTTTGAAGAAATAAAGAGATCATTACATTATCAAACTCCTCAATGGTCACATATAGGGGTTCATTGAAAAAAAAGTTAGTTTTAATGCAAAAGATCACACAGAGACATGTTGAACTCCAAACCTGTGAATTTCCGTCAAATCTGGACGTCTGGAAGTCACCAGCATCATGTTGCGTAGACTGATTTTGTGGCACATAAAAGAGTGGGAATGAATTAATGAAGATACAATGAGACAGAATGAATATTCATTAGCATGAAATGTAAGCAACTCTATCTGAAATATTCATGCTGTGATGGTTTGTATTCGTGACAATGAAAATGAAGATGTGCATTCATATGAATTATGCATGTTTACATGCATGTACTAAATAGCACTATGTAAATGTTGAGATGAAAATGAATATCTATTCATAATGACTATGATCATGATGAATGCAAATGACAAGTATGAATATGTATTGATGTAGATGAGGGGAGGAATTTACATTTACAGAAATTACTATAAACTAATATATACATGAATGGTATGCAAAGGACACCATGTGCCCCCAAATGTCTGACATCTCTTGGCATTTAAGTGTCCAGTATTAAAAAAATCCTCCAAAGGTAGTTATGCAACATTTGCTTTTGCTGTAATTTGCAGAAATGGATGGATTTGGGGGCAAGTATTTTATAGCAAATTATTGTTACACTGCCCTATTTAAAGGTTTTTGTTCATAGATGCTGAAAAAAAAAACAAGAAAAAAAAGCTGTTCTCGCAAACTAGCCTAGCTGGTTTGCACACCGTTCACGGATGTGTAAACTGATTGCAGACAAAATGTAAATGTGGACTAACTAAATTTGGCAAATTGGGGGCGGCATGTGAAAAAAGGCAGTTTTCTTCCAAACATTCCATGATTTCACAGAATGCTTGAGACTGTTATTTACTTACAGTCGAGTGAGGTATTTCATAATAATTCGGTAGTTTTGTTTTTTTGATGTTTACCAATATTGTATATAATCTTTAAAGTTTTAAACCTGCAATGAGTTGGAACAAGCATTCAATTTTCAGGCATTTCATCCTACACAAAGAGACGTCAGACCTTTTGGGGGTTCACAGTGTCAACCGAAAAAGTGAACTAATGACCATGTGTTTATTTCAGTTGCACGAAATAGAACTAATACAGTAGAACGTTGCTATATCCCACACAGTGGTGTTCAATGAAGATTCTTTAATGTACGTACTTGTAGCAATTGTTTGTTATAGTGATTTTCAGTTGCCAATGCGCAGTATACTTGTACGTGTACTTTAAGTACGGAAGTTAAAGGGGATGTTGGTATAGCTGAATGTTCATTATAACAAAGTATCGCTCTTCTGCATTTCAAAAACCAACAATTGTGCGTGTAGCTACTCACAGCATCCAGCTGTTCCTGGTGCGACTGCTTCAGCTTGCGTAGTTTCTTGCGTCTCTTCTCGGCCATTCTCTGCTTCATGTTGGCGGTGAGCTGATTGCGTCGTTTGGCTGTCTTGTCCTGGAGTGTCTTCTCCATGTCCTCCTGATCCTGGATGATGTCCTTGGTTGACTCAGCTGTCAGGACACCGGTCACAGCCAGATTTTCCTGGGTGGAAGAGAGAATATGCGAAGGACTAGAGATTGACTTGAGATTGACTTGACAAAAGTTTGCCATGATTTGTATTTGGCTTGTGACAAACTTGTGATTTGACTTGTGATTGATTAGTGATTGACTTGTGATTGACTCGTGGTTGATCTGCAATCGACTTGTGATTGACTTGTGGTTAATCTGCAATCGACTTGTGATTGACTTGTGATTAATAAGTGATGAAGTTTTGTTTGCTGACACGGGTAATTGGTACTTGGTTGGTTCTTCTCCTAAGGACTTCCACAAGGGAGTATAACTAGGAGGCCAGAAACACCGGGGCAAACCCCTTCTCTTAGCAATAAGTGTTACTGGGTTCTTTTACGTGCGTTAGGCCTTATACAACACACGGGACCTCCGGCTTAACGTCCCATCCGAAGGACAAAGCAATAATGGTTAAGTGCCTTGCTTAAGGGCACAAGTGTCCGGGCCCGGGTTCGAACCAACGCCACTGTTGCTTCTGAAACACCAGAGCATGAGTCCGGTGCTCTTAAACGCTAGGCCATGACACTCCACTGTGACTGACTCGTGATTTGACTTGTAACAACTCAATTACAACTATTGACAAAGGGGTTTAATAATCAGTCTCAGGTTTTGAGACATCTTTTCCTCAGCGGCCAGATCACAGTTCTGCGTGGCCTGTGCCTTGTGAGTGTTTTGTGTAACTGATTGTTTTTCTAGGGCCGGATAGCTTAGTTGGTAGAGCACTGGAACGGTTATCCGGAGGTTGTAAGTTCAAGCCCCGTTCTAGTTGATTTCTTTGTTTAACTTTTCAATTGATAGTTTTTCAGACGGACTTGTCATTGATCTGTGATGGGCTTCGATTTGGCTTGTGATGACCAAACGGCATCTGATAATGGTTTTAACTTACGATGGCCGCGGTCAGGTTCTGAGACATCTTGTGCTGCTGCTCCGAAGCCAGTTCACGGTTCTGCTTGGCCTGGGCCTTGGCCCTGGCCAGGGCCTCCTCCGCCAGGATCACGTCTATCTCCAGCTCCTGGTCCTTCAAGACGTTGGCGGCGTCCGAGCTGTCGTCTTGGGTCAGGGTGATGCCTGCCTCTCTGGCCTAGTGAGGGGGAGGGATGGTTTCAATTTGTGGTCAGTGAAGTAATTCACCCTAGAAATCTTCAAGCTGCTCTGCATGTTTCCAATGCAGTTTACTTGTCAAAGCTTGGTCATACCACCTTGGATATTTATCAAATGTTACAAGTAACTGCAAACAGGATTCTCAAAACAGCTGAAGTAAGTTGCCAACATGGACACAAGTATCAAGTGAAAGTGTCTTAGCATTCCTTTTTGATGCCAATACAACTTGTAAGTAATTACAATGGGGCATTAAATAATATTAATAAGCCCCCCATTCTCCACCCTCTCAAAAGTAATTTCATCAAGAAATACAGTGAAATATCGTGTTCGCAGCAGTTTTTTAAAATCCAAATAGATCCCTCGTTCAATAAACATCAAGCTGAGCTGAAGTCATAGTGTTTGAAAACTGACCATTCCCTGGAAAGGTCTACAGACTCAGAATTCTGCCGACAGTCTGCACACTCGAGATACAACCCACTAGCGAAGTATTACATTGTATTACATTGTATTTATTTCTTGATAAATACATACAAATAAAGACTGCTCGGATGTCTGGGACGGTACAGGGAGTAACAGGCAGGGCGGTTTGAGACAGTACAGTGACTGATGGTTTATATGCTACACAATTTTCCAGCCTGTTATGATATTGTACATGCTTTACTTACTGAGTCTTCACTGAATACATTAGGAGCCTAATAACAGGGATAATGACTTCAGTGATCGTAGTACCCACCTCCTGCTGGTGCCTGCTCTTCATGGCAGCCTCGGCGGCCTGTCTCTTCTGGGCCAGCCTCCGTCTCAGCTCCTCCACCTGCCGCTGCTTGGATGCGTCAAACTTGTCCAGGGCCCGGCTCATCTCCTTCTCGTGGGCGGCCATGATGGTGTCGATCTCCTGCTGCGTCTCGGCGCCTTCCAGCTTGCCGGCCAGCTTGGCTGACAGGTCTGAGATGAGTTGCTGGCGCTTCTTGTCCTGGGAGGAAGAGGGGGAAAGGGGCAAAGAAGGTAGATAGAGTGATGATCCACCGACTTAACCCATAAACTTGGGAGAGGTTTGTGGATGCACCATGTGAAGTAACTACTTCGAAAAAAGACTTTTGAAAGTTGAACAAAGAAATTTACTGGAGGGGATTTGAACCTGCGACCTTTGGATTATTGTGCCGGTGCTCCATCAACTGAGCTATCCAGCCCCATGTTGGCAGTTTCCCATTTTGTCAATGTCTTTGTTCAACGAATGTTTGTCAGAAGCCATAACTCGTATATGCCATGTAGCTAGGCATCACAACCAAAGCCACGATGCTCTTCTAAAGAGCCCACTTTTGGTGTATTCACAAAACTTCTTGTAAGCTATACTCTCCACCTTGCAAACTCTGATTGAACAAACGAGTACTTGTAGTCGGAACTGGTTTAGGTTGGTAACAGAGAGACACAGACTGGCAATTGTATGCTTCCGTACACGACATTTTGACTAGTGACTAAAATTTGGCAGAGTGACATTATTTTGCGCTCAGGATACTTTTTGCTAAGCATAAAGTATGTGCTAAACATATCATCACGATTAGATATTGATCATGAAATTTGCCTCAGGTTAAGCGTCTGATCTAAGCACAATTCTTTACTCTGACCAACCTTTTTTAGCTTGGCATATTTGTGCTAAGCATGCACAAAGTATGCTCAGCACAAAATATGCGATCACCAGTGTACTTTTCTTGCTTAGCATGGAAAGTACAAGCATCGTACCTGTTCTGTCATCAAGCTATCAATCTCCTTCTCCTCTGTCTTGCGTAGCTCCTTGTCCAGCTCCAGTCTCTCGCTGTTCTGCCTCCTGAGCATGTTGTCGGCCGCGCTGGTCCCCTTGCCACCACCGAGCCTGGCCCCTGGGCCTGAGGCTAGTCCAGCCTGTTCCAGCATCTCGGGGCTGAGGGGGATCTTGCCCGAGTTGAGGCGCTCCAGGAGGACCTGAAGAGCCTCCATGAGCTCGTGCTCCCGCGAGGAGGCACCTGGGAGTGATTCAGAGACTAATTTAACACACTGTATTACATTGTACTGCATTGTATCACATTGAAAATGAAGTTAAACGGGCGACATATTTTCTGAGATTGAATTATTCAAATGTTGTATCGCATCGGGTCTTTTTTTTTTTGGTAGGGACGTGCTCACCGGTGAAATTGTACTGCCTGTTGGTGTTGACAATGGTGGTGGAGTCGCCGCTAGCCTGGTACCCTTCACGCTCCGCACGCTTGGCCCGCTCCTTTTCGATCTTCTCCAGTTTAGACATGTCCAGGCTGAGCAGGAGACCCTGGAGTAAATACAAATGGCAAAGGCTCTCTTGAATGCAAACAAATTCTTGAATTTAAAAACCACAATTAAAAGTTAACATTAAAATTCTCCTTACAATTCTTTTTGTTGCAATTCAATCGGATATTTCGTTGACAAGTTATGGCTGTTTAAAGTCTGCATTTATCAAAATAATGAGAAAAAGGCCTTTAAAGTTTCGAGTTTTTTACTCCTGAAAATGAAAGATGCCGAGTGCTTTTCCTTAAAAAACACTTTTATTCCATGTTTCTTATGCTTTTTCTTTATAGATAAGTGTAGTAGACATATCAATGATTACAAATATCACTAAATCTTAAAATTAAAAAAATTAAAAAGTTGCCCCATTGGTTTTTTTTGCATTTTTCTTCACTAAGGCCTGTGCGCAGTTCCACTATGGCCTGTGCCCAGTTCTGTCTCATTTTACCAGAACGCCTCACATAAGTGGGTTTATCCAACATTATGTCCCACGATTCTCTGACTTGTTGGCCCCTCGTTCCTTAAACACACCCATCCTACCTTGAGTCCATCAGTCTGTTGAGACATCCGTTCATAGAACCCTCTGAGATCCTCCTGCTGTCTGGCCAGTTGCTGGGACAGATACAGCGTCTGGTCCTCCAGCTTGTCAAACAGCGTCCGCACGTTGAAGTCCTCCAGTTCCCCCTTCTCACCGGTCTTCAGCGGAGCGGACTCGGCGCCCTCAACCACACGAGGACCCATCAGCATCAGCGACTCCCTGGGTTGAAAAGTTTTAAGATTATCAATTACTGAATCTCATGGGGTTTCTAAGCAGAAATCTTATTCAGTATATTTATCTGCTAAGCAAATATAAGCTGAGTACCAGTCATTAGCAATGTACATTATGTGATATTTTAGCCGGTAACCAGTTTTTGCTCAGCAAGTAACTTTTTGTGCTGAGTACATTTCTGTGCTAACAGCAACAACATGTTGGCCCCTCGTTTCTTGTTTTTCAGGAATGGTTTCAGGATTGGTTAAGCTCAGAATAAGACAAAAATGTTTTGTCGGTTGAAAACTCACTTCAATATTGGATTTTGTATGGTGGTCCTGAAGGAAAATAACCAGCCGTGACTTTTTTTTGTGACATTGTGGAATTTTTGCGACTACCAGTAGTCATGAAATTTTTCAGGCAACGATGCACATTTTTTTCGCGACGTGACGTAATTTTTTTTCACGGGTTATAGAATTTTTTTATGACATGCGACGAGCTCGGCATTCAACGATAAACATTACTCTCCAAGCTACTGAACAAAATTTTCGCAACAAAATTCAAGACTGATCATGAAAAAAAATTAAAGACGTTGCAAAACATTTCACGTCTAGTCATGAAAGAAGTTACAACGTCAAGAAAAATTTCACAACTGGTTATGTCCCTTCAGGGCCACCAACATAATTTTGTATGAGCACTGTATACTCAGTGCTTTCTGAGGGCTGGCGAGAATTTTTTTTCTTTCTAGCTTTCCCTGGTGGAACTTGAAGCTAAAACCTCCTGAGTACTAGTTCAGATGTCTCACTGATCGACCACCGAGTGTGCCTGGTCAATTAGCAGCAGGAACTGCAAGTAATCTTTTGTTATGATGGCCTTTTTTGGGGGCAGGAGATGTAAAATCAATGTTGGGTTTTGAAAACTTACTTGTCGTGTTCTTGGTATTGCAGGTAGGGCGGGATTCGCGGGGGTGCACCCAGGGCCCGGTAGCGCGGCTTCCACATCTTGAGCGGGTAGATGCCGGCGCTGCGAGGGCGCCAGACAATGACCGCAATGACGAGCATGATGATGCAGGCACCCAAGAAGGCCAGCATGCCTGGAGAAAAAAATTGTGAAAATGAAATTACATTAAAAAGCCTCCTCAATGCTTCAAATTCTACCAGATAGTTTTGGAGTATTGAAGACAGTAGAATGCCGCCATGTTTACTTTTGGGATCTCGTCCTTTGGGTTCCTGGGCAGTGTGAGATTTGAAGATGTTGCAAGAAAAACTCCTTGTACCGGTAGTTTGTGCTAACTTCCCACAAGTCATGGGTACATGATCTGGTACACGGTACCCTGTGGAGACATGTGCATAATAGGGAACAAAAGATTGTATGGGTCTCCACAGGGTAATTTCTGGACTCGAACCCATAACCCTGCAGAATTACCCATAGACCACCAACTTTAATGCTCAAGACCACGAGGCCACGGCACTCCACAATTTGATGATGGAGAAGTTTGCAGACACTTGGGAGAACTTTGCAGATACGCAAACTAACTCTTACAAAGAACCAGCTCTGAGAAGAATCCGAGTAAGTAACTGAGTTGGTAAGTTCTGATCATCATCAGAAAAAGACAAAATCCACTCACCGATGATGAGACCCCAGTCAGGCTCCTCGTTCATGGCCTCCTGCTTCTTGACGCTCTGCAGGTTGAGGTTGGCCGGAGAGGATGGCTGGATGGACGACCGCGTGGTGTCGCAGGCCGAGCCGGCCGGCTGGACCGACACGATGACCTCCCACTGGGGCTCCTGCGCGTCAGCGAAGACGTACTGGCCGGACTCCGTGAAGACGTGGGCGAAAGAGGAGATGGCCACCTCGGTGCTCTCCACGTAGAAGCGCAGGTCCCGGAACTCGCTGTAGTCGTAGGTGGGGTTACTGTTGAAGAGGTGGTCCTTCTGGTAGACCGGGTAGTTGCTGAGGGTGCGGTTGACGGGGTCCAGGGTCACGCGGAAGATCAGCATGTCCTCCAGGGCCAGGCAGATGATGGGGTTGGGGATGCCGGGGACTGTGACGGTCCCAGCGGATTGGAGGAGACGACGCCGGCTGCCTGAGGTCACGTTGAAGTCAGAGAGGGTGGTGGATATGATGGTGGTGGCTTCATCAGTGTCTGCAGCAGCAAGGGGGAAAAAAGCATTTTATTCACTATGAACACAAATGTTGGAAATGTTTTCTTTTTTAAATGACATGAACATGTAGAATATCAGACCTGCACATGACATTTTATGCTAAACATTTTGGTATTCATTGCAACAGCATAGTAACCGTCATTAGGTTGTTTATATTAGTTCCTTCTCATATTGAAATCAAGGATTCTCAATGAAAGTGCACGGGCAATGTAGCTCTGAAGCCAAAAAAGCCAAAAAGGGGAAAGAGAGACAATAAAGAAAAGATCAGAGTCCAAGAAATTCCCAGGAAAACCAACAGAATCTGAAAACCCAATCTACTTGTCGCCCTGGCTGAGATTCGAACCCCAGTCACAGAGGTGGATGGCAAGGAAAGTACCCTTGTTGAGACATGTATCGAATACTGGGTTCGACCTTAACCTTCTTTTTTTTCACTAGCCAGCTGGGCTACTGAAACAGACTCTTGACTAGCCTCCGGGCATTATCACTAGCCCGCATGCTTTTGTTTTATAGAGTTGTTCATAAACAACAATGTGCGTACATGTAAAACGTGTATCCTGAGGCAATCTTGTCAGTGTTTTTAATAAACAGATCTAATAACTTAACCCTAAACGGTGTATACAATTATATAAATTGATACAGCTTCGCTTTTTGAATGTAATGATATATTTCTTCCTGTCCTTTCATCTTTGCCATATCCCAATAATTGTTGACTCGCCAGCCGGGCTACTTAAGAAATTAGCCCACTGCTGTTTAGAGTAGCATTTGGCTAGTGGGCTACCGCGAAAGTCGAACCCTGGAGTAATATTTAACACAAGGGCCAACCCTTGTTAAAAAAAAACAGTGCATTGTCATTTGTTTTGCACTTTGCAAATACCATGCTCATATTTAAAATACGATTATTCTCTGCTAACAGGTAACATAAATCAGGCGAGTTCTGTTATTTACCAAAAATGAGTTCTTCCAAGTCGGACATGTCTTTGACGATGTGGCCCATGGCCCCACTGGAATCGAAGGAGCAAATCTGGATGCTCTTGGTTCCTGAGGTGTGTACGCTTGGACCAATCACGTTAGGTACGGGCTGGACACAGAGAAAATGAAACAAGGATAAGAATCTTGAATAAGACTCAAGTTGTCAATGGCCCATATATAAAACTCTACTCTACTATGCATGAACAAAACAGCATGGATTTCCTCAGTTTCAGAGTTTCTGCGGATATTTACACCAAGGTAATAGATTTAGCTTGAGAATACCGTTTGTTTCATTGAGATTACTTTTGTAAATCCAAAGATATGTTTGAATAACAGCAAAGCCAAGAAACCCATTTTGTGCGACTTTCTGTGAAGCAGTTAAAATCAGTATAGTCCTAGTCTAAAACCAAATCACTTTACTGTTAGTGATTTTAATATTTTTAAGCAGAGTGTGCAATATTTATTTATATTTTTTAAAGTTTTAAAGAAGTGAACCCTGTCTGTACTATTAAATTGTGTCAACATAAGAACAAAACTCTATATTGTCGTGTGAATGGAATGTTTGTCTTACACCCACAGGGATAATCTTATCAAAAGAGCCATACTGGCATTGTCTGATCTTTGAGGCACTCGCTTCCTAAAAGTGGCACAGAATAGTTTTTTGGGCTTTGAGTTATTCAATCATATTTCTGCATTTACCAAAGCAATCGTAATTAAACAAATGGTCTTCTCAAGCTAAATCTGTAACCTTGAAGATCGTGTAAACATTTGCAGTAAATTCTGGTTGTAATTTGGCAAAAATAGCGGGGTTTACATGCATCATAATTTTCAGGACACCCTGTACAAGCTTCTAGAGACAATTTTAGGTACAGGCTGAATGGAGAGAGGAAAAAAAACACATTTTCAGATATATGCGATTAAAGATCTTATATAAGTTGTTGCACAAACATACATACAAAAACATTAATCCAGGTCACTTTCTTTTTGACTTGGGTATAAGTGCCATGAAGAATAAAAAAAACCTTGCAGATTTGTTCTCTTACCTTTGTGACTACAGTTCCCGATCCGTCGTTGGCGGTGCTGGTGACCACCAGCTGGCCCGAGGCTGTCAGGCTTCCCTCCACGGTGGGTTTGGTCTGCTCACAGCTGGCATCGCAGATCTCCTCGGGTGCTGTGTACTTGTTACATGTGCACCTAGTATCAGCAAAAGACATTAATATGAATATACCAAAATAATAACTTGCAGGTTTCTACCTTAACACTTTTTTTTTTACTTTCCAGCCGGGCTACTGAAACAGACTCTTAACTAGCCAGCGGGCACTTTTACTGGCCTGCATGTTATTCTTTTCATGACGATTCACCATCCATAGTCTCTCCACGAATACCCAAAGAAGATGACGGATAACCACAGAGGTACTAAGGATGAATGCGGTACTCCCACGGTTTATCAGGAATTTTAAACCGTGGATATCTGTAGCTCCAAACCGTAAATGTGTGACTGGGGCTTTTTGGACTTGACATCAGCTGTCTTACCTTCCCAGATCCACGTCAAACGTGCCGCTGTCGCTGCCGCACATGGGCGTGCAGTCGAACGTGTCGGGGTCCACGCACTCGCGTCCGCTGGCGTCGCGGGCCTGGCTGAGGTCGCAGCGCTGGTCCACCATGGGCTGGCAGTCGCCGGCGCTGTTGCTGTTGCTCTCGGGCGCGTCCACCTCGTTGTAGTAGATGTAGCCGGACCAGCAGACGCAGGAGCCGCTGGTGGTCTGGAAGGAGCGGTACTTGCCGTCGCACTCGCAGGTAGAGCTCCCTGGAGGAAGGAGGGAAAGCAACATTTACATATATATAAAGGTACCTAAAGGATATATAAAGGTACCTAAAGGATCATTTTCTTGGAGGCGTTTGTTTCATTTGAAGCAACAAAATTGCTCAAAATCTTAAGAAGGGTACATAACAACTAACTTGTATACAACTTGACAACAAAGAGAAAATGCATGTACACTTTTTGCAGTCTAGTTAAACTGGATTCCATTGCCAATGCAAGTAAAAACCGTTCCGGCCTGTACTTCTGGCGAATACCTTGACCAGGCTGGCTAAAGAGATGGTGGCTCTGAAACGGGTGGCATACAGGCCCCCTTGCGGATACTGCATACCTGCGAACTTGGGCCCGCGGGGCACTGGCCTCAAAGTGAAGATAGGACTAGCACTTGCTCGACAGATTTTTCAACACTTACTACAATTGTTTCCTTCTGGATTCTACACATACTGCTGGGTTAGTTGATAAAAATGAAGTGACATTTACAGAAAAAAACCTCTCATTTTTCTTCTGTTCAATTCTTTCATGTATTTTTTTCTTTTATATGTCAAAGAACTCGCATGTCAAATTAAGCGATAATTATAATAGGCTAAGTATCATTTTGAAAATGGCAAATAATAATGAACGCAGCAATCTGATTATCAGTCTGGACTGGATCCTGCCAGCCGGTCAAGCTGTCAAGACATCTGCACTAATGAGCAGGAGGTCATGGGTTCGAGGACCACCAAGAAAGCTCCAAGTTGTTCTCAGACAGCACTGAGAGTAGACTGCTTATGAACTAACATTACATCAGAGAGGGGAAAAACTGACATACAAATTACATCTCTTTGATGCAACATCTATCAAACTCAATTTCTGACTAGCACTCTCGAACAAAGACACTAATTAATTTGGCTAGCTCAGTTGGTAGAGCACCGGTACGGTGTTCCGAAGGTCGCAGGTTCAAACCCATCCCCAGACAATTGCCTTGTTCAAGTTTATAATTACAAGTCAATTTCAGCACAAGTGAAAGCAGCTAATTTGAAGTTTACCTTCTTGGGCGGAGGCCGAGCTGCCGCAGGGCCGACAAGCCTTCTGGCCCAGCATGTTGTTGAAGGTGTCGGGCTGGCATGGCTGGCATTGGTCCACCGTGATGGCCTTGACGATGTTACCGTACTGACCTGCCGGGCAGGGGGTGGGTGACCCGGAGCCGGCCGGGCAGTAGTAGCCGATGGGGCAGGGGTAGTCCTCTGGGTTACCAGTACCTGTTTTAACAAAATACAAAACGGAGAATCGGAATGGCTTAGCGGTACTTTCCTTGTGTTCCACCATGGTGTCCTAGGTTCGAATCCCAACCGGAGCCAATTTGTGGATTGAGATTTCAGTCCAAGCCTGTGATATTAAATCTGTATTTCTTCTTCATCCTCTATCCAAGGGAACCCACTGGAAGTAAGTCAAAGATTTATATGGGCCATCTTGGCCAAAAGCCAAATAAAAAGAAATGGCGTTCAATTAATTTGTTGGGATTTTGTATAACATTAGTATCTATACTCATTTCATACCATGTTACAGCACACAATTCCAAGTTGAACTTGGGACTAGATTGCAGATACACCACATGAAGTGTCTCTTAAAGAGAGGTGGTTCTCAAAAGAATCAGAGGTTTTAACTTGATGTTTCAGTCAGAATGTTCTAATTTTGTAACTTCAGGAACTGCTAATACTTATCCAGACAAGTGGTAATCAAATACACCATGTAACATGTGTTGTGGGACATGGTATTTTAACACAGGGTGCATGTCATACTCAGCATTTAAAGTGTATTATTTTTAAACATTGTCATTTTACTCTCAGGGCAATAGTAGCCTGCTATACACTCATCAGTCTAAAGTGTATGTATTTTAAAGTGTACTATTTCTAAACAATGTCATTTTTACCTTCAGGGCAATAGTGGCCCTCTACACACTCAGCATTTTAAAATGTATTATTTAAAAATATTTTCATTATACCTTCAGGGCAACAGTAGCCCTCTATTTAAGACTGCTATCTGACCTTTAGGGCAATAGAAACCCTCTATTTTTTTAAAAATAATACTGTTATCTCACCTTCCGGGCAATAGTAGCCATCTATTTAATACTTTCTCATCTTCAGGGCAATAGAAGCCCTATATTCAATACTGCTATCTCACCCTCCAAACAATAGTAGCCCTATATTTAACACCGTTATCTCACCTTCAGGGCAATAGTAGCCTTCTATTTAATACTGATATCTCACCTTCAGGGCAATAGTAGCCATCTATTTAATACTTTCTCATCTTCAGGGCAATAGAAACCCTATATTCAATACTGCTATCTCACCCTCCAAGCAATAGTAGCCCTCTATTTAATACCGTTATCTCACCTTCAGGGCAATAGTAGCCCTCTATACACTCCGAGCACCAGAACCTCTCAGTGTGATTACCAAACGTGCCCGCTGGGCACAGACTGCAGCTCTTATCCGATGAGCTCCTCAGACCGGCGTGGTTGTTCGCCCGGCTACCCAGGGGACACTCCAACGGAACCTCGCTACCCTCGGGGCAGTACTGAGGGTAGAAGCACTGGGTGTAGGCGCTGGAGCCTAGGGGGCAGTAGTAGCCCCCGGGGCATATCGGGGGGTCGCCAGTCACACCCTCGCAGTAGTGGCCTGGCCGGCAGGTGACCTCAATGGCTGCACCTGTTTATTGGGAAAAGGGAGGACATGCATTATGATGGATTTTTACAATGGAACATCGCTATTACGACCATTGCGGGATCCACAGAAATTATTCGTAATAGCGATGGTTTGGTATAGCTGCTGGTGCTCCGGTACTCACTTTTCAATAAATAGCGCCCTTCAGAACTTCACCCTGCACGCCCTGGTAGTTACTAAAAGATGACGTTGAACACGTGCCCACTTCTGAATTGTGTAATTACACAGTTTTTGAGCTTACTACCTACAACAATCAGTGGCTTTCTCTGTCTATTCCTTGGGAAAAAAAATTGCGACTTGTCACTCTTCCTGTGACATTTTTCAATAGCAATGTTCAGTACGATTTGTACACAAAAATCGGAGGTGAAGGACGACATTCGGTATAGCCGAATGTTTGGTACTGACTTAAGTTGATTTGTTAAATAGATTGAGATGATCAAGGGCAGCTAATGTAACTCAATAAGATCATTTTCATTCTGTAAGTTGATTTCTGACTTATGACTGACTTGTGATTATCTGTGATCAACTTGTGACTACTTATGAATGGCTCTATTATAGCTCTACATCAACCTTAGTATACCTTCAGGACACCCATAGACTTATGACTGACTTATGATTATCTGAGATTGACTTATGACTTACTTATGATTGACTCTATTATAGTTCTGCATCCAACCTTAGTATACCCTCAGGTGACTCGTGATCTACTTGAGATTTATTGTGACTGACTCTGTTATAACTCTGCATCCCATCCAACGCATACCTTCAGGACACTCGTAGGTGGGTCGGCACGGTATCCCGTGCACGTTGATGGTGTCGTTGGGGCAGTAGTAGCCTGGTGTGCATAGGGGGCAGTCTTCATTGCTCACGCGGCCCGTCTCGGTGCTCATGCGTCCGCCGGAGCAGGGCTGGGGCTCGGTGGTGCCTTCCTCGCAGTAATGGCCCTCGTAGCACGGCAGGTAAGTGGTGTTGGTCATTCCTGTAGGAATATCACATGGAGGTTAAAGTTTGCAAGGAAGTCATCTCATTAATAATCCCTTGTAAAATACAGGGAAACGAATTCCTACGATTGGCTCATAACGATATGAAGTCCGCTTCATAATCAGGAATCAACTTGTAATGGCAAGAATGGCAGGTGTACATTGTTTGCCATTTGCATTATGAAACTGAATAAAGAAATCACTTATGTAAAAACAAATAATAATCCCGTATTAAATAATTTTTTTGTTTAATTCCCGTGGATGGGCACATTATACAGGCGTTGGAGGCAGATTTCTTTATCAATTCTTGATGGTCATAGTACATGTAGCAGCACCACATTCTCATAGACATTGTTATTCTTATAAAAAAACCCAAATATTTCTTTGGAGAACGAGTTGATATAACTTTAATATTAGGTTTTGCCCTTCACCGACGTCTAAACACTGTATACTCAGTGTATTACCTGAGTGAAAGTTGAGTTTACCACTCGACCACCGGGCTTGCGGGATCGGTTGGCTGGTTACATCACCCCAACAAAAATTCCATCTTATGAATACTTTCATAGCGGTACCCGCTGCTATATCTGATTCCAACCAGCAAACCGATCCCGCAAGCTCGGTGGCCGAGTGGTAAGACGTCTGCACTAGAAAGCAGGAGGCTGTGGGTTCGAGTCCCACCAGAGAGATTTTTTTCCAATTTCACTTGGGAGGTAATACACTGAGTATACAGTGTTTATACTGTGTTAAGTTTGCTGCATTCTGAATAGAGATGGTTTTCGTAACATGTTTTCAACGCAGTTTTCAAAAGCTTTTAAAACCATTCAACAATATCTTTATTCAAGTTTTATTTAATTAAAAAAACAACAAAGAATTTCTTGGGCCTAAATTTCCCAATGGTTCCACGTACCAAGCTCATTGCAGTAGTAGCCGGCCTTGCATTTGAAGCAGTCTTCGCGACTCTCTGCACTTACGACGTCCCGATAGTGGTACAAGGGGCACTCCACCGGGCCAATGCCTTCCTCACAGTAGTGACCCAGGGGGCAGGGGTACAACACGGGGTCACCTAGGGGGCAATGAAACCATTTTAAGATTAGTTCAGCTCCAAATAACAAAATCTATTTTAAAACGTAGACAGAAAAAAAAATTCACAATCAGTTACTATGAACTTCAGATTTGCCCCTCCAACGATATTTGCTTCAAGAATTTTTCGTTCACTTTTTAAAAAAATATTCAACCGAATATTCAACCGAATAAGTATGACCTAAAAATTGAAACATTCAAAAAATGCACTCCGGCCAACCCTATATCGCTGGAAAAAAAAGATGAATATCATTTTTGGCGCTGTGAATTTTTGAAAGTTGAACCCATTTCAACGCTGTCTAATTTCTCATTGAATTTTTTTCCGACATCAAATTCGCTACGTCTTTGCATTCACACGTGAAGTGTACAAACCTGCCCTTAATATAGGGTAGGGTGTACATTTTTCAGATGTGTGAGTTACCACTGATAAAAATAGCTGAAAATAGCTGAAAAACGGTGTTAAAAAAAGCTGAACTTTGGAAATCTCCTATACTTTTGTACGCAGCAAGTGAGGGAAAAAAGCTGAAATTCAAAACAAAAAAGCTGAAATCAGCTATAAAGCTGAGATTTCACACCCCTGATTTTTACTCAGGGGGATTGTTACTTACCCTCCAAGCAATGCTTCCCGGCCGGGCATGGCGCGCAGTCCTCCACCCTGCTCCCAAACTCGTCCGGCCGCCAGGTGTTATTCTTGCAGGGTTTGGGGTCTTCGATCCCCGCCGGGCAGTAGTGGCCCGGCGGGCAAGGCCCAGCACAGGTGGTGTTGGGCGGGCACTGGGCCTCGTCAAAGTTGTCCACGTCCGGTAAGGAGCCGTCGGGGGTGAATTCGAAGCTTGCGCTCAGGCAGAAGTAGCCCTCCGAGCAGTTGCCCTGGAGCTGACCACCACTGTGGAATGATTATCAGAAACGGTAAAGTTATCGTCTGACTACATATGTAAGCTGCTCCCACAAAACCCGGACAAAGTTGACAAATGTGATGCAATCAAGCTAAATATGAGTCGTTTGTCGACCCTGGTCAATTTTTTTTTTTTACAGATTTGAAAAGAGCACAATCTCAGCATTACTGCTATAAAAACCGCATGCTGAAACATCTTTAGTTTAAACAAATAAGGAAGTTGGAACACCATTAGATGTGATGAAGTGATGAGATGAAGTTGCCTATTTTGGCCTGTATCTTCAAAAGAAATTTCCCGACAAACAACTCATTTAGCTTGATGGCATCACAAATGTTGGTGTTTATTTTAGTTTTCAGCATATTCACATTCCCAAGATTTTCAGCTTGAAAATGATATATGATTTTCATAGGTACCGTGGCCCTATCACCCCTGGGAAAAGGATTACACAATAGAAGCCTGAAAACCAAATTATGCCAAGAACAAGCGTATTGAAGTGCTTTTAGTATAATTTTTTTTCTTTACTCAAGCGACTAAAAACACACTTCTTCTCATACATACTGAGTTTCAAAATGCTCTTATTTTTTAACCAGAATTAATTTCCTTGGCTGAAATTTGGACTTAATATCCCTTTTCTAAAACTCTACCATTTGCGACAGATCAACATATCTTGGAAATTGCTAGTTTTTGAGTACAATCCATATATCTATTTCGTGAAAACCTTGTGGAGATGTATTCATCTATAGAAATTGCCCTGTGGTGACCCATACAATCTTTTGTTCCCTATTGTGTGCATGTCTCCAGAGGGCACGGTGTATCAGATCAATGTATTATATTCACATTTTGGGAGATTGTAGATTCATAGTCACTGATTCAGAACACCTCAATACCTCAAAATGGTCAGTTCCACCCAAAAGTGACTTCTCATGCCCTTTGTGCAAAAACAACTTCTACAACTTTGTCCGGTTTTTTGGAGGGGGGGGGGGGGAGAGAGCAGGTCTCACATAAGAGAGGGATGCAATATTTACTTTGACCATGCAATGTGTGTTTAGGGCCATGCAGAAACTGTTGATAATCTGAACTCCCCAAGTATTTTATTAATTCAACCCTCCTTAACCCCTTAAGGACGGGGTGTAATGGGGACATTCCTCCACACATAGAGCAAGTGGCCCGCATGACTGCACAGCCTTTGTGTGGTAGCGGGACTGCACAAAAGCAGCAGCTGTGGAACTACCCACTAGCTGTGTGCCACGGCATACCACAGCTGGCAACTGCATTCCAATGAGGATTAGCGGCCGCGGCCATGACCGCTTCCCGTCCTTAAGGGGTTAAACCACTAGTCCTCTGAGAAACTCCAATTTCTGTTGTACACTGTGGGTCACATTTAGTTATGGGTTCATGCAAACTGCACACAAATATAGCACAGGGCTAGATTCTGATACGAGTGAATTGGCGCCCTCAACCCAATGCTGCCTCTTCATGGAAAGTACAAGTTTACTCACCGGCAGTACATTCCAGACAGGCAAGGCAGGCACTCGTACTTCTCCTTCAGGCCTTCGTCCGTGTCGTATGTGAAGGTGCCGTTGGGACATGGTATGGGGTATCTTGTTGCTGTACCACAATGGGAAAAGAAGCCATGGTAATTCCAACATTAAAACCTCAATAATGTAATAGAATTTGTTTTTTGCTTTTGGTTCCCTTTTTTTAAGTGGGAGGGGGAGGACGGTGATTCAACTGTCTATGTCCGTCTTTATATCAATTAAAATGCACCTCAGTTAGTTTCCTTTTTCGGTTCAAATGTTGAAACAAGGAGTTTCTGACACTGCTACTGAAAAAAATATAACACATTTATTATCAAATCCGATCATTCTTAATTATCAGAGTTGGCAGCTTTTTTTGATGTGCGATTACTGCCGTCCTAGCTGTTTTAACAATAATAAATATTTTGTCGCTGTTTATTGATAGTGATATTTATTTTTTTATGCCTTGTGCCATATTTGCATATTCATCGTTTCTTACCACAATCTGATCAGGCAATTCTATTGGTCCATTGAAAAAAAGTGAGGTCAGCGACCATGTCAGAGTTCAATTATTTGAACTCTATAGCGACGTCGCCAGCGTCCTTCAGCGGCTGGTCGCTGGCGCGTCAGCGACAACTATAAACCGTGTGTAGGCTGATCGCGCATCAATTTTCCAGATACGTGACCATCGTGCGACGAACTATAAACCGGCCTTTACGCTGTAATTTCTTCACATTGTCTTCTCTCTAGGTCTAGGCACTTTTAAGGAATCCTTGGTCTCATTACCAGAAATGATTAATAAATCATAACAACAAAGGGTGCAATTGCAAACTTACTCTTGTCACATTTAAAAAATTGGCAGTTGGTCTTACCGGCTGGGCAGTAGTGGAAAGCAGGGCACGGCTTGGGATCCGGGAACAAGGCACTCTCACAGTAGAATCCAGCCTGGCAATCGATGCAGGAATCCCTCCTCATGTTGGGCTGATAGGTGCCCACGGGGCAGGGGCTGGGAACCGCCGAGCCGTTCAGGCAGTAGTGGCCGATAGGACACTCGTAGGCCGCCGGGGTCGGGTAGATGGTGGAGTCGTTGGCTGGGCAGTAGAAGCCGGCGTCGCAGGGGCCGGTGGGATCCGTCTGGCCGTCGTCCTCGCAGTAGTAACCGCCGGGGCAGGGCGAGCAGTCGCCAACGGAGGAACCGCCTGGATTTGGGGGAAGATACGAAATAGTTTGGAGATAAGTTTTTCAAAATGTCAGTCTATGTGTACAGTCCACTTTATCTTTTGTATTTTGTTGTGTTCCTTAAAATTAAATCAGAGTTGCAAATCAAGTCATCACAAGTCGTTACAAATCATCACAGATTATCACAAGTCAGTCACAGATCACACTGCAAGCCCAGTCTCAAGTCAACTGACTACAGCTATTAAAATGATCTGTGACCACGATCACAAGTCGTTACAAATCGTCACAGATTATCACAAGTCAGTCACAGGTCATACTGCAAGCCCAGTCTCAAGTCAACTAACTGGCTCAAATGAATTGTGACCAAGACAATTCAATCCTTATTCCTATAGTAATGACGTACATGTGTGAACATTAAATATCTTTGTTTCAATAATTGTAGAAGTTAAAAAAATTTTCACTTAATTCAGTGAAGTGCAAACACTCAGGTATTCTAGTCAGTGAAAAACCGGTTGAAAAAAAAATCAGTAGTGCAAACTCCTGAACACTCTGCTCACCTTCAACTCTGCGGACTGTGCCAACCGGGCAGGGTGTCGGGGCAGGGGTCCCTTCCTCACAGTAGTAGCCTGCCGGGCAGAGACCGTTCATGGGATAATCAATGATGGCCACTGGTATCTCCGTCAAGGCTGCGCCCTGGCAGTAATAGCCGGCACTGCAGGGACCTGGATTGTTATGAAAATATGAGAAACAATGGACATGTTATACAAACTGGTTTATATCTAAAAAACCCAGGATAAATACGTCACAAAAATTTACATGACCATTAAAAAAAGTTAGGTAACAAAAAACAGGGCACAGAATTCTTAAATAGACCTTATGCGTAGCAGCCATTTTAGTGGGCAAATCATTTGGTTTGCTGGGTATGCATGAGTGAACCTTTGATGCATTCACTGTTACTGAATTAAAATAACAAAAGATGCCCTCTAAGATGGCCGCTACACACAAGGTCTATCCGCTCCATTCACAAGTACCCCCTCACCGGCAAACAAAGTACAGTTGGGGGTGACCGCCCGACGCCATCTTGCCTGACTGCAATTTTGTTCAAATCCCCTGGTGTACGTATGTCACACACAAGAAACTGTGCGCGTCAACCAGCTAAATGTCACGCCCATGGGACGTCGTTGCTAGGTAAACGGGCGCCCTCTTTCGTCGGCGCACAGAGCCCATACCTCAGACAGTTTATCGATTACTATTGGTTGAGATTGATTGGGGTGGTTTTAACACCCGTTTAAAACTGGTCAGCGATGTTTAGAACTGGTCACCATTACACTCCACACCACATGCGTGCACAGTACGCACCACATGCGTGCACAGTACGCACCACATGCGTGCACAGTACGCACCACATGCGTGCACAGTACGCACCACATGCGTGCACAGTACGCACCACATGCGTGCACAGTACGCACCACCTATGTCCTCCACAACTGGGTGCTTGATAACCACTGATGTGATTTCTCTAATAATTATGAGATGTTGAGCAAACCGCGATAGCGCGACACACACAACAGAAGTGGCCTGAACATGGATTAAAATTGTTGAACAAAAACATTGTCAGAATTTCGTCGAGTTTTCAACTGAAATTTTTAGCTAAGGCTTTATCAGCGACCAGGCCTCTGACCGGTTTTAATCCAGACGTTTAAAACTGCTCCATCACACTATTATTCCCTTATTTAATCCTAACCGCCCTGAATCCTTCAAAATTCTCTTTGCCAAAGTGGAGGAATTTGGAGGATTGGCAGAAGTGCGTTACTGATTTTGTAGGATGCACTTTGTCTTGGGCCGGACCTTGTGTTGTTTTTGCACAGCCATGCATATATGTATATAGGCCTGGTTTATGCTTGGAATTCTCCGAACTGCTCCAGGATGTCACTGGCCAAGCACATATTATATCAACATATTGCCGCAGGATTTTGCAGGATTCAGGCAGTGGTCACCCCTCTACGGACCATATTCAAGAAATAATGGAGGAATTTGCAGGGGCCAAGTTCGCACAAGGACTATAGTTGACCAATGGTTAACTAACGTTTGCCCGAACTCTGTCTAGTCAACGGTGGTTGACTACGCTAGTTGACTATTTGGAACCAGCCTACTGGGGCTGGTTGCTTCGCTGGTAACCAATAGCCGCGCGCATTCATAACGCTATCAGAGAGCCAGGATCCAGAAGTTTTGCGATGACATTTTGACCAGCGTTTGACTAGGGACGTTCGCACGTTGCTACCAGTGCGCAGGCGTAAGGTAGGTCACAAATCAACCACTAGTCGACTAATGGTCCTTGCCCGAACTTGGCCAGGATTGAAGCTATATGCTAACTTTCCATGAGGCCAATTGGAGGATTTTGCAGGATTGAGGCTACATCCTAGCAAAAAGGCCTAGGGAGTTAGGGTTAAAAGTTACATTGACAGACTGATATCTTACCGGTGGGATAGCTGTTTCCTGGTCCCTCGCAGTACTTGCCGGGGGTGCAGTCGGTGCAGTCTTCCTCTCTCTGCAGCGAGGTGATGTTGTTGAAGGTTCCTGCCGGGCAGGGGATGGGTAAGGGCTCACCCTCTACGCAGTAGTGACCTGGGCAAGAAACAACCATGCAAACATTGTCATTACAAAGTATTTTTTTAACACAAAACAAGTATGCAGTTCTTACTATAATTTCCAGCGCCTTGAGTACCTAATTGTTGGTAGATACGTGCGCTATATAAGACTCCATTATTATTATTATTATACCACTGGAACCAGTCAAGTACACGGCACGGATATACCGCATGCTACGCGTCAGTGTGAAACGCGTAATAAATTGATGATATTTCACACTCATTTATGGTAATTTATTCAATCTTGTATAATTAGATTAGAATAGGAATTGATGAACATCATATGTGCCATTTGTCCGAGTTTTAAAGCAGGAATAGCTGCAGATTCGAAGCTTTCATCAAAGGTTGTCATTGGTTTACTGCTTTTTTGGTAACGGTTACGACTACCGGTTAGCGCATGCCTACGCATACACGATGCCAAAATAATGGAATGGTTGATTACAGTGACGAATGATTAAAACATATGCAGACACATATCCGTTCAGATGCAAACCCTCTCAACTTCTGCTGTTCATACATGGAAATGACATCATTAATGCACCCTTAAAAGTATTGCCTTATAGATCTTATCTTCCAAATTTACCTGTCTGGCAGTCCGACGGAGCAGTCATGTTGACCATGTCGCACATCTTGCCGTCGGGGCACAGCGTACAGTTAGCCTGCCCCTTCTCGCTCTGGTACGTGCCCACGGGGCAGCCTATCTCACCCAGTGTGCCCTCGGGGCAGTAGTGGCCTGCCGGGCAGGGGTAGCCCATGCCGGAGCCCTCGGTCGGGGTCGGGGTGGTGCTGCCTCCGGTACACACGTAGCTAGGGATGGCAGAAACAAATTTACACTTGAATTTTGTAAAAAAATTGATGGAATTAAAAAAAAACTCAGGGAGACTGACTACATCCACTTTTCTTAATCGGGAACGGCACAGAAATAGATTCAAGCATGATATGTACTTGCAAACTAGGAATGTAATTTTATGAAATGTGGGATTAAAAATGATTTGTTTGGTATTTTCTGACACTATTGAAGTATCACTCTCAAAAGAACAAAGAGAAATTAAAATGAGCTGTAAAAGTAAAGCAATCAGGCCTGCGTTTATCTCCGGTTTCAGTAGCATGAAACGACTGAGAAGATTTTCTATTCCCCTGGATGGGATGCTAGTCCATCACAGGTTACTCCCCAGCTACTGGTAATGCCGGTACCCATTTCTACTCCTGGGTGCAGAGAGGCAAGTGGGGATGAAGTGGCTTGCCTAAGGACAGTATGGCCAGCAGCTGGATTTGAACCCCTGAGTCAAGAGCCCTAACTGCCAGGCCACACTGCCATGAGCTGTTGCTCCTCTCAAAACCACACTTCCTCCACTGGGCTCCATGCACACGCACCCCCTCAACGGTAAGAAAGGGAGAGTAGGGGGAGACCACTGGGAGAGACATTCGGATACAGTGCCGACCACACCTGACGTTATGCAAAGACGATATGGCTATCGTGCACATTCAGAACAATATTAGTCGCGCTAAACGCGCGCAAACCATTACATACATGTACATGGTTCCTTATGGGGCAGAAAACACAATAGTACAATAAACCCCACAAGAAAATCTTTAGAAATCTATCTGCCCCATAAGGGAAATGCTATGGAGAGCCTGTTTGCATTCTTACCCTGCTGCGCAGTTCGGCGCGGTGTCCACTTTCACGAAGCCCTGCAGGTTGCAATAGCGCCCTCGTGGGCAGTCTTCGCAGCCGTCCACCGAGGTGACCCGCGTGTTGGTGGAGAAGGTACCCGGCGGGCAGGGCTCTGGGTAGGCCGTGCCGTTGAGGCAGTAGTAGCCGATGGGGCAGACGTCGTTGCCGGTGAAAGTCGTGTTGTTGTCGGGATCCACCTGGAAGGGAACGACAGAACGAAATACGAAAAGGACTGAGCACACGTACATCATTCACTTTTCTTGTGCATATTTGACTTTGGAATTAATATCGCTAATGGATGGATTTCAAGAAATTTGAGCCATTAATGTGGAGTCATCAGCGTGCCATATATTGAGAATTTGAGTATCAATGCAAGAAAGCAAAGGTTTTCTTTACACTTCACAAGCCTGGTCAAAAGCTATTCAATTGACTGTGACAAAAGCAGTCCCCTGTCTTCAACCATTGTAGTCGAGTCCATCACAAGTCCCTGCGGCTTGCAAGTCCATCACAAGTCCTTCAGTCTCAAGTCAAGTCACTAGCTATTCAAAAGGACTGTTACAAAAGCTTTCCTTTGTCCTTGTTCATCCCGTGACTTGCGACTGGACTTATGAAAGGACTTGTGAAAGGACTTGTGAAAGAATTTGTTAATGGAGTTGTGATGGACTAGACTACAACACTGTCTTCAACCCCATGTTACTAGTGAATTGACTTGTGAAAGGGCTTCTGATTTACTTCTGACGAAACCCGTGACGGTCTTGTAACAGACTTGTGATGGATTCAACCAACACCACTGCTTAACTCAAAGAACACTGTATACTCAGTGTAGTACTTAGCAGTTGGACACCAGCAACTAGACCAATCCCTTACCATGTCGTCGTAAGGCGTCGGGCTGGACGCGCCACCGGTGCAATAGTACCCAGCGTAGCACTCCTCCGTGGGTTCCAGCAGGGCCGGCGTCCCGCAGTAGGAGCCCTCGGGGCACTGCACGCAATCGTCCACGGCATTGTACCCGCCGGTCTCGCCAAAGGTGCCTGGTGGGCAGGGGTTGGTGGAACCTTCTCTAGTGCCAGGGGGACAGTAGTAGCCCTGGGGGCAGTTGGCGGGGGTCACCACGGGCCCCACTGGAAAAAAAAAAACGGAGGAAATAACGTCAGACAATGACAATGTAACCTGTTTGGACAATGTAACCTGCTCAAAACATTTTTATGCTGAACACCATCAACAGAAAATAATTGTTTAGCAAAAAGAGCAAGTCAACTAATAACTTCATTGAAGGAAGATTGCAGGGAAGTTGTTCAGAATCCTGCAACTTATACCAGATACAATGTCCGCAACTTGTCCGGAACTTTTGGGGTTTTACCTTAACAATTACCAGCAGGAAAAGTAACATTTATTTATATGTTTCAGTTCGCTTAATACCATATTGAATATCAGCAGGCCAAATGTTTTTTATTCATGAGAAAAATTACGGGGTAAAATAATGACGGCGCCTGATTCGCACGTCTCTAAGTGCTAAAAACAGGTAAGAAAGTTGCATTTTTTTTCCAAAGTAGGCCTACTAATCAAAGTTACAAAAACCTAGAGTTAATCAAAATAGAAAAGGCCGCTTGGCGCTGCAAAAGTATTTTTTTTGGAAATTTGACCGTTATTTGTGTGACCCTTCTAAATAATACGGGCTGAACGGCTGATTCTCAGATTGTGCTGGTTTATTTCTGTCGAGGAACGAAGACACCGTGTTACTTGGTCTTCGACCGAAAACAGAATCAAATATACAAAATACAAAAGAATGACTGTACAAAATACTTATGAAATAATCTAGATACTAAATACCAAAAAGGATTCATCAATATTTAAACAAGATCCCGCGGTTTGCGCCTAAATTCGGGCAAAAGTCATTTTTGAACGGAACTAGTAAAAACAGAATTTCCAAGAACTTGTCCGGAACTCGTCCCGGTTATGAATGGAGACGGGCCCTTAGGGGGTTGCACTCTCACCTTCGTAAGGATCGCAGTAGGATCCGCCGGGGCAGATGTCACATGACCCTTGAGCCAGCTGTCCCTGGTACGTCCCGTTGTCGCACAGCGTGGGCTCCCATGATCCCTCGGGGCAGGCGTAGCCTCGCGGGCACTTCAGGTCCGTGGGGGTCCCGATGGTCTGGCCCCCGGGGCAGTAGTAGCCCACCGCACATTTGTCGTCGGGCTCCCTGTTCCCTTCGCCTGAAAGAGTATTTCGTATTCAAGACAGAAATTAAGTTTAGTGGAAAATGTTATCATGAGTATTATTGGACAAAATTTACCAAATAATCAAAATGGTTAATTTGAGAACTTCAGGTCATCATAAACAGCATTTTGGAAAAAAAAATATCTGTATGGCTAGGTTGCAGAAACCTATTCAGGCATTAACCCTTACTCTCTGAGGGTAGTTTACTGCACGTCAGTTGGTTATGCCAATGCCCTCCAGCTGCAGTTTATTGGCAGATAGTGTTTCTTAACAGTGAAGGCTCCAATTGGCAGGAGTTGGAGGCCCTGGAGGGTGCCTGATACTGACCAGCTGGGGGCACTCACTTTGTTATCAGAGGACTCTCATTGTTCTCTGTGGCATGTATTGGAGTGCCTGTCCAGTTACCCTTGAAATGACATGGCAGATATTGGAGGGCCGTGCAAAAAACATATGCCATTTTCTTAAGGCACATAATGGCATGCGTTGGAGGGTCCAGTTGGGTAAGGGTTAATGCAATGGACTATAGGTACTCAAGGCACTGGGAGTTATGTCTATTATTAGAGACAGGTGAATGAAGTACGTGAGAGGTATGAGACCCATTATGTAGCACCTTATAAGGGTATACAAGGTGCTGCGGCGCATATTGCAGCCACTGCCAGAAACACCGCGGCAAACCCCTTCTCATAGCGATAAGTGTCACTGGGTTCTTTAACATGCATTACCCAACACACGGGCCCTACGGCTTTACGTCCCATCCGAAGGACGAAGTAATAATGGTAAAGTGCCTTGCTCAAGAGCATAAGCACCATGTTCCCACAGTCAGGATTCGAACCCATGTACCACGGCACACAAGTCGAACACCATAACTATTGGACCACAGCACCCCACAACCATTGGACCACAGCACCCCACACAATGTGGAGAGAAACATTCAGTTGTCCATTTACTGCTTCGAGTGACTTTGTAATTTTCAGAGAAAAATCATTTTACATCACTCTTTTTTTAATACGAAAGATATGAAGAGAGTAGCACTGGCCCAATTTTTTGTATGGAACATTTTATGAGCCTACCTTCACAGTAGTATCCTGCAGTGCAGTTCTCACAGTTCTGTGGTCCCGTGTTCATCTCGGTTCGGCTGAAGGTGCCTTCGGGGCAAGGCGTAGGCACGGCTGTACCCACCTCGCAGTAGTGGCCGGCCAGGCAGACGTACTGGTCAGGCACCGCACTGGTGTGGTTACACCAGAAGCCTGCTGTGCAGTTGCCTTTGTGTGGTCAGAGAGAATGACGGAGAGGTTGTAAGCAAGTCATCGGAAGTCATCACAAGTTAACATAATAAAAAAAATAGTCATGCTTGTTATACTTAGGTAACTTAACTCAATCACAAGCCAATCTTAGGCAAGCGCAAGTCAATCACAAGTTGTCACAAGTCAGTCAAAGTCAATCACAAATCAATCGCAAGTCAGTCACAAGTCAGTCACAAGTCAATCACAAGTCAGTCACAAGTCAGTCACAAGTCAGTCACAAGTCAGTCACAAGTCAGTCACAAGCCAGTCATAAGTCAATCACAAGTCAATCACAAGCCAATCTTAGGCAAGCGCAAGTCAATCACAAGTTGTCACAAGTCAGTCAAAGTCAATCACAAGTCAATCACAAATCAAGCACAAGTTAGTCACAAGTCAATCACAAGTCAGTCACAAGTTAGTCAAAGTCAATCACAAGTCAATCACAAATCAATCACAAGTTAGTCACAAGTCAATCACAAGTCAATCACAAGTCAGTCACAAGTCAGTCACAAGTCAGTCATAAGTCAGTCACAAGTCAATCACAAGTCTTTACATGTCAAATCACAAGTCGAATCAACAGTCATCACAACTGGATCACAGAGTTCATTACAAATAATCCTTAGTCATCACAATCACTAATTAATCACAGGTTATCCGGTCTCAAGTGAAGACACAAGCTATTCACATCAACTGTGACCAAGGCATTCCCTTTGTTGTTATTCATTCCATTTACTTGTGACATCACTAGTGATATGACTAGTGATTGAATCAACTATATCTCTGGAATGATATATTGATAAAATAAGAACTTGCAGAACTAGGTTGGCAAAATACATGTATCAACCCAAATTTGATTTTACATGTGACATCACTAGTGATATTACTAGTGACTGAATCAATTATAACTCTGGAATGATAGATTGAAATAATAAGAACTTGCAGAACTAGTCTGGCAAAATATCGACCCAAATTAAATTTTACTGCTGTTGTCTTAACCGGCCACACTAGACTAATGACCATCTTAGTTTATCAGTAAACTGTAGACTATTATCTTGTTCAACATTTTGATCAGCAGTGAAATACTGCCCACCCTTTTAAACTAACACTAACAAATATGAGGTCAGCACTCTCCAGCAGTCAATATTTCTATTTATAACACACCTCTTGCTTGTTCTTTATCCTGGTTGGCTGAAACGCAGTCACATGTGATTCACTAATATAGGCTAGTGTATGAAACTTGCGCCAGCGTGAACTAGACGCGCGTCGAGACATCGCGGGCATGTAATTTCGAGAGCATAGTGCCTGATCGGGCACTATACTACAAAAAAAAAATGTTTGACTGGTAACAGCGCCCTCAGACAAAACTCAAACTCAAAAATTGAATCTAGGGAAACTAAAAGCGTTCCTGTAATTGTTGAATTGCTTACAGCTGAATTGCTTATGAGTTAATTGTTGAATTAAAACAGTTCAATAATAAAACCCTGAACGGCTTCTTTTCTTATTTTATATTTCGGACAGAGGTGAGTTATAAAACACGTATGGACTGGCATAATTCGGTCACTAGTGCACGTCCAAGCCCCCCTCATGCATGTGAGTGATCAGAAGATGGTCCTATTTCCCGACACCGAAACCCTCTTCTGGTCACTCACAGTCCCTCGGGGCGCATAGATGTGCACTAGTGACCTCATTGCCAGTCTATATGTGTATACTATTCTACCAACCTGTTGGTTCCTCCAGGCCTGGCGTCTCGCAGTACATCCCTCCCCGGCAGTTGACAGGAGCCGGGGAACCCCTGGGGCAGTAGTAGCCTGGGCCGCACAGCCCACCGGTGCTCATGTCAAAGGAGGGGCAGACACAATCATAGAAGGGGTGACAGGTGTCGTTGGGGTACGCGTACCTGAAATGAAAGGACATATGTGGACGATAATACATATGGGCCTGCTAGATGACTACTGCACAGTAGCAAAACCCTTATAAAAACTGTATGCACTTTTTAGCATGGATACTTTCAAAATCTTCCAAAATTGCATACTATGCAGTATGTTTAGTACATGAACCCTTATCAATCTGGCGATTTTGCTCGTAAAGTTCCTGGCTCCTCTAAAATAAAAACAAAATCATAGAGAACAAATATTGTATTCTTTGAAACTGAATCAAGACATCAAAACCTATGCAAAGTAATAGTGCAGGCTCTGTGATGTAATCCTGAATGTATCAGAGTACTCCAAAAAATACTGGATCACTAATTTGTAGTACATAGTTGATACAAAGAAGTACATATGTAAGGATTCCTAAAACTACTACCACACAATTAGAATCAGTTCTAAAATTGATTTTACAACATGATCTACAAGAATGATAATCGGTTTCCCAAACTACTGACAACAGGAATAGTAATCTTTAAGAATACTTTGGTTGCGGTATCCGCTGCGATATCAGATTCGATCCAGCAAGCCGACCCCGAGTGGTAAGACGTCTGCACTAGTAAGCAGGAGGTCGTGGGTTCGAGTCCCACCCAAGTGTTTTTTCACAATCACTCGGGACAACACTGAGTATACAATGTTAATAAAAATACATCGGTGCAGGTCTAACCCCAATATTGAATCTTCAAACCACAACTACAACAATTTTAATCATCCTCAAAACCACTTGACAGTCGAACCTACAAATATGTCTTCAAATCTCAAATGAATGTGTATCTGTTTCCCTGAAATTGATAATGGAATTCAAAGCTACCATCTTTAAAAACTTGACCGCAAGACTTTGAAGCCGTTCCGAAAACTAGTCAACAGCAGGATTCGAACCTACCCACAAAGGAAACAGAGAAACTCACCCGGGAGTCGGCACGGACACCAGCTCTCCTTCGTCAAACGGTCTCTGCTTGTCCGACCCTCCGCTGCAGTAGAATCCTGGATCGCACTGGCCGGAGGGATTGACCAGCCCAGTGGACTCGCAGTACCAGCCCGGCGGGCAGTACTTGCAGCTGGTCAGGTTACCTTGGCCTGAATGGGAATAAAAAAAAGAAACTGTCAATTCAGCTGACGTCCGACCGGCAAACCCAATTTACACACAGTTATGGAGTTGTTCTCAACCCATTAGTACTTGTACTACATTGTATTTATCTCCTGTTGATGCCATAAATCCATAGAGTGCTTGGGCGGTTTGGGGCGATACAGGGAGTAACAGTCAGGGCAGTTTGGGCGGTACAGAGACTATAAAGCGTTATTGAGTTGTGATCACAAGCACTGCCACCCCAATTTGCAAAGGGAGGGTGGCCACCAAAATTGTAAACAGAACACAGTGTTTATTGATGCACCTAGAACTTTTTTTGGCAACAATTTTTGAGCTATCGGGGAGTTGAAATATGATCCAGTCAAATAAAGATACCCACTGTTTGGTTAAAATGTAATTCAATGGGCGAGTGTCATGCAAAAGTAACTGCTAGTTCTGCAAGTTACGGTTGTTCATGCAGAGCAAAACTGCCTGTTTAACAGAGTGGCTGACCTCAGGATTCTGAATATTTAAGACTTTTCACACAACCTGTTATTTCTAGATGAAGGGTCTCAGGATGTGTAACTCATATTGCCACAAATTTAAAGATCCCATACATGCTCACAGCTTGAGGAAATTCTGACAGTAGGATCTAACCGCAATTTACCTGTAGCGTTGTTGTATGTGCCCAAGGGACATGGGTACTGGTCACTGTATTCTGTGCCGGCCGGGCAGTAGTGGCCGGATGGGCAGTCGGACGGAACCACCGTGATATTCTCACAGTATTTGCCTGAAACGGAGAGATGGAAATACTATAAGGAAATTGAAAATCAATAAGACACATGACCAAATCATGAACTTACATGTACCGGTATCTCAGTGAACTTTTGTTGTTTTGACACTTGCATTTTTCAATCCAGTGGTCCCTAGATCAAATTGTGCAAATTCAGCATATCTGGAATACTGAAACATAATCACACGTTCGAATCAAGCTTTGGACAAGAATGTCAACCCTGTGGACTTGATTTACATCAAACACATCAAGAATAAAATATTGGTAATTCCCTTACTTAAATCATCATTTCAGGAATTCATAACCAGTGGTACTTACTTCAGATTCGCCCTGACATGACAGCCAAAGTTGTGGTCTTTGGTTCAGATTGAGCTTTATCAGAGTACCAAAATAATGGTCCCTGGTTCAGACCCAGCCTTATCAGAAATAACAAACCGGTGGTACCTGGTTCACAGCTAGCTTTGGACTGCCAAACCTGTGGCCCTGTTTCAAATGTAGCTCGCCAACAAAGCCACAAAAAAGGGCACTGGTTCAAATCCCGCTAGTCATGAATACCAAACCAGTGGTTCCTGGTTCGGATCCAACCTCATTTTGACGGCCAATCCAGTCGTCCTCGGTTCAACTTCAAAATCAGGTTTAAATCAGACTCGTCAAAAATACCAAACAAGCGGTCCCTGGTTGACATCCAGCTTGTCAGGAATACCAGACCATTGGTCCCTGGTTCACATCCAGCTTTGTCTGGACTGCCAAACCTGTGGCCCCTGTTTCCAATTTAACTTGTCAACAGAACAGATCAAGTGGTCTCTGGTTCATATCCAACCTTGTCTGGACTGCCAAAACCAGGGATCTCTAGTTCAAATCTCACAAGAATTCTCCAGGTCTCAGGTTCACATCCAGCTTGTCTCATCTCCACCATGATTTACAGATTGTAACAGTTACTATTCCTACCTTCAGGGCAGATGACGCACTCCGCCATCTGGTCCTGTCCCGTGTAGGTGCCGGCGTAGCAGGGGATCTCGGCCGAGGAGCCCTGGGGGCACCGGTAGCCGGCCTGGCAGATACCGCCCACTCCGGTATTGTTGATGCCGTTGGGGGTGCGTACGTTGACGCCTGCAACAAACAGGATATTCACGTACAGTTAAATCACACGAAGGACCACTAATTATCAGTTTCCAAAATTTTTTTTTTCTATTTCGAAAGAATGTGTATAAAATGCTGTTTTGACAATAAGACTGTGCAAAAAAGAAATGTGTTTCCTGCCTTAACATGTGTGTCATGTCGTGGACATTAACTGAAAATCACTAAAAAACTTTCTGTTAACTACAGAATTCAAATAAAGACTACAGAATAAAAATAATCAAACACCCAAAGCTGCATACTGTTCTTGACATTTAAAATATGTAGAGAAATAATTTCATTTGCAATGTTTTGTCCCTTTTGTTTTGTGCGCACACTTTAGGGTTTCTTGACACCAGGTATTTCAAATAGCTGTAATTTTGCCAAGGAAAAACTGTCAATTTGTCAAGAAGAAAGTTCATATTTTAACATATGTAGTAAAATCTACTTTCAATCAGCTGCCAAGAGTGCAATATATGAAATTAAAGTTGTAAACTTGGTTAGAAAGCCCATAACGTAAACTTTCATTTGGTATGTAATAGAGCTCCGTAGCCCCTCCTGTTCTGGAGATATGACGTATTTTCATATTAATTACTTCCTTGGAGTTCGAATTACACAACTGAACATTTCTGTAAATGAACCCTGAAACTTGAGGTATTAAAGATGTCATTCATGGCCAAAAACTGAAAATCACATTTTGACGAAATCTTCACCATCTCAACGTTCAGTGGGCATCACACGATAATGCACAGTGCGACTTGACCCTAACCCCCTAGTTCCTCAGGACTACCCTGCTAAATCCAACAGAGTCCAACTGGAGTCTCCTGCTCAATCCACTGTGCCTTATTTTCAGTTGTCTGCTGCATCCAACGGAGTCCAACTTGACGTTATAATGCGGTTCAGTTGCCTGCTGAATCCAACATTTTGCATCAGGAATGTACACAAAGGGTTTACTGCTCAATCCAACAGGCGCCATCGGGTACATGACATAGTTGGATCCTGTTGGATTCAGCAGGGTTAGGGTTTAAGTACGCCTTTTTGTGATTCCCTAAAAAACTCACCTATAAGACAGAAGAATCCAGGGTCGCAATCCCCGCCCACTGTCCCTTGTCCCGGTGTGTCGCAGAAGCTGCCTCCAGTACAGCTCTTGCAGTCTCCCTCCTCAGTCAGTCCCTCCGAGGCCCCGTAGGTACCCTCGGGACACGGCCGGACGTCGTAGCCCGTGCCCCGCGGGCAGTAGTAGCCGGCCGGGCAGGGGTCCGGCCGGTCACCGCGGATGCACTGGCTGCCGGCCGGGCAGATGAGGCACTCGCCGGCCCCCGTCTCGTTCATGTAGGTGGCGTTGAGGCAGGGTAAGGGGCGGTCGGTACCCCGCGGGCAGTAGTGACCGATGGGACAGATGTCACCGGTGGTGCCGTCTGAAAGAATTTCAAAGAAAATTGGAACCATCAAGTGAAGAGTTGATATTAATATCATCACTAGCCTACTCAGTCTAGTGACAAACAATTCGTGAATAAAATATAGGTTACCATTTTCTACCTTTTTTTCTTATTTTTATTGAAAAACTGGCAAAGGAAAATGAAGCAAAACACCAGCAGGAGAGCGGAATTGTTATCTGGCAGCTAATGATTTGATTCCTGTGAAGAAATAATTCAATAACTAAAGGTTGATTTTTTCGTTTGATGTCTCATTCAAAAGTGAACAGTTTTTTATATTTCTAGGAAAATAGCAATTGAAAATACAAATCTATTATTTTCGAGGTGACAATAACACAGTGAACACATCTATAAATGTACTGTAAGGAAAAAGAACTTTCTCTTTTGTGGGAGTAAGAGTATAACAAAGAACACTGGGAGTCTTACCTTCAGGATCGGCGATGCTAGCATTGCCGGCGCAGTAGTAGCCTTCATAGCACTGGTTGGTCACGTTGGATTGGCCGTCATACTGGCAGTAATAGCCGCCATCGCAGGCCACGCAATCACTCTCCTCATCCTTGCCTGAGCAAATAGAATTAAAAATCAGAATTTGAACAATTTCATTATCTTTGTACAGAGAAGGGCAAGACAGATGGGTTAAGATTCTATCCGCATCTTGGCCAAACTCATCCCGGAAACGAATTGAGACAGGCCATTAAGAAAGACAGGGGTGCAAGACATAATAGCTGAGATCAAAAAGAAAAAGTGGAGTTGGGCAGGACATGTCATGAGAAGAGACAACCACAGATGGACCCTGAAAGTAACGGATTGGACGCCATTATCATTGAAGAGGCGAAGAGGAAGACAGCCTAAGAGATGGCGAGATGAGATCTCTGATTTCATAGGGAAGAAATGGAAACAACTGGCAAGGGACCGAAAAGCATGGAAAGTTAGTGGAGAGGCCTTCATCCAGCAGTGGATTAAATTAGGCTAATGATGATGATGATGATGATTAAGCAAAAACAAATAATAATTACCTGTGTCAGGGTTGTAAGTTCCAGCCAGGCAAGGCACCGGTACAGGGGTACCGGTCGGGCAGTAGTGTCCCTCGGGGCACTTGTAGCCGTAGGATTCGCCGTCGGGGTTGCCTGACGTGGCACCCAGCACGCAGTAGAAGCCGGCATAGCAAGGCTGGCCGGGGGTGGTCAGGCCGGTGGTTGGGCAGAACCAGCCCGGGTCACACAGCGGGCACTCGTCGGCAGTACACAGACCGGTGTCGTTACCGTAACTGCCGATGGGACAATCCTCACCTGTTGGGTTGACAGTGTGATTAAGTTTCATAAAGTTGAATAAAGAAATTGACTTGGGCGGGTTTGAACCTGCAGCATCCGGATTGCTGTTCCGGTGCTCTACCAACTGAGCTATCCAGCACTATGTTGGCGGTTCCCCATTTTGCCAATGTCTTTGTTCAAGGGGTGCTAGTCAGAAGCCAGAAACATGTGCTATGTAGCCAGGGATCACACCCAAAGCCACGATGCTAGCAACATTAGCAATGCTGCCAACCTGGGAATTAAATAGCAAACAGGGATCACTCTGAAAAGATACCGATTTTTATTACAAATTTTCAAACAAACCACAAAGGGAAGCTGATAATTTTTTATAAGTTGAAAAAAGAAATTGACTGGAGTGGAGTTTGAACCTGTGACCTCCGGCTTTCCATTCCAGCGTTCTACCAACTTAGCTATCCAGCCCTATATTGGCTGTTCCCCATTTTGTCAATGTCTTGTTCAAGGGGTGCTAGTCAGAAGCCATAAACCTGTAAATATGGCATGTAGCCAGGGATCACGCCCAAAGTCACGATGCTAGCAACATTAGCAATGCTGCAAACCTGGAAAATAGCAAACGGGGTTCACTCAGAAAAGATACAGATTTGTATTACAAATTTTCAAACAAACCACAAAGGGAAACTGATAATTTTTGAAAAAAAGTTGAAAAAATCAATTGACTGAGGCGGGTTTGAACCTGCAACCTCCGGATTGCTGTTCCGGAGCTCTACCAACTTAGCTATCCAGCCCTATATTGGCTGTTTCCCATTTTGTCAATGTCTTTGTTCAAGGGTTGCTAGTCAGAAGCTTTAAACCTGTAAATATGGCATGTAGCCAGGGATCACGCCCAAAGCAACGATGCTAGCAACATTAGCAATGCTGCAAACTTGGGAAATAGCAAACTCAGAAAAGATGCAGCTTTTTATTACAAATTTTCAAACAAACCACAAAGGGAAACTGATAATTTTTTCAAAGTTGACAAAATAAATTGACTGGAGCAGGGTTTGAACCTGCAACCTCCGGCTTGCCATTCCAGTGTTTTACCAACTTAGCTATCCAGCCCTGTGTTGGCGGTTCCCCATTTTGTCAATGTCTTGTTCAAGGGGCGCTAGTCAGAAGCCATAAACCCGTATATATGCCATGTAGCCAGGGATCACACCCAAAGTCACGATGCTAGCAACATTAGCAATGCTGCAAACCTGGGAAATAGCAAACGGGGATCACTCAGAGAGGAAACTGCTTTTTATTACAAATTTTCAAACAAACCACAAAGGGAAACTGATAATTTTTCAAAGTTAAAAAAATTAATTGATTGGAGCAGAGTTTGAACCTGTGACTCTGGATTACCGTTCCAGCACTCTACCAACTGAACTATCCAGCCCTATGTTGGCGGTTCCCCATTTTGTCAATGTCTTTGTTCAAGGGGCGCTAGTCAGGAGCCATAAACCTGTATATATGCCATGTAACCAGGGATCACGCCCAAAGTCATGATGCTAGCAACATCAGCAATGCTGCAAACCTGGCAAATAGCAAACGGGGATCACTCAGAGAGGATATGGCTTTTAGCCCAGAGTTTCAAATAAAACACAAAGGGAAACTGACTAGTTGCATTATATCCGGTTTCACCTATGCATATATATGCTTCTTCAGATATTGCCCTCCAGACACCAGAGGGCAGTATTTCAATACCTGTTACTGATCCCTCCACACAGAATTTCCCCATGGGGCAAATGTCGCCGGTGACGCCGTCCATCGGGTCTGGTTCCTCGGCTCCTCGCTGGCAATAGTAACCCGCCTGGCACTTGGCTGTGGGAGCAGTCAGGCCCTCCGTGCCGCAGTACCAACCAAAGTCACACTCGTCACATTGGTCTTTAAAAAAAATAAAACGACAAAATGTTTTAAAATCAAACATCAAAACTTCAATCAAAATACACCTCAAATTGCCCCAGCACTCGATGGTTTCATTGATTTTTGGAGAAGTAAATACAATGTAACACAATTATATTAATTCAAGTGCTGAAGGGTTAACAGATAATTGTATACTTCATTTTAAAAATGCATAATAGAGTTGAGAGCATAATAGAGCGTGAAAAAGGACTCTGTTAGGGTTACAGAAAAATGTGTTTACCTTCTCTGGCCAGGGCTGTCTTGTTGGAGTAGGTCCCAATCAGGCACTTGTTCTGCTGGGCGTACTCGGTCCCGTTTGGACAGTAGTGACCGGGGATGCAATCCGGAGGGACGATGACCCCCGTGACATTGAGGAGCTCGTAGGGGTCGCAGTAGGCGCCCTTGGGGCAGACGTCACATGACCCTTGACCTTCCTGGGATTGGTACGTGCCTGCGAGAACAAACGTCACCAGAAAGTTAGATGACATCTGTGTGATTCAAAGTTGCAAATGTGACAAGTACGCATTTACCACATTTTGTCTGAACAAGTGTTTGTGTGTATTGTAAGTGTACGAGGCAGCTCAAAATTGACTATTGATTGTGCTAGGCTATATCTGATCAAGCAGTTTTGTGTCTTTTTTCTCCGAAAGGCCGGTAAATAATCAACACAAAAGGGACTGCAACCACTATTTTTGATGCCGCATCAAAAAACGTGAAATATTTTAACTGAGGCAAATTTTTTGTGACGTTGAATTCTCTTCGCATACGCATTTGCATTCAGGTTAGAGGGAATATACAACATTTGCTTTTTGCTGTAATTTTCAGAAATGGATGGATATGGGGGGTTAGTATTTTATAGCAAATATTGTTACACTGATTTGTTTGACCTTTTTTTGTCCGTAGATTTTGGAAAAACCAAGAAAAACAACCATGTTCTTGTCGTCTGGTTCCCTGACCCACTTACGGTGAAACAGAGCAATTTATAAACGCTGGGGAATTGTAAGGTCAGGGAATCAGTCTACCTGGCTTGTACCCGTTCACAGGTGTGTAATCGATTGCAAAGAAAATGTGGACTAACTAAACATGATAAATTGGGAGAAGTATTTGAAAAAAACCCAGTTTTTCCAAAGCTGGTTGGCTGACCAGCGTTGGAAATTGATACAAAAATACCACTGTTCTTGAAAGTGTCAGCACACCTGGGCCCAATTTCATAGCGCTGCTTAACAGCCGACTTTGTGCTTACCGAGCCTCCATCTATTTCATAGGGACCGTTAAGCAGTAAGCACAGCAAAAGCAGGCTTAACCTCAGCCGAAAACTTTGCTTAAATCAGTGACGTAACAATAGAAATCTCCATGCGCGCGCAACTGTAAGCACAATCACGGCATGAAATAGTGCTTAAGCAGCAGCATGATTTTCTGCTATAGTAAGCACAACTTTTCTGCTTACTGTTAAGCAGTGCTATGAAATTGGGCCCAGGTGCCATGATTTTACAGGATGCTTTAGACTGTCATCTGCATACAGTCCAGTAAGGTATTTTGTGATAATTTGGAAGTTTTATTTTTTGATGTGTGCAAATGTTATATATTCCCTTTAAGTATACACTACCTTTAATGCATTTTTCTCTCGGCCATGCAAAGCCTGAAATTACATCACCACTCACCTCTCGGGCAGAGCTCAGGTAGAGGTGAGCCCGGCGGGCATCGGAAGCCCTGCCAGCAGACATACTCCAGCGGCTCTCTGGTGATCTGGCCACCGGGGCAGTAGTAGCCCTCGGTGCAGGGTCCGGAGGGCTGGGACAGATGTTCCCCGGCACAGTAGAAGCCTGAAAGAGAAGTGTTTAGAGGGAGGTTGAGCATCTTGAGATAGGAAGAATAAGCTAGTTTGGTACTTCAACTATGCATGCCATTGTGATATGGGTTACGGGTCATTCAGGATAATCGAAGGCGTATGAACGCGCATGGAGACGGTCGCACGACGCTCTTGCGCTAATTACAACCAGAATGAGCCGTGTTTTGTTGACTGTAAACTTGAAAAATGGACTCTCCGTGACAAACTCCTGGAAGCGCACTGCATTGTGACTTGCTCGAATCGATCGAAATGTCTTGAAATAAATCGTCTACTCAGAAAGTCAAAAGTTAATTCACCTCAAGAAAATTTCAAAAATAAATAAATAATAACACAATAATACAGCACAAAATACAGAAGAGAAATGGACCCAATTTTTTCAATGAGCAGATAAGGACGGAAATTAGCTCAGTATGGAAATATTTGCTTACCAAAATTAGGTTACCAACCAAAATATCGCACGATGCGCATTGCTCATTGTGACCGGTGCTCGGCTGATTTTTGCTTAGCGCATAAATCTGCTAAGCAGTATTTTCTGCTTTAATGGACATTTTCCACTGATTTGATTTGGGGAGTCAGGTTGGCGCAGCGGTACTTTACTCGCCTTCCACCGCAGAGAACTGGGTTCGAATCCCGCCTAGGCCAGTATGTGGATTGGGTTTTCAGTCCCTACCTGATTCCGTGGATTTCCCCAGAATATTCCTCTGAGCCTTTCCTCCCACCTCTACAACTGTAACTTCTTCTCATTGTCTTCTCTCCACAGGTTTCCTCAGGCTTGCGAGCTACAGTGCCTAGGGCCCTTTTGAGTAATCCTAGGTTTCATTACCAGAAATGATTAAAAATAATCAAATCTGGGTTTTTCCGTTCCACTTACCTGGTGTGCATGACAGGCAGTTACTGATCTCGGTGTTCTTGGTAGTGTTGGAGTAGGTTCCGTTGGGGCAGGCCTCCGGGTTGCCGCTGCCTTGCTCGCAGTAGTAGCCGGCCGGGCATTCCATGCTGGGGGGCTCTGGACCGTCGTTACCGCCGGGGCAGAAGTATCCTGCATTACACAGAGCTGAAAAGGAGGGAGAAATAGACAGTTACTAACAATAACAATGAAAAATCCAAAATAGAATGTTCAAAACCTAAGGCCAAAAAAAAAAAGTCTCCGGTTTCTGGTATGCCCGCGCGTCGCCGTAGCCATGCGCGTCGGCAAAATGAAAAAGTTTTTTTTTCAATGAAAGATGATGTCTCAAAACCGCCAAACTCACTGGTTTGACTGGAATCCTGCTGCTACACAATTTTAACGTGTTTTTAGATGGGGTTATGATCGAGAATAAGCTTTATGTGGCCTCTCTGGACTCCCATATATTTGCACTAAGTTTAGTCGGGCACCATTTGCAGTCATCAGTCGACATTTGAAGCAAAAATGTCAGGTAAAAAAAAAAAAAAGCCGCGTCGCCGCACCACTTTTTGGACAAGCTCCATACCAGAAACCGGAGACTTTTTTTTGTGGCCTAACCGGTGGAAGTTTCAGCTCAGTGGATATCCAGTGTAGAACCATGCACAACCTGTTCATCACAAAACATGATTTGGTCAATAGGTCTCTCTCAAATGACATAATTTCCTACGGACCATCCATGTGCATCAGCATATTGAGTGTCAACTTGCATATAAACGCGCATCAGCTGCGTCGTATTTCGAGCACATTTCGAGGAACAAGCTCGCGTGTTTGGAACGTTTTCAACGCTGCGCAATGCGTGCTTGACTGCGTAAAATACACAGTTGCAGTTCTCCTACAGAGATGGCCGTCTTTGAGAGAGACCTACAGCACTCTGTATTCCAAAAGTCAGCTACTGGCCGATCGCTGAAAATCACCTACATATCTTGATTTCTTCTAAATGACAGCAAGCCAGACGGAATAATTTCACCGGGTGGTTAGCATTCCAAGGAAGCTTTTTGATAATAATTTGGTAGGTTGTTTTAGGATAAATGTACATTATCCTTTAAGCCTTTAAATCACTGTTTTCATACTTTTCAGAACATAAAGACTCCAAAAGCTTCACAATTGTTTTTTATATTTTTAAAGGTGCTGAGTTATGAAACATGAATACTGACTGACTACAGAGATGAAACTGGCATATGGCAAAAAAATCGGAAAATATGCCGAAGAAAAATACGTGTCCGAAATCTGGGCCGCGCTGCATTACACACATGTACATGCATGTACAATACACTACATGCCCAATTTCCGGACACCTACTCCTGCTTTATTTTCGATTCAAACAAAATTTTACGATGAAAAAAATGGTCAGTGTTTTCATTGCATAAAATGCCCGAATTACGGTTAGAGTAACGGAGTCATCAATAAAGAAGTTCACTTCTTACTTGAGAAAGTCTAGGGAAAAGTCCGAAAGACAAGGCACCGTTCATGGTGCATCAATCATGTCCATTCAACCACACAACTCCACTACTCCACTTGCATTCATACGTGGGGAAAAATCAGGTATTATCGTCTTTCTCTTCTAACAAATGCCAATGAAATGTTTCGCTAATGCTCTCTTCGCTATCCTCGAGATAATCATCATGATTTTTAAGGCATTGTATTTTGTATAACTAAATTTGAAACCTCACAACATAATGATTTTATCCACTGGATCGTTCACAAGGCTACCCGTTCGGGGCCGTTCCCGACCGGCCATGTGCTAGCAGACGGTACGGTGCGGTACGTACGCTGGTACTCATTGCGTGCAGTACATGCACGCACGTGCGACACAGTGATTTTTCCATGTCGCCTGTCAATGTTTAACCTTTTGTCCAGCCGGAGAAGGCTCCGATCAGTGTTATGCCCTGTGTTTCTACCGTTGAAACACTCCAATAACGACTGGTGAAAGAGATTAAAACTGCGTTCGCGATGATTTTAACGTGCCATTTCCATCGACTTTTCATCGACTTTTCTTCGAAATTATAATTGAAATAAAATGACATTTTGTGAGAAAAATCCTTACTAAACCAAATTTTGTGGGACACACTGTAAAAAAATCGGAAATTTCGTTGGAAAATTCAAAAAGTCGGTTTTCCGAATAAAATCGGAAAAGTTTCATCTCTGTGACTAGAATGCATATTAGTTGCACTATGTACCTTTGGGTGCTGCTAGTTCGTAATCATCACAGTACCAGCCTGGAGTACAGTCGATGGGAGCCGGGGAACCAGACGGGCAGTATGTCCCCGGATAGCACTTGTTGCCAGTGTAGTTGACGGCGGGACAGGTGCAGTCTGAGATCACTGTGGCATTGCCTGGCACGAGAAACATCAAATACATGATAAAAATAGTGTTTGGGAGTTTTAACTTGTGAACATTTGTGCAAATTAAAGGTAATTCCAATTTTCGCAATTTTTTTTTGGGGGGGTAGAAAGGCTTGCTTTACGCTAAAATTGAATGGATCGGTCAATTTTCAGATTGTTCTTGAGAACTTCTCAAAGATATTGAAAATGTTTATGGTTTCCACCATAAGTTCTGAAATATAACTTAAAAATGCATAACTCGTATATATATATAAGTGTAAGTAAAGAAAGTCACTTTCATAAAAAAAAGTAGTATGATTTCAAATTATCTGGCAGAATCAGAGAAAGAAAACTTTAAGTTAAATAAAATTCCATGTTGTGTGTTGACATTTGACAAGATTTCAACTTGTGCAAATTGATACTTACCAACGGGCAGAGGCTTGGACGTGACAGCCCCTCCGGTGCAGAACCACCCCTCGCTGCAGTTGCCAGTGGGAATGTCCAACCCTTCCCCTTCACAGTACATGCCCGGAGGGCAGAGTTCACAGGAGGAACTATTCTGCTGGATGGGGAGGGAGTTGTAGGTGCCCTCGGGGCAGGGGTGCTGAGTCACGTAGCTAGTGCCTGGAGGGCAGTAGTAGCCTGCCGGGCAGGGGTACACGGTGGGGTCGCTGGTGTTGGCGGGGCAATAGTAACCAGCCGTGCAGGTGGCACATGAACTTTGACCTGATGGAAGGAAAATAAAAATGATTGTCTATCTACACTGTCAACTAGTGGCTGGAGACTAATCTGGGCCCAATTTCATGGCTCTGCTAACCACAGAATTCCGTGCTTACGATCACCATTCTTTGCTAACCACGCAAGCAGAAAAATTCTGTGCTTACCCTGTAAGCACAGAATTCTTAGTTACGGGATGTGCGCATGCGCATAAGCCAAAATTCCTCGCTAACGCGTGAAATACGCTTACCGCAAGCACGGAAATTTCTGCTATAGTCAGCAGGGATTTTTCGCTAACTGTAAGCAGACCCCAAGAAATTGGGCCCTGGTCTAATTTTTTAGGTTGTACAAAGAGTGCAAATGTGCTCAAGGCTGGTCTTAAACGAGGTTTTGCCTTGCCCACTTCGCCGAGCAGCTGCTACGCCACCTGTCAACAGCTTTATGGGCAAGTTACCGGTCATCGCGCACTAAGTCAATCACAAGTCAATGCAATCTCCAGGCAAGTGAATTGTGATGAGGTGTTCAGGTAATCGCAAATACTAGTGATTTGACTGATACTGGTGATTTGACTGTTCATTTACTTGTGATTTGACTTGTAATTTACTAACGTTTTGACTTGAAATATACTTATGACCGACTTGTTATACAGCGATAATTTGGGGAGTAGGGTTGGTGTAGTCGTACTTTCCTCGCCTTCCACCGCTGTCACCCGGGTTCAATTCCTGCCTGGGCCAATATGTGGATTGGGTTGCAATCCCTACCCGATCCTGTGGGTTTTCCTCAGAATATCCCTGTGGGGTTTTCCTCCCACATCTAAAAACTGTAATTTCTTCACGTTGTCTTCTCTTCACTGGGCCCCATGGGAGACCAGTGGATTCCACTGAATGGGCTACCCAGTTTAAATAAGAATTATAATAAAAAAAGAATGCAAAAGTAAATGACAATCCTGAACCTACCTGGCGATGCAGTGAAGGTACCTGCGCCACACTCCAGTGGGGTGATGGTTCCCCTAGGGCAGTAGCTGCCTGCCGGGCACACCCCTCCCACGCCCTTGTGACCGTCACTGTCCGTCGGGGTAGCAGTGTCCGAGCCCAGCTCGCAGTAGTGACCGGGGTCGCACTGGCCGTCCTCGTCGGCTTGACCAGGGGTGGCGCAGTAGTGACCACCTGCGGTGATACAGAAAGGGTCAAAGGTCATCAGACTGGCTCTCCAGAAATTTAACGTTTCAAGGTTTGAAATAACACTACACAGAAACATAATCTAAATATAGAACTGGTTCTTAGAAGGATTAATTTTTCTCTTCTCAGGAATGCAAATATTACAAAGTCTGTCACAACCAGACAAACACTGATCGATTCCTATTCACAATGCACTCTGAAGTCAAAGTTTCTCCAACTGGGCCTTTTTTATTGTGAAATCAAATACACTCTAAAAATCATTTTGGAAACAAACTTGCCATGGATTGGAAATTTAGATCTTGAGATTATGAGGCAATTTAGTGTTTATTTAACAGCCAACCTGGAGAAATGACACATACAAGTATAGATTATCTATGTTTTAAATTAATTTTTAATTGGTCAAATTAAATGGTTCCGAGCAATACCTGTGCATGGTGTGCATTCGTCCTCGCGCTGCAGACCCGTACGGTTCCCAAAGAAACCCGTCGGGCACAGCCGGGTGTCGTAGCCCGTCCCCGTGGGGCAGTAGTAACCCTGGGGGCAGGGGTCGGCCGTATCACCGTGTATGCACTGGTAGCCGGCGGGGCAGATGTCGCACTCCTCGGCCCCGGTCTGATTGTAGAACGTGCCGTTGGTGCAGGGGGTCGGGTGGGAGGAACCGGACTCGCAGTAGTGGCCGATCCAGCATCTATCACCTATGGGATGTCAAGAAAGTAAAGTACATGCATAGTTCATACCTTGTAATTGAACCCATTTGCACCTGTTCCACATTGTGTTTATTTACTGAAGAATCAATAAATATTAAGTCCTGGGGCAGTTTGGGGCGCTACAGTGAGCAAAAGGCAGGGCGGTTACAGGCGCTACATTGAGTAACGGGTTAAACCGCTAGTACTTATGTGAGGCATTCTGACAATATGAGACAGAACTGGGCATAGGTCCAAATGAGGGTTTGCAGGTATTAGGAAAGAGCATAAAATTCTCCTTAAGATACTGTTTGTTGCACTTCAATCAGACATTCCGTTGACAAGTTATGGCTGTTTAAAGTTCGCATTTATCAACATCTCAAAAAAGTAAAATACTGAGAAAAAGGCCTTCAAAGTTTTGAGTTTTGTATTAGTGAAAAGACAGATGTAAACAGGTTTTTTTTCTTTAAAAAAAAAAATTAATTCCGATTTTTATACTTTTTCTTTAAAATAAGTGTTGTAGACGTATCAAAGATTCAAATATCAATTAATCTGAATATCAGAACAAAAATTACCCCCATTTGCTTTTTTGCATTTTTCTCCACTACGACCTGTGCTTAGTTCCGTCTCATTTTGCCAGAACGCCTGACATATTACCTAGTACATGTACAACTCTGTATTAACATTTTACTGCTCTGTATTAACACCCTGATGAATCCAACAGACCATTTATAGAGTACTGGGCGCTTTGGGGCAGTATCAGGAGCAACATGCAGGGATCTTTGGGATGGTGAGGAGGCTAACAGGTTTAAAGTGTCTCCCTTTGCTATGCACTCAAAAATGCAAAAATATTGTTCCTGCGATCAAACACAAAGCTTCAAAGCTTCAAGATTACCTGTGACGCCGTCTGTGGGGGCGCTGTTGTCGGCCCCGCTGGTGCAGAAAAAGCCAGCGTCGCACTCGCCGGTCACGTTTGTCTGGCCGGGCTGGTCGCAATAGTAGCCTGAAAAGAAGAACAAAACGAAAAATGTCTTTTGTTTCGGGTCACGTCACCACACCATGTTTTCTTTGAAACTGAAGCACACATCTTGCAACTAAAGACCAAATGGTTAAGCACAGAATAGTACTGCTAACAGTGAAGAAAAGGATTTTTAATTGAGCCCAGGAAGATGAAAGGGTTTTTTGGGTTTTTGTTTTTTTTGGTGTCATGCATTTGAAGTTGATTTTCAATTGCAAGGGCCACTACTTGAGATTTGTTTTCTGTTCATTTGCCCCCCTATTTGTTGGGTTTGATTCAGAAAACAGACAACAGAAAATTATCCATCCAACTTTTTTGCTGTTGTAAAAATTGGCTTGAAACACCATGGTGTGGAACATCCTCAAACAAATTGATTTGTTTTGGTGTGTACCCATGAATTAACTTTTCAGTTGTGAGTAACAGCCGAACTGTTGAACATTGTTAGAAATAAACTACTTTCCAATAAAATACAGATAATGAGCTTTGAAATGACACGTACTGTGAAATCTTGACAAGTCAAACTCCGATAACTCAAAACAACTGTAAGTCAAATAAAGAATCCATTGCCTTCAGTAGTAAAACAATGACATACAACCCTGCTTAACTCAAAACTCAGCTGAAGTCAAATTTGGAACCTGTTCCCTTGAGGTTTGACTTATCAAGATTTCACAGTATATGTATCATTTGTGGCATTCGATAAAATACAGATAATAAGCTTCAACACGATATACATGTTTCATATGTGGCATTTGAACATTTTTAATTTTGGCATCGACGTTTATAAATCTGTGGGATTGTCCAAATCTTTTTACCTGGTCTACACTGGATACAATCGCTGACGTCTCCCTGACCAACCACATCGAGGTACGTCCCCGGTGGACAGGCCTCTGGGTAGGCAGTGCCGTTAGGACAGTAATGCCCTGCCCAGCAGAGATCACCGTAGGGCTTGCTGTCGGGTCCCGGCTCCTCGGAGGAACCTGAGCAGAAGTGACCTTCACAAGAAACGGAAACAATCCATATTAGGTCTAAGAAATTGACAGCAGGCTTCAAATCCTGCAACCTTCCGAACACCCTCTACCAACTGAGTTATCCAGCTTACCGACTGAGCTATCTCCCAAATGTGGCTGGGGATTACGCCCAAAAACTGCAATGAATAATGTTGCAAGCCTGGCGATCAGTGATCACTGAGAAAGGGTACAGCTCTTTATTTCAAATTATTCAATTAAGAACATGGGGAATCGACTAGGTTAACTAGCCACGCATTTCAAAGGCCAGGCTGTACTGGCCTTTCCCTCTTTCCCCAAGATACAGTGGAACGCCGCTGTACCGAACATTCGGCTATACCGAACATCACCCTTGGCTCCCGAGCAATTGTTGTTCGAAAATGTCAGTGCAAAAACCTTAAATTTATGGCGTAAATCAAGAAATGTTAGGGCCATTTCCAATTCCCGAACGTCAAACGGCCATTGCTAATATCAGGCTTTATGTTGAAGAGTGACAGATGGCTATGATTTCCCCAAGGAATAGAAGGGAAAAGCCACCAAACCCCTCCTGTAGGTCTAAGTTGAATCGTGGACAAGTTTCGAGACTCCGCGTGTGGAATAAGAAATGCCACTACACTATAACAATTGTCAATAGAGGGCGCCGTTGATGTGAAAAAACCTCAAGCCATCAAGGCTCAAACCATCAGAGCACCGGCAGCTTAAAATCGCTATACCGAACGATCGCTATTACCAACAATTTCTGTGGATTCGTGATGTTCGTTATAGCGGCATTCCACTGTACAACTACAATATAAGACTTAATGTTTTGCACTGAGTTAATAGCAAAAGAAGAGTGACTGGAGGGTGATACATCTGCAATTCCTATTACCATCCCATTAGGAAGGGAATGCGAAAATTAAACAGCTTGGTAATTTGAGGTTTATCGCAAGGCTCTACAGGAGTTTACAGGGTACCTCACAGGTTATCGTTTGTTTAATTTTGCATTCTTCCCTTACCTGCCCAGCAATCGCCAGATTCCTTGGTCAGCCCAGTCCTGTCGCAGAAGTAACCCCCAGTGCAGTTCTGGCACTGCGCGGCCTCCCGCAGCTCCAACTGATTACTGAAGGATCCCTTGGGGCAGTTCTCCCCGGCTATGCTGCCCTCAGGGCAGTACTTGCCGGCGGGGCAGATGTCGCCTGTTGTACCGTTGTTGGGGGTGGAGGTGGCGGCCCCCTCGGTGCAGAAGTAGCCAGCTGTGCAGGGCTGGTAGGGTTGAACGTTGCCTGTGTTTTCGGTGAAACGACAGAAGATTTACAATTCACAATCTACTTATTCTTTAGATTTTTGTTTTGGACGTGAAAATTGCTTTAATTTGGTTCTGCTTTTCTTCTTATTATTATTCAGGGATGAGATTGTCAATTAAACAAAAAGTCAGAAAATTGGATGAAAGGTCTGAAATAAGCATTTCTTTCGTTGCTGATGTCTTTCTCTCCGATTCAAAAAGTCTGAATTCAGACAAAAGTCTGAAAAATCTCAAGCCGGATTATTATCATCATCTGGTTAATTGAAAATCAAATGTCTTGCAGCCTTGCGGATGAATTGCAGATCTGTTTGTACGCAAACGGGTCTGCTCTGTGATAAGTCTGGTTCCCGGACCCTACATTTTCAATCAGGAAACCAGGAACCGGTTTATCCCCACACGGTCTGAATTGTCGGGCAAATAATTTGAAATTTTACATTCAATGTCCCATTCAAAATGCTGATTTTACATTCATGTCCCATTTAAAAGTGAGACTCTTGTATTGCAAGAAACATGTAGCAATTCAGAAATCAAATCTATTTTTTTGGATTGAAACTCAAAAATAGCACAGTAAAGAGACGTTTTGAAAACCCAGAATAGTGATGAGGATCTGGATTTGATTTTCACAATGTGTGTTCAAAATGGGCCATGTTTTTTTAAGTAAATTAGGATGCTGTGTGACCATTTTAGAGGTACAGTCAGTGATGAATTCAAGTTGAGTGACGTAAGTTAACAGATTGCTTTCATAAAAAAATAATAACAATAATGTTTCATTTGTTGTAAAGTGACTGAAAAATAAGACCTATGCAAATTTGAGGCTTGCACTTTTACCTTCGCCAGGGCAGTACATGCCAGGATCGCAGGGCGTGCACTGAGTGTAGTTGTGTAGTCCCGTCCTGTTGCTGTAGGTTCCCTCAGGGCACAGGTACTCTTTCTCATGCTTGGTGCCTGCCGGGCAGTAGGAGCCAGCTGGGCAGATCTCTGGATCCGACACGCCACGATAGCTGCGGTAGCGGCCCGAGAAGTTGCCGCTGTCGGTGGTGTTCTCGGCATCCAGGAACTCGTAGTCGCCTAGACAGAGAGAAACGGGTGTAAGATGGGTGAACAAAATTGTCAGCGCATTGTTAGACTGAGATGAGTCAACTGATTTCATCATTGGACTGAGATGAGTCAACTAATTTTTCATCATTGGACTGAGATGAGTCAACTGATTTCATCATTGGACTGAGATGAGTCAACTAATTTTTCATCATTGGACTGAGAGGAGTCAACTGATTTCATCATTGGACTAAGATGAGTCAACTGATTTCATCATTGGACTGAGATGAGTCAACTAATTTTTCATCATTGGACTGAGAGGAGTCAACTGATTTCATCATTGGACTAAGATGAGTCTACTGATTTCATCATTGGACTGAGATATTAAAGTCCACTGATGGGAGGGGCAAGGGGTGGTCCTTACCATACGCTCTACAGAAGGCACCCTTGGGGCACAGGTTACAGTCGTACCGCGCCCAGTGCTGCTGGTACCATCCGCTGGGGCAGCCCGTCTCGTTATGGCTCCCGACCTCACAGAAGTGACCGGGACTGCAGGCCAGTCCAGCAGGCTTGGCCGTCTCCTGACCGCCGGGGCAGTAGTAGCCGCGGGAGCACTGGGCCGTGGGGGTCTCCAACCCCCACTCCTCGCAGTACATGCCGGCCGTGCAGGACAGGCAGTCTGTCATGTTGGTGTTCTGCTCGCGATCTAGGATTGAAAAACAAGAATGTTGTTGTAAACGGTTAATACTGGTGTTACAGTTGCTCTTTCATTGCTACTTTTTAGATTCTTTTTTTAGTCTTTTTCCCCCTTTAGTTTTTTTCCCCCCATTCAGAAGTAGTTAGCTACTTCTGAATGTGACTCGCAACAGAAAAATCTGCCCATAGGTAATTTATATGTATTTGCTGCCCAACAATAATTTTGGGGATCTTTCGTGCTTGGAGGTGTAAAAAGGGTTGCAGACTCGAAAACAGCAACAAAGTAGATTTCCATTAAAAAGAACACACATAAATTGAAAATTGTTAGGAATAAATAAAAAAAATCAAATCTCAACAAGTTGCCCATTCACATTTAATAATCAAATCCCCATCATAAGACTAATGACAAAATTAGAAGGAATTTTTTTTTTAAAAATAGAAAAACAATGTTGAACAAAGAAATTGAATAACATCTCATTTAGATTTGTAAAAATAAATCTCAACTTACCGGAGTAAGTGCCCGGCTCGCAGGGTTCCTCCACATCCGTTCCCTCAGGGCAGTAGTGTCCCTTACTGCAAGCCACTGGGTCCCTGACTGATGCGCTGCCGTTACAGAAGAAGCCGGCGGTGCAGTCCCCGTCGTAGATCTCATTGGCGTACCCCTCGCAGTACTTGCCCTTGGGGCAGGGGATGGGGGACTGGGAGCCTTCAGGGCAGTATGTTCCTGTCAAAGACAAACAAGGTGGGAAATTAATTATTTTGAACAAAGAAATTGACGGGAACACTTTGAACCAACATCCTGCAGAACATCCCAGTGTTGTAGTGAAGATCACAAGTCCTTACAAGTCACCCAGACTCAAGTCATGTCACTTGCTATTCAAATAAATTATGACAAAGGCATTCATGTTTTATTATTCATCCCTTGTTACTAGTGACCAAACTTGTGAATGGACTTTACTTGTGACCGCCATTTTGATATACTTTGTAATTTACTTGTGACCGAACTTAAAGACACATACATGTGGCAACAACACTTGAACACAAGTCATCACAAGTCCATCTCAAGTCATTCACAAATCATCCTGTGCAAAGTTAAGCTGTTAACCCCTTAAGGACGAGGTGTAATGGGGGAATTCCTCCATACATGGAGCAAGTGACCCGCGAGACTGCACAGCCTTTGTGTGGTAGCGGGACTGCACAAAAGCAGCAGCTGTGGAACTACCCACTAGCCGAGTGCCACGGCATAACACAGCTGGCAACTGCATTCCAATGAGGATTAGCGGCTGCGGCCATGACCGCTCCCCGTCTTTAAGGGGTTAAAAAACGACAAACACATTCCTTGCTAAATCTCTTATTTCTTGCGACATTGTGAATGGACTTGTGGTTGTCCTTGTAAAAGCCCCAGTGGTGAGTTTGTGAATAGATATATCATTAACTTGTAACCGGAATGGACCGATCCAGTAAGCACCGCCCCATGGTGTTCTGACCAATCACAGCCGTGATTTATGTCCGACGTGCGTGCACTCAAGTCTGACATGCGTGCACGCGTGTATGATGCGCGCGGAAGGAAAATGCAGCGTGGCATTGGAGAGGAGCACGTGTGAAGTTGCCCACGTGCGCACTGGGCGGAGCTTACTGGATCGGTCCATTGTGAAGGACTTGTGACTAACTTGGCTACAACATTTTTTAAAATGACCTTATCATTCCCAAGGCTCCCAACACTAATGGAAATCATCTGGAAAGTTAAATTTCACACGATTTACTTACCAGGCGGGCAGATATCCCCGGTGTTATTCAGCGTGTAGATGGGGCACTCACTGACCGAGAAGTCGCCAGTGGTGTTATCGTAGGGGGTAGGTCTCTTGGAGTAGGCCCCACCACTGCAGTACCAGCCGGGGTCGCATCGGTCTGTGGGCACTTCATTGTCTTCACCCTCACAGTACCAGCCACCTGTGAAAGTAATTGCCAATGTCACAATCTCCTCACAATTTCATATGCATGTCTAAGAAAGACCACGATTGAAAACAGAAAACATGTTAAACTGAGAAATCACTGACTAAATTGTGTAGATTGAGAATTCCTGTACTGTGTATACCACTGTGGACCTTTTCAGTGGAGAATAAAAGGCAACAAGATCCACAGTTGGGTAAAGGTCCACAGTTGGGTAAAATATTACAGTATGGTAAAAGTCAACAGTTGGGTAAAGGTCCACAGTTGGGTAAAATTCTACAGTATGGTAAATGTCAACAGTTGGGTAAAGGTCCACAGTTGGGTAACATTCTACAGTATGGTAAAAGTCAACAGTTTGGTAAAGCTCCACAGTTGGGTAAAGGTCCACAGTTGGGTAAAATTCTACAGTATGGTAAATGTCAACAGTTGGGTAAAGGTCCACAGTTGGGTGACATTCTACAGTATGGTAAAAGTCAACAGTTTGGTAAAGCTCCACAGTTGGGTAAAGGTCCACATTGGGGTTCTGAATAGATTTTGTCACTGTCATTTGATATTTACGTAAGTCTCCATACAATGTTATTCCTTAGGTAACGAGGACACATAAATTCTTACAGGCATTCATCACTTAGATTGGATCCAACAAAAACTTGAGTAGAATTAACTTGCAGAATTGCGAAAATACATTACTTTTTAACAGGAAAGAAAGATTTTGCTTCTGTTTGATGCCTAATTAAAATTCCAAGCAAGTTTTGTAAATAAAAACCTCTCCTTTGAATTTTTAAATCAAAATTGCTTGCTCAGATATTCCCATGTGCAAGATGTCTGATTAATGTTTCATCATCTTTTCTTCTGTACAGAGTTAAAAACACAAGTTTGAATCAGGAGTGTATGCAAACACTTACCAAGGCATGGTAGGCAGTCAAATGCGTCGTCAGCCATGGTGCGGTTGTTGTATGTCCCCTGGGGACAGGCAAACTCAGTGGCGTGCGTGGTGCTCTCGGGGCAGTAGTAACCTGGGGGTGAAAGATGAAAATTGTTCAAATTTCAGACATTCCGTCTTGAACTGCAGTGTTTTAGACATTTCTGCTTCATAGTGTGAGCACCATCAGCTATAAAAGGTGTATAAAAGTAGTTGAAAGCAAAGAACTTATTATCTTAGTGCTAAAACTAAGATGACTTTGAGTACATTGATTTTGAGTATCAAGCCAAACATTTTGGTCCTTGACCCCTGCCTAATCCCTCAGTTGTGTTTTTCCTTCCACCCCGCGAGCTTGTGTGTCCCCTAATTGTTTGTTTCTGTAGCACTTTACCTTTGACAATGGTCCTTCCAGGACCAAAATGTTAGGCCCTCTATATTTGTTAAAAAAAATTTGAATATTTTGAAGTTTAATTCAGACTTGAAGCTTTTCAAAACTGATGGGATGTTTTGATCTGATGAGCACAGCTTACCCTTCCAGCAGGGCGTGTATAAGTAGGTTGTCGAGTTGGCCGGGCAGTAGTACCGCGCCTCGCAGGGTTGGCACTCCGCCTGAGTGGTCAGGTCATTGTACGTCCCCGCCTCGCAGCCTAGAGGTGCTGGGTTGCTACCAGGACAGTAGGTCCCTTCTGGACAGGGCCCGCCGACGCCCGTATTGTTGTTATTGGGGTAGGGGGTATCCACGCCAATCTCGCAGTAGTAGCCCGGAGCGCATTCGCCCGCGACGCTATCGGCGCCGGTCCTGTCGCAGTACTTGCCGCCGTCGCACTGGGTGCACTCGGCGGCCGTGGCCAGCATGGTGACGGGGCCGTAGGTGCCGATGGGGCACTTCTCGTAGTCGAAGCCCCGCCCCGTGGGGCAGTAGCTGCCCAAGGGGCAGGGGTCGGCGCGGTCCTTGTTGACACAGTAGTAGCGGGCGGGGCAGATGTCGCAGGCCTCGGCTTGGGTGTGGTTCATGTAGGTACCTGGAAAGTTTAATGATCATCATGAAGCAAATGTCTTATTTACAAATTCTTACATGAAATATTGTTTTGAGGGGGGGGGTTGGGGTAGCTCGAAAGAAATACACATTCTATTGAATTTTTAACTCCACAATTGTATGATTATTAGCTTATTGATAATAAACAAGATATGGAAGGGTTTGTAATCTCAAAATCTGAAGAAACAAAACAAAATTTCAAAAAACATAAAAACAAAAAACACAAACATGTCTTTTTGAAATCAGCAACAGTAACGTTTCCCCGTACAAATCACAAGTGAAACGGTAGGTGTTCAAATTATGAAAATAGATCAAATCTGTATGGTGATGATGCTCAATTTTTAAATATGTATTTTATAACTTGAATCTTTGTTTCAATCATAATGAAAACCAAGTTCACATCGACAATAAAATATCTTGAATTTTGAATGGTTCACCACACATCATGCACTGTTCACAAGTTCTGCTACCGCCAATATTACTACTATTATTACTATAATACTATTAGTAAAGATCTCTCTCATAGGACGCCATCTTCATAAAAAAATTACAACTGCGTATTCAATGCCATCAGGTGTTCTAAACACGCGCTCATGTTGCTCAAAATTTCTTTGAAATATGGCACAGCCGATGCGCGTCACGAGAATTTGACGCACAAAATGCCGATGCACGTGGCAATCTGTAGAAAGTGACGTCATTTGAGAGAGACCTATACATGTGACTACTTAGATATGACTCACCATCGTCACAGGGTTGGGGAATAGAGCTTCCCTGTTCGCAGTAGGAGCCAGCCGGACATGTGTCGCCAGTCACGCCGTCTGTCGGTGTCGCGCTTGATGCTCCGCTAATACAATAGAAGCCAGGATCACATTCATCTGAAACACACAAACAAAAGAGTTAACTCCTTGTTGAGGATGGGCAGATATTGTTGTAGATGGCGCAGCCCCTTAGGTGGCGCACTTTGATATTTCGCCTCTAGTGCCTAGCTAGAGCAAAAGTAATACCTAGCATTTTATACTTAGTAAAATATCATCAAGCTATCCAACTTATCGTTCATAAACCTTGAGTTTGCCTACCTACTACAAAATTAAGAGAGAACTTTAACTTTGGTGGATTTTCCATTTTTTATTTGAACTGCCATAGCCACAGCCAGAGTTATAGCCATAACTGTAGCCATAACCATATCCTAGTAATATCTATAACCAAAGCCATAGCCACAGCCATACATGTAACTATAGGCAGAGCCACAGCTGTAGCCAAAGCCATTGCTGTAGCCACAGTCATACACGTAGCTATAGCCAAAGCCATGGCTGTAGTCAAAGCCATAGCCAAGCCATAGTCATACATGTAGCTATAGGCAAAGCCATAGCTGTAGCCAAAGCCATGGATGTAGCCATAGTCATACATGTAGCTATAGGCAAAGCCATAGCTGTGAAACCTTATAGGTATAAAGCGCTATAAAGCACCACATCTTATTGTTACTATTATTATTAGCCAAAGCCATAGCTGTAGCCAAAGCCAATGCCATAGCCAAGTAACACAGACGCGGCCTTACCTGTATAATTGGTCTGGCCCAGCTTGTCGCAGTACTTCCCTTCCGTGCAGTTCAGACAGTCTTCCAAGGCCGGCCGCTGAGTGAGGTGGTTGAAGGTCCCCACGGGACACGGGACCGGGTCCTCGGTCCTCTCTGGGCAGTAGAAGCCGGCCGGGCAGACGTCACCGTAGTTCTCCCCTGAGGGGTTGGGGTCTACGGCACGCAGGGTGCAGTAGTGGCCGGCGGTGCAGTTGCCAGTGGGTGCCGTCAGACCTGTCAAAAGAGGTGTCCGACAGACCAATACTTTAATCCCCTCTCCATAATGTTCTGATCACTTACAGTAGCTGTCAGTTATGTCTGACACGCAAGCACTGAAGTCCAACATGCTTACACAGAGCGTCTGGAATCCAACAATTTTTCGGGGCCCTTCCACGCTGTTAGGGCTTCGCGCTCGCATGATTTTTGGTCAAGGTATGTGTCCCCCCCCCCCCCCCCCCACTTTTGATAAGCGATTGACGCCCTTGCACGCGCATGACATGCAAAGCTGACAAATACAGATCTCCCTGAAGAGGAACATGTGTTGTTGCCCACTTGGTAAAAATATAAGGCCTACCCTGTGTTTGGCAGTACTGTCCCGGCGTGCAGGGCTCACACTCCGTTACATTCTCCAGGCCGTAGTGGTCACTGAAGGTACCCTCGGGACACTTGATTCCCTGGTCACTGCCCTTGGGGCAGTAGTAGCCCGGCTGGCACTCGTAGCCGGTCACTCCGTCCGTGGGGCGGGAGGTGTTGGAGGCAGACACGCAGACGTAGCCGGCGTCGCACACATCGGCAAACACGGTGAGACCTGGGGGAGGGAAACGAGGGAAGGGAAATTAATACTACATTTCGTCGGGAATTTATTTTTCATAAAAAGAATTCAATTCAAAAGTAAAACCAATATTGAAGGGGACATTACAGGACCAAGAATGCCAACAGTTGCTCCGATTATCTCCCAGGCCTACCAATCAGATGCAATGCCAAAAGCCTCCCATAAAGATACCAATCACACGAAGGAATGCAAAGGAAAGTTGTAGATAAATCCACCGATTACCAGCCAAACCACGGAGTGATGTACCATGTTGCTGCCTAGTTCTCACTGCCTTCTGCTTTGCATGCAAATAGGCCGTAACACTTTGTTTGATCCAAAGCTGTAATAAGTCCATCACAAGTCAAGCACACTCGAACAAAAGTCATTCACTCTCAAGTCAAGTAATAAGCTATACACATGTGTGATTTATTCTGACTTGTGATTTACCTGTGATAAGCAATTGCATTAGTTTGTAATACACTGTCTGTTAGACTTCAGCTTGACTGGCTTGCACTTTAACGGGCGAAGATTTGTGATTAATTTGCGACTTACTTATGATTCACTCGTAACTGCTTTGTGATTGACTTGTGATCGACCTTTGATTGGCTTTTTGACAGCCTTGTGATTAACAAGTGATGGGCTTGTGATTGACGTGATTGACTTGTGATTGACTTGTGATTTACTTGTGATTGGCTTGTGATTGACATGTGATTTACTTGTGATTGACTTTTGAATGAATGCCTTCAGACTGATGATTCACTTGATACTGATTTCTGATTAACTTTTGATTGGCTTTTTGGAAGCCTTGTGATTGGCTTGAGATTGACTTTTGATTGACTTCAGAGTGATGATTTACTTGTTACTGATTTGTGATTAACTTGTGATTAGTTTTTGGAAACCTTGTGATTGACTTGTGATTTCAGTCATTACCTTCCCCATCACAGTAGGTTCCCCCAGGACACGGCTGGCACTGGCCCACGTTCTCCAGGCGGGTGACGTTGCTGAAGTAGCCTGCCGGGCACAGGTACTGTCTGGCGCCCTCGGTGCTCTCGGGACAATACGAGCCCGGCGGGCACTCGGTTGGAACGACGACGCCGGAACTGAAAACGCCGAGGGAAACGGCAGCTTCGGTGGCATCACAGTAGCTGTACAGAAAATGAAATAAAAGGATTTATAAAGGACTTGAAATATCCACCTGGGTGTTGGACCGAAGAACATGTGCCAGTTTTGTACTTTTTATGACTGGTCTCATAGTATTTCAAATTAACTGTCAACATCAGAGATACCAAATGCTCGGTTTTGAGTCCCAACTGAAGAAGTAATGTGTTAATTTTTATTGCAAGTTTTATTTGCCATTTCTCATTTATTACAACAAGCATGAATGAATTGAAACCTTTTCTAAAATTCTGTGCATTTTGACGACCCCTTTTAATCATGATTACTTTACAGAAACAACTGGCTTACTGAATATTCAAGTAATGCAATACCTCAGTGGTTGTTACTAAACATATAAGAATGTAGCTACAAGTGGTCATCATTTACTATTTGGCAGGCAAGACTTGCATTGTGATGCATTGGCTGGTTTCAAACTGACACAAATGGGTAAGAACCAGCTAGAACCAGTTCCCTACTGAATATTTATCAAGCAAAACAAAGGGCAGGGCTTGCATTCCAATAACATCACTTGAAGCTGGTTGGTTTAACACCAACACAACCTGGCCAGAACCAGCTAGATCCAGTTCCCTACTGAATATTCATCAAGTAAAACAAAGGGCAGGGCTTGCATTCCAATGACTAACACAAACTGGCCAGAACCGGCTAGATGCAGTTCCCCACTAAATATTCATCAAGTATCGATACTATTCTGCTGGGCAGGGCTTGCTTTTGGATAACCCGTCTTTGTATTGGTTGAATTAACACCAACTCAAACAGCCAAGAACCAGCTAGATCCAGTTCCCTACTGAATATTCATCAAGTAAAACAATGGGCAGGGCTTGCATTCCAATGAGTAACACAAACTGGCCAGAACCAGCTAGATGCAGTTCCCTACTGAATATTCATCAAGTACTTACTATTCAGCTGGGCAGGGCTTGCATTCCGATGACCCCTCCTCGTCCTGGTACTTCCCAGATACGCAGGGTTCCGGTGCGGGATTCCCGCCGGCGCAGTAGTGACCCACGGTGCAGTTGTACTCTACAGGGGTCGCGGTGTCCTGTCCGCCTGGGCAGTAGTAGCCCGGGTCACAGTCGGCCGTGGGGGCAATATTACCCGTGCCGGCGCAGTACATGCCGGGGGTGCAGGACAGACAGTAGGTCACGTTGATGTTACCTGTAAAATTCAATAGCAGGTACAATTAAAACATATACTGATCCAATTTCAGTTCACCCATTGTCCCCAAAACAGCTGTACAGAGCCCTGCTTTTACTCCAAAACTTTTCCAAAGTCCCTCAAAATTTTGAGGAAACCATAACTGTTGATTTACAGAAAAGGTACTAAAATTCTGAAAACAGGCAAAGGAATGAGCAAAATAGACGCTACTATAAGCTTCTATAAGCTTTAAACTTGAAAAATAAAATACGTTTTCATGGTCGCTTTTCTAAAATTTTTACAAGATTTTTTTGTAAATGAGAAACGGTACCATTGAAATTGGAATAATGTCACAGGGTGTTTGGTACCATCCGTATCTTCACTTTGAGGAAGGTTTTTCTCATTGAATCAGTAGGTCCTTTTCCAGATGCCTGAAAGTTTTGCAAATTTGAAACAGGAGCAAGGATCCACACAAATTCCCACCAGATCAACTGTTACTCTCTTTGCAAACAACACTGGTGTCTGGTTAATGAACACAATCAAATTTATGTGACAGAAATCAAAATGTATTTGGGTTGACTTTTAGGTTTGGCACGAATCAGTGTCAAGGAGTGAACAAGGGGAACAGTTTCTGCAAACCTGTAGTGTTTGAGAATGTTCCAGCCGGGCACGGCGTTTCCGTGACGGAACCCTCTTCGCAGTAAGCTCCTGTTGGGCAGAGACGGTGGGGTGGGTCTGGTCTGGCAATGCCGCCATCACAGTAGTAGCCTGAGAGGTAAGGAATTGAAAAAATAGAAGAAAGTGTTGATGCTTGACATAATCATGCACAGTGTTCTAGTTAAGTCCTTTTCTGAGTCTGGCAAGTATACCAAAATATATAAAGTAGGAGTGCCGTGGCCTCGTGGTTAAGGACATTGAATTCGTGGTCTGTGGGTAATTCTGCGGGTTGTGGGTTCGAGTCCAGCCAGGGGTCATGGTGCGTGTGCCCTTGGGCAAGGCACTTTGTCACTCATTGCTTCTCTCCACCCAGGAGTAAATGGGTACCAGTGAGGGCAGTGATGGTTATGTGATTGATTTAGCTTCCTTGCGCCTAAACAGGCAGCATTGAGCTGTATACTCCCCAGGGAGCTGAGATAGTATTTGGAATGTTTAATTGGCCCAATGAGCAGGGGTAATAATAATACTGTAAGCGCCGTTATTTAGTTTACTAAAAAGGGCGTTCTTAAATGCCGATAATTATTATTATTATTTAATTAGGGAACAGCAGTGTGAGGAGCCAGTCTTCACTGTGTGATAATGGCCGGGTTGGGGGATGGCCGCTGTTAATGGCCAGAGCTGAATCCAATTAATAAATACTTTTTTTTTGCCGAAATAAACGTTAAAATGCTCCAATTTTGTGACTATTCTTTCGGCGATATTTCCAGACTTTATTGTGTTCATGTTCAGTGACCATATTTTAGCTTAATGCATGGTTCCGTGTCTCTTCAATATGCGCTGTAATATACCACCCTAGCTGGGCCCAGGCTGCACTGGACGACGTCTTCATTGCATTACAACCACTAACGTTCAGGGTATGACCTTCTGCTACCATAGCGAAACAAATTTCAACAATGTTTTTTCATATTGTTAACCTGATGGAGGAAGCTGAAATTTCATTTTCATTTTCCTTGCGTCTAGAATTGCAAAAGATGCTTGGATTAGAAAAAGTAAATATGTGCAAAACTCAAGGAGAAAAAAAAAAAGACATCCAAGTAGCCGTCAATAAAAAAACAAAAATTCAGATATTTGATGGCGATTTTAAGTGGAAAATCCAAGCACTGAACTGGATCTAACTTACCTGCGTCACAGTTTCCGTTTGGCTGTTCCAGGCCCCACTCCCTGCAGTACTTGCCCTCGGTGCAGGGTTCCGGGTAACCGGTGCCAACTGGGCAATAGGTTCCGGGCCAGCATTCCCCACCTATCAAATAGGGAATATAAGTTATATATCACTTGAACCGACAAACATGAGAGTGAACTTTCCAAATAATATGCAGCATCAGTTATTTGACAAAAGACAACTCTGTTCACAACTGAACTTGTTAAAGTTGTTAAATTTGAATTTTTACCATTCACTGACATGATTTTCAAAGTACTGTAAATGTAATAAAATTAGGTTTTGCCCTTCACCGACGTATAAACACTGTATACTCAGTGTGTTACCTCCCGAGTGAAAGTTGGAAAAAATCACTCGGGTGGGACTCGAACCCACGACCTCCTGCTTTCTAGTGCAGATGTCTTACCACTTGACCACCGAGCTAATGGGATCAGTTGGCTGGTTCGAATCTGATGTACACAGCAGATGGTACCGCATTAACTATTCACAAGATGGAATTTTGCATCGGGGTGATGTAAATCAAATTAAGTTTTGCCTGTAAATTTGGGAGGAACCAAGCACAAATTTACACGAAACTTACGTCAAAGATAGACACGAAAAGACAGCTTTTGGAGAAACTATATTTTAATAACAAAAAGCCTATCCTCGAGTCCTGGCAAAATCCCTGAAAGAACCCCACATTGCACAGGACAAGAGTGATGATAGTACTTAAGAGCTTTCTTTTTTTCATAAGCCTTTAGGCTTGTGACAGTACTTAAGAGCTTTCTTTTTTTCACAAGCCTTTGATCAGTAAATTGATAACTGTACAAGAAACAACTGTGCGCTTTTAAACATGGTGGAAAGCGCATTATAAATGTTGTAAGTTATAGTTATAGTTATAGTTATGATACCGAAGCGATCACGAAACCATGTGATCGCTTCCGCACCAGCAAATCTGGTCCCAGCTGGACGGTTACGTCATCGTGTCTCCCCAGACTACAGACAATACATAAGATGATAGCCATAGCCCTTACCGGTGTAGTTAGCCAGTGGGCAGGTGCACTCAGACAGGTTGGTAGCGTTAGCCGTTGGCAGTGGCATATCCATGTATGACCCGCCGGTGCAGTACCAGCCAGCGCTGCAATAACCACTGGTTGTGTCCATGCCGTCATCTGCAAGCAAAGAAACAAACCGATAATATTTATTTACGATGGAATTTACACTGACTTACATAAGTTCTGTTCAGTGGCGCACCCAGGGGGGGGGCCTCATGGGGCTTGAGCCCCCCCCCCCCCCCCGAAGAGGTTGTTAATTTTTATTTTTTTTCGTATTTTTTTTTTTTTAGTCCCACGATTTGGCCTTGGTGATACATGAATGTGGCCTGTTTTTGAGTAGTATAACAGGGGTGTAAATGGCCCCACCAACGTCAAAATAGCCTGCCCCTTTAAAAAAAAAACAATTTTTTTCAGCGGCCAAAACTTTTGGGCAAAATTTTTTGAAAAAAAATCAACTTTTAACAAATTTGTAAAAAAAAAATTTGAGCCCCCCCCCCAATCAAATCCTGGGTGCGCCACTGGTTCTGTTTATTCTAATTTTTATGTTGCTTTGTCCAAAGCTATGGGTACATGTACGTCTATTGCCGTGTAGTTGTAATTGTTGAAGACCTTGGCAATACATGTACCTCTAGACAAGAGATTCAAACATAGCTTAAAGTTTGGTAATAAAATCAAGTGTCGCCCACACATAGGATATCAGCTTCGGTCCAAAAATTGGGCCACCGGTATCAAATGATCGATAGGAGCAATGCTCATAGTCATTTTTGGCAAGGTATGCACATGTAGAGTTGGAAAATGTGTGACAGCTTTGCAGTGTGAGCAGTGGCAGTTTTTTGGGTGACATCACTTTTAATTATTTGTTTTTCAAATGGCCGCCAATATGCTTGTTACCGGATTAATGATATGTGGTAACAAGCATGTTTTGGTGAAAGCACCCCAAAAGCTGCCACCGCTGCAATGCTATCCCGTATTTTCCAAGTACAGGGGTGCATAGCTTTCCAAAAATCACAGTGAGCATTATTCCCCTCATTTGATACCGACCCAACCCCCAGGCTGATGGCCTATCAAGTTCATTTCTGTTTTCATTTTAAGGCCGCATCCAAATTACTTGGCTACGCCTTGCGATTACACATGCGCCTGTGAAGGCAGCCGCAGCCACTTCCCATAGACACGTATGTTATTGCTAGCCATAGCCACATCCTTCAGACACGGCCTCATATTATCAAAGCAAGAGACAGAATTAACCATAGAGCTATATCAAATTACTAGAGCGCTAACTCCACATTCTTGCAAACAACGCAAACAACTTAAACGCGTCATGACAGTTAAAAAAACGTCACGGCAAAACACATCTGCAGCGAATACGCGCAGGCGTTGCTCTGTTTGCGTAGAGTAAAATGACACGCTTATTTGCTGATCGTGCATCGTGTTTAGAATACAAACGCAGATATGCAAATAGCCGTACAAAAGCCGTACAAAATTTCGAGTTTTCCATAGGTTTGTGTACAAACATGGATGCGCCCACCAGGCATCTCTTTGTACATTGAGTTAGCGCTCTAGTAATTTAATATAGCTCTATGGAATTAACTCAGCTCAGGTACTCACATTCGCAGTATTCTCCCCGAGGGCAGGACAGGCAGTCCTCAGGCCCGTCGCTGCCGTTGACTGGGTTGTAGCTACCCTTGGGGCAGGGGAACTCGTAGCTGTACCTCGTGCCCGGCGGGCAGTAATAACCTAATATCACAAAGAAAAGATAAGTCATGAGTAAGCAAAGTTTAAGAATACTTCTTATTGCATATGAGGGATGACACTCTATCCCAGGTTACTTCCAAGCTAAAAAGGTAGAGAGAGGAAAGTTGGGGTGAAGTGGCTTGCCCAAGGACACAGATACCGCAAAGTGCATTCCAAGGCCAGGTATTTGAGATGGATCATGAGCACATCACAAAGTCAGGTCACAAATCAATCGCAAGTCAATTCACAAGTCCAGTCACAATGAACAATAACAAAGGAATGTCTTTGTTACACCTCACTTGAATACGCCTTATTCACGTGTCAGCCATATTAAACTAAAAACGAGGTAACTTCTTCATTTTTAGAACTTGAGAGTAGAGACGAAAGCAATGAAATAAAGGTTCATTACAAATTAATACCAGTCAGTGCTGATGAGTAATTTAAAATGTGTGATTAAAACATCCCTTAATATTTTAAGCCACATTTAAAAAAAGAAAATTGAAAGTGAAGCTTGGAATGCATAAATAGCCTGGCACCATCCCATTCAACAGTTAAAAGTTTATAAAATAGGTTCAGGGAACGTGATCGAAAATGGCTTCCTCGTGAATAAGGTCTATAGCTTGTGATTTGACTTGGTACAGAATAACGAGAGTCAGGTTGGCGTAGCGGTACTTTTCTCGCCTTCCACCGCTGTGACCCAGGTTCGAATCCTGCCTGGCCCAATATGTGGATTGGGTTTTCAGTCCCTGCCTGATTCCGTGGGTTTTCCCCAGAATATTCTTCTGGGCTTTTCCTCCCACCTCTAAAACTGCAATTTCTTCTCATCGTCTTCTCTCTAAGTTGGTGTGATGTTTCCCATGGGATGCTTTGCCGACTATATGATACAGATACAGATAATTTGTGATGACTTGTGACCCATCACAAGTACCTCAACTGCAACCCTGTCAATTGGCCAACGACGCACTGGCTGGTCTCAGACTCTATATCTGCGATTACAGATATTATAGCTGTATTCAGACTCACCAGATGGGCAGATGCTATCCTCATATGTGGTTGCGTTCTCAGTGCAGTAGTATCCCTTCTTGCACTCGGTGCACTCCGACTGTTGCTCCACGTTGGTGTAGTACCCGGCCGGGCACCCCAGTGGCACGGCAGTGCCCACGGGGCAGTAGGAGCCGATGGGGCAAATACCGCCCTCGCCCGTGTGTGCACCGGATGGCTGGTCGGTGTTTACTCCTGTAAAAACAGTCAGGAAATGACAGTCATGAAAATATGATATCGGGGTAGTTTTATGTACCTAAAAGGCCTCAAAGCCCCTTAAAAGACCTGCTTTTCATTCCAACAAATGCTCACACTGCCCTTGTTTTCATCCTACTGAAACTGTGTGTTATATCACACAATGCAACAGAATTTTGTAGAAGAAAAAAAATAAAACCGAAACACAGAGCTCAAAATATGGACCAACATGTACCATGAGCTAAAAATGATATTTTCATTCGAAAGAAAAAAGATAATCCATTTGTGAAGATTTCACTTCTGATTTTATTTCTTTTTGTAGGGGGGGGGGGGGAAGCAGTTTGAGGAGTTTGCATGGCACACATATTTGTGTGAGAGTAATGTTGCAAGTAACATTGCCTTGTAAAGTAACGTTGGGTAACTGTCTACCATGGCATAGAATGACAGAGTTCTACTGAGGGAATTGTTAGCTAGTCGCCCAAAATGCTTTTTTTTATGCTCTCTCTCTCTGGTAACCTCTTTATGGCAAATTATCACTCCTGTTTCATAAGGCACTGCCAGCTATAGCAGCCCTCAGGAAGAACAAAGTACATTTTTCCCAACAGCATATGGAAATTCTTCAATGCACTGTGTAGAATTAGAATTTGTCTGTCTTTTCTCTTTTAGAAAATTGCCTTGTGTGACAGGGGCTTAAAACACAGTTGGACAAGAACTCACCTAGCTGGCAAAAGTAGCCAGCTGCGCAGTCGCCGGTGACGTTATCTCTCCCGGGGTACTGGCAGTACTTGCCAGGGTCGCACTGGGTGCACTGGTCCTCTCGGTAGATGCCGTAGTCGGGGTTGTATGTACCAGCCGGGCACAGCTGGAGATCTGCTCCGGTCTTAGGAGGGCAATAGTAGCCTGGAGGGCAGGGGTCGGCGCTGATGCGACGGACGCAGTAGTGACCTGGTTGGGATGGGGGAAATAAACAAGAATTATGGATACAGTTTTGGGAAAGCAATGACGACAGGGGTCGGTGTTGATGCAATTTACTCAGGAAAGGGGAAATATAAAAGCACTGTAAACTTGATTTTGGAAGGGCAATATTAGCCAGGATGAAAGTGGTAGTCGCTACTAATGGAATAGATACAATAGTGACCTGTTCGCGAGGGGGAATATAAAGAACTTTAGACTCAGTTTTGGGAGGGCAAGAGTAGCGCAAAGGGCACAGATCTTTACTGATGCATGGGAAGCAAAAACCTGGCCAGAAGTCGGGAAATATAACAATTATTAACTCAGTTTTGCTTTAATATCCTTGCTGAAAAAGAAGCTCTGATTATCAGATAAAATAGTAACTTTGATCTTACCACGGAGACAATATTCAATTGAATTCAATTCAAAATACTTTATTTATCCTTAAAAAGACAATTGCATATGGTTGGACAGCTCATTAAAACACTTAGTAAATTACAAATATTTAAATATATATATAAAACTTAAAACAATCACAAACAACATTGGTGTAAAAACTCATCTTATCTAAAAACGTAATATCTTATACTACTAGAAATAATTAAATTTTTAAACATGGTTTTAACGTTATAGCTGGACATTTGCTGGTACAATCCTACCTTCTGGGCAGTCCTCGCAAGCATTGGCCATGGAGTAATTGACGTAGGTTCCGTTGGGACAGAACTGGTGGTAGGAGGAACCCATGACGCAGAAGGATCCCGGCGGACAGATGTCTCCTGTGACTCCATCGACGGGGGCGGGGGAAGATGCCCCGCCCACACAGTAGTAGCCAGGGTCACATTCACCTATTGGGAACATTAAAATCATGGGAGTTGCGGAGTGTCAGACTGTTTGAACTATAAATAGATTTGTTGGGTGAAAATGTGAGAAACTGGGATTTGTGTCTGTTTATGCCACTTTGTATATTTGATGGAGACCATACATGTATATGTATGCAACTGGGGCGAACTTCTTGGAGATTACCATCACAAAATACCAGGGGCAGATTTCACAAAACTTGTCTTATCTTGCGTCTCATCTTAGGACTTAACTTAAGACGAGTCCCAGCTCTAAGATCAGAAATCTGTTCAAATCTGCTTCTACAGCGATTTTCTTCCTCGAAACTATAACTCTCGGCCAACACTCGTCTTTAACAACAATGATTTCCAGACGATTATACAAATTATCGCACGCAATAATGAGATAAGACGACCCTCAGACCGGTCTTAAGTTAAGATGAGTTAAGCCACATCGCCAAGGAAGTTAAGACACATTGGTAAAATCGATCCTAGGACTTGGCTAATAATGGATCAGTCTTTAAGGGGACATGAAATCAATTGTGATGCGTTGAGTTGTTTTTCGACCCCAGTCAAAAGTTTTTTTATTACAGATTTGAAAAGAGCACAATCTCAGCATTACTGCTGTGAAAACCGCATGCTGATACCATCTTTTGTTCAAAAATTATGGAAGTTGAAACACCAAGAGATGTGATTAAATGTTGAATGAAGTGGCCCTATTTTGGCCTGTATCTCCAAATGAAAATTCCAGACAAACGACTCATGTAGCTTGATCGCATCACAATTGATGTACATTCACATATTTGTTTTGTTCACAGCCATTCTATCTCCTTCAACCTACCTGCCATGTTCTCAGCTCCCGTCTGGTTGCAGAACATCCCCGGCGCGCAGGGCAGGCAAGCGCTCTCATTGGTCATCTGCTGAGCAGGCTGGTAGGTTCCCGCGGGGCAGGGGTAGGGGACCGAGGTGTTGGACGGGCAGTAGTGACCGACTGGACAGATGTCGCCGTAGGCTTCGCCGATAGGGTTGGGTTTCTCGGCCGCGCCCGTGCAGTAGTATCCTGTGAGAGGGGAGATTCAAAACAGTTAAGACAGGACTCGAACCTTGGAAAATTGAACTGCAGTTCCGGAAGCTTTACTGACCCGATAGGCAGGATTTAGTGTGCAGCAGTTACCAAGGCAGTTACCAAATTAAAAAAGAAAAGTAATACTCTTTTTAGCATGAGCTCAACAGAAATAATGGAAACTCATTATCAAGGATTTCCCAGATTTCTAGAGTGGCTGGGAACCGTATTGTAATGGGTAAATTCATTAAAGAAAAATAGTCACCCAAAAGTCATTCAACGAATTGCTCCATACTTGGTCAATCTTTTCCTTATGAAAATCAAAGTAATGAGGTCCTCACCTGGTGAGCATCCGCCGTTGGGTTCAGTCAGCCCCACCTCCGAGCAGTACTCTCCCAGCAGACAGTCCGTGCAGTCTCCGATCTGGGTCAGCTTGTCCATGCCACCGAAGGTCCCCTTAGGGCAGTACTCGTACCAGGAGTAGCCAGACTCGCAGTAGGTACCCGCCGGGCAGGGGCCGCCCGTGGCGTTGGCAGGTTCAGGGGTCAAGGTCACGGCGCCTAGGACGCAGTAGTAGCCGGCTGCACAGAGGCCCGTGGGGGCGATCTGGTTGGTAGCCTCGCAGTAGTAGCCTGTGTAAATGTAGTAATGCAATTGCCGATTACCAGTGGAAACACTGTGTGGTCGCAGAATGCTTTGACTGATTCTCAGCTTTTAAAAGACAATGGCACCTGTGACGTCATGCCTGTCAGTTTCTGACAGGCAACACAAGTATCAAAGCATTGTAAGATTTGAGGCTTTGCATGGTGGAGTATCGGTATCGTTGCTGTTTGCGGTAACACCATGTGGTAATAACTACTGCTTAGAAGATACTTATTAGTTCTGAAAAGGACTTGTCCTGCTTATTATCAACTTTCGCTAAGTAGTTTTTGTTCTGATAAGAACAGTCCTGCATTAAGTTCTAAAAGAACTTGTCTTTGGTTTACTTCAAAGCACTGCTCTTACATCATTTCCTGACACTGTACAGTTAAAGTCAATAAGTTATTCTCGAGATTTGAATGAAGTACACGGACATGAAAAGCTCTACATCTGAAAAAGCAACCATTCAAAAAAGACTCGAATATTGCAGATTTTAGACCCACCTTCTGTGCAGAGTCGACACTGGGTCTGGTTCTCCAGGCCCGTGATGTTACTGAACGTGCCCACAGGGCAGGGGTGCTGTTGGTCCGTCTCGGTTCCTTCTGGACAGTAGAAACCTGGTCACAAAATGCAAGCAAAAGAAATGCTTTCAAACAAGACAGCCCACCACTTTTTTAACTTCATGGTTGACTCCCTGCAAAGTGCACTGCGGTCCAATGGCTCGTTGATTCATTGGCCAGGGAACACGGAGCTTGTGTTCTTGGGCAAGACACTTCTACTACAATTGCCTCTCTCCACCCAGGAGTACAAATAGGTACCTGTGAGGGTAGAGGCCAGTGAGAACTGATCTCAAGCTGCTCCAGAAAACTGGTCTCATGGCCTGATGAACAGCAATAATAACAGCAATAATGAACAGTTCTGGGATAAACAGGCAGGAGGGTTTGGTATGGTAAAGGGAGTAACAGGCAGGGCGGTTTGATGCGATACAGGGAGTAACAGGCAGGGCGGTTTGGGCGGTAGGCTACTGGTTTAGGGCTTGCAACCCAATTAAAAAAAACACAGAGACATTCTATTATCTACAAACCTGCCGGGCAGACTTTGGGTGTGACGACGCCATGTGAGGGCGCTCCAACTCCGCTCTGCTCCTCAGCTATGGCTTCGTCTTGGTCGCAATACGAACCTGGAAGTAGGAAAGATGTATATCTAAACAGAAAAAACTTCACACCATAAAGACCCTATGGTCCATTATCATGTTGCGGCCGTCTTGATTTTTTTCCCATTCAAATCAACGTAACCAAAGCGAGGCTGGAAGGAAAAATAGTCTGGTTTCATTTTGACAAAAACCAAAAAATTCATTCCGTACTGTTATTGTGTACAGGGAACATGACTAAAATGGTGGCAGCATGATAAAGATTTATTAGAATGCCTCACTGAATGGATTCAGTAGCTTGGACTCTGTGCACAAGTACCCCTCAAGGGCTGAAAAAAATACAGAAACTCGGCTAATGACTAACAAAGAATTTAGGCCTGTGGCATTTGAAAATCCTGTAAGGATTTGGTGTTAAAAGCCTTCATTGTAAGTTGCAGTAACCAATAAATTGTTCACTGACCTGAGGGGCAGACCAGGCACTCCCCTTGTCCCACCGATGGCTGATAGGTGCCCGACAGGCAAGCCGTCTGGTCGGGGCTACCCCGGGGGCAGCGATGGCCCGCCAGGCACTGGGCGCCTGGGGGCTGCGGCACGGTGGAGTTCTCCCAGCAGAACCAGCCCTCGTCGCAGTCGTCGTTGGGCAGGACCCGGCCCCAGCCGCTGCAGTACATGCCGGCCGTGCAGGGCAGGCAGTCCGTCAGGTTCTGGTTGGCGAAGCGATCCGAGAAGGAACCTAGTGCAAAAGATTTAGATTTGATCATCCAAATGTTTAAATAATAGAATAGTGTGGGAGAGCACTTTTTCAAGGGGGACGAACCTGTGTTCACAGGAACGGAGTGCCCATCTCTCTTTCAAAACGAGTGGGCCAGACTCGAGTCCATGAACTGCTGTGGGGGGATCGCCACACCTCCTTCAAAACGAGTCTGTTACCTTCCCAGCATTGAATAATGCCGGTACCCATTTAACACCTGGGTTGAGTTTTATATGCCTAGTTTAAAACCAGTTAGGGACCTGGTCACTGATAATAGCCCGAGCCGAAGATGACACACACATTCAGGCCATTTCTATGGTGTACGTTGCGCACGCAGAGTTTCCTAAACATCACATTCTTGTTATATAAAGATCATATCAGTGGTTCTAAAGTACCCGCTTGTTGAAGGCATTCGTGGCATGTACAGCATGCATGCAGCTCAGAGTGTAACGCCTTGCAAACGCATCCGTACATTACTGCTAATAACCTACCTGGCGGGCAGGGTTCTGGGCTGCTGCTCCCCTCCGAACAGTAATGACCCTGCGGACAGATGTCTCCCGTCGTCTCGTTGACTGGCCTGGGCAGGATGGTACTCCCTGTGCAGTAGTAGCCGGCATTGCAAAGCCCGCTGACCGTGGCTAGCTCGTCATAGCGGCAGTAGGAGCCTGGGTCGCAGGGTATGGGGGCTGGGGAGCCCAGGGGGCAGTACTCGCCGGCTATGCACATGCCGCCGGTGGACTGTGCTGGGCAGTGGCAGGAGGTATCTAGGGGGAGCAAGAAGGGTAAGAAGCAACAGTCTTAACAAAATTGACAAGTTGATAAATTTTGCACACAAAACCTTTGAAACTGATACAAATACTATTTCTAACAATCTCCTTATATGCAAATTGGCTATGTGGCGCAGAATACAGCGGCGTTTTACCGGCGGTTTAAAACCACTCATGTGACCAGCTCTCGACAAGGCTCTCGACTCAGGTATTTATGAATAACAGGTAATTGCTCAAAAGGGACAGAGGACTTTCGTGCTTACCAGTGTCGTTGCCTAAAGTGGTGGGCTTGCTCTTCCAAGCACCCAGGGTACAGTACCAGCCCTCGGCGCACTCCCCCTGGGGGACCTCCATGCCCCGGTCAGGGCAGTACATGCCCGGCGGGCACAGCTCGCAGGCGTCCACGCTCTCCCCACGGGTGTTGTTATTGAAGGTGCCGTTGTTGCAGGGGAACTGGGCGGCAAACTGGGTGTTGTTGGGACAGAAGTGGCCTGAAAGAAACAAACAGGAGAAGTGAGGGTCATCACATACCAGGAATCAATTGTTTTTGACTGAGTTTATCCACCGGGTTACAATACCCGGACGACAATAACCTAGTTAATTAATCCAAGTTTAATACCTACCTTTGGGGCAGTCTTCATAGGTAACACTACCATCAGTGCAGTAGTAACCAGCCTGGCAGTCCAGGCACTTGCTCAGTTTATCAACCTGGTTATAGTAATGTAATTAACCTAGTTTACCAATCCAAGTTACCTACCTTTAGGGCAGTCTTCATAGGTTAAACTACCATCAGTGCAGTAGTAACCAGCCGAGCAGTCCAGGCACTCGCTCAGTTTATCAACCTGGTCATAGTAATGTAATTAACCTAGTTTGACAATCCTAGTTACCTACCATTAGGGCAGTCTTCATAGGTAACACTACCATCAGTGCAGTAGTAACCAGCCGGGCAGTGCAAGCACTCGCTCAGTTTATCAACCTGGTTCTAGTAATGTAATTAACCTAGGTTACCAATCCTAGTTCCCTACCTTTAGGGCAGTCTTCATAGGTAACACTACCATCAGTGCAGTAGTAACCAGCCAGGCAGTGCAAGCACTCGCTCAGTTTATCAACCTGGTTATAGTAATGTAATTAACCTAGTTTACCAATCCTAGTTCCCTACCTTTAGGGCAGTCTTCATAGTCCAGGCACTCGCTCAATTTATCAACCTGGTTATAGTAATGTAATTAACCTAGTTTACCAATCCTAGTTACCTACCTTTAGGGCAGTCTTCATAGGTAACACTACCATCAGTGCAGTAGTAACCAGCCGGGCAGTCCAGGCACTCGCTCTGTTTATCCACGGGGTTATAGTAACCGGGCAGGCACAGCGTGTGATCGCTGCTGCCCTGGATGCAGAAGGAGCCCGCGGGGCAGGGTCCGCCCGATGCCGTGGTGGTGCTGGGGTTGGAGGAGTTAGAGCCCAGCTTGCAGTAGTAGCCAGGCTCGCACTCACCGGCCGGGTAGGCCAGGCCAGGAACGTCGCAGTAGTGACCTGCAAACAGGGAGAAAATTATGCACAGTGACTATCAGATACTCTTTTAGACATTTAATCCACATATTTACGGAGTTTTTTCAGTGGGGAGTGATTCTCATAAAAAATTATGATTACATTTTCTTAATCATTTCAATAAATGCCCTTTCTGCTTTTTTTCCCTGTGGTGCTATTACTTACGCCTTTCTCCCCATTTAAGACTTAACCTTCTTTTTATAGAAGTAGACACATACATTTCTGTTCATCCCTGGTATTAGAAAAATAATTTTCTGGAAATGCCAGACATACCAACAAAATTCCATAGAAATTCTCATAGAAATATCCAACTATGCTGTCATTTGTTGAGATTTCACTTGTATTTCTTACCTTCCAGACAGTCCTGGCATTGTTCCAGGGACACCCGTCCCGTCTCGTTGTTGAAGGTAGATGGCGGGCAGGCATCAGGATCGCCAGTGCCTTGGTTATAAAAAGCAAGCACGTACATTTATATCAAATTTGTTAACCTTGCACAGTTGTGTCTTGTCAAAGTGGAGAATTGGACTCTCTTAACAACCAGTTCAGGCTGGCATTCCAGAGGTGCACTAAACCAAAAAGTGTTAGGAGCGACACAACTCGACCCAAATAGACTCTGGTCTCAGAGAGGCACATTGATTTTCTATGGTATTGAGTGTTGTAAAATGTTTATTGTATTGTTTGAAATGACTCCAATAGTCTATTGTTTTGACAAGCTTGCTCCGGTGACGTGGGGGCGGGGGGGGGGGGGGGGGTTGCAAACATAAAACACTCCCCCTTAAAAAGAGAGAGAAATAACGGGGGAAAAAATTGCTAAACTCACTATGACAGATTTCTTGCTACATCACTCGGTTGCTCACGGTTGCTTAAAACTTTGAATTTCTCATGTATGTCATTCAACTTTTCAGAATAAGTACTAAATATATCACCCCTATGGGCACACTGTTTGCTCCTACTTGACAGTAGCTACATGCACCCACTGCTAAAACTTAGCATCAATGAAATTTGTATCGTCTTTACCTTGTCCACAGTAGTAGCCCGCTGGGCAGATGCCGGCATCACCTCGCGACAGCTCCGAGGGCGTGCGTGCGTCCGAGCCCAGACGGCAGTAATGGCCTGCATCGCAGAGCCCTACAACGCCAAAAATTAACATCCACAGTTTGTGATTTGAAATATGAACCAGACTATGAAATCCGTGTTGCAGTTGAGTAGTTCACAATGCAATCACAAGTCCAGTCACAAGTGTTTGTGATCTGATAATTCAGGTCACAGATAACAGAGGATGGATGATAGTAAAGATTTGCTTTCTCACAGCTCATTTCGTCACCATTTTCACAAAGAGCCACATATGTCGATTTTGACGAAAAAAAAAGGTTTTTCGAGATAAACGCGTGCGCAACTTATAATGTAATAAAGATGTGTGGCTCTACTTTTACGCCTACATTTACGCCTTTCCGTCCCATAAGTTCTGTACGCGTTCAAGAAATGTTCGTGTCTCTTCATGAAAACGCAAAATGCACTTATTGAGATGCCTGCCCCTTGAATCATTAATGTGATTAAGAAATTAATGATGTTGTGCTTACAGAAGCATGTCAAAATGGTTAAGTACAATGTTTTAAAGCAAAATAGTGAAAAAAACTTGAAATAAAAAAAACAGTCATTTTTGACATGTGTGGCTCTTCGTGAAAACGGTGATGATTTGAAATAACTTGTGACTTGACATAGGACTTGGTGACTTGTGATTGACTAGTGATGCATTGTTCCACTTTGACACTGTATGCAATACCATTCAGCGTTACTTTAATTCTAGTTACTTGTAGACAACTATCAGACATAGCTGTAGCATGGCATTTGGGCAGAGTCAACAACTACTTATATTTCCAGTTTATTTTGAAATGGGAATTGGCAAATATACAAGATTACAGAACCAATTCTGATCATTGCAATTGGTGGAATTGGACATTTTGAGGATATTTTTGAAGATTCTCTCTTGTGGCAACAACATGCTTTGATGCCTCATTTTTGTCCACTCGTTACCCGTACAAATGATTCTAGAGAATAGGAATTACTCGTACTGTTTTTAAAGAAAGTAAAAAAAAAAAAGGGGGGGGGTAGTAGTTGGGATTGGACACATGCCTGTTAACACACAATGTGCCAATTATTGTCAAGTCTAAATTCATTGGCTACGGCTAGCATTCAACACACATGTGTATGGGAAGTGGACACAGCCGCATCCATAGCCGCTTGTCTAATTGCCAGCCTTGGCCAAGTAATGTTGACATGACCTTCACAGTTGCTGATTACTTAACATTTGTGACCTGCTCTATCAAAATCAGACTTTTGAAAATGATATTTTTACATATTGTTAACATATGTTCTTTTTCCTTTTAATAGGTGGTTTAATTTTTAAAACCGGTCATTCCTGGGCAGAGTTATGCTATTTTGAAGTTCATTGTGTCGAAAAGTAGAAAACGGAGAAAATGGCCACGAACGTCACAAAACAGTTATTTCTTTAACTGATATACCTTATCAAAACCATCAAAAATAGTGTATGTAGAGTTCAACTTAGGGTTTCAAACTTTTATAATATATTTTAGACATGTTCAGGATTACAAATATGCAAAAATTTGAAAATCGATAAAAATCACCCCCACAGCTTTTTTTTGGCCCTATCTCAATTTCAACCTCTGCCCAGAAGCGTCTGCTTTTGACAGAACAGGTCACATATTGCTAACACACAATTAGCAACACTCACCTGACACTGAGGTGGCATTGAGCTGGTCGCAGTAGTTACCCATGGTGCACTGTGTGCACTGGGTGTCATTGGACAATCCAGTCTGATCGCTGAACGTGCCCAGCGGGCAGGGCTCCCAGACATGGCCGGTGCCCTCCGGGCAGAAGAACCCGGCCGGACAATCCTACAAGGGGGACACAAAAACAACAACACCATATTAACAATACATTAAACTTCATACGTGGTTGACTTCTGAGCAGAAGAGCATAACCGGACAACCTACGAGTGGGGCATAAATACGAGAACACTATTTCATACATTAATCTTCATAGGTCCACATTTGCACTAGTGCCTTCAAGGCAAAAAGAACCTAGCCGGACAATCCTACAAGGGCAACAGAAAGACTAGAATACTATAATGTCAATGATTTACATAATTCAGGAATCATAGGTTCCAACTAAATATTGATTGGCAAAGAACAATAGGCAAATCATAAGATGGAATAATATTGATTAACAATACGTAAGTTGGCCAACAGAGAGATTGCAACATGATTCATCCACTTTGCTGCAAATTGACCACATTGACATATCATCCCTTTCAATTAACTGTCTGTATCTCTGGATGTAGGTGTCCAAATGCGATAGGAAAAACAGCATTGTGTTGAGAAGTAATCATTCTTTAAGCATATATTTAGTTTCCAAGGCAGACTTCAAAATTTAGCTTGCTACACTCAGGCATGCAACTGGGAATTTAGAAAAAAACGAGGAAATTCCAAACCACACAAGACTTTGTACAGTGTTTTTCAATTTGTAATGTAATGGCATTCATGAAAAGTAACAAACGAGGAAATCAGCGGATCTGAGGAAAAGTTGCATGCCTGCCTAATTTGTAATTCAGTTGTGACCAGACTTGTGATGGACCTGACTCCAACAGTGACGAGTGAAGGCCTTTTACCTGTGGGTTGGTTCCCATGGTGCAGTAGTGTCCCGGCGTGCAAGGGTCGCAGACTGCGTTCTGTTGGGTGTCGGTGAAGGTGCCTGGGTCACATGGGATGGGAACGCTGGTCCCCGCCGGGCAGTAGTGACCGATGGGGCAAACGTCACCTGAATCAATGGAAATGGTTAGTAGAGGAGTAATTACAACATCTGTGTTAATCGCCATGTCTTTGTTCCAGTGGTTCTTCATTGAGCACGATCTGTTACGAGTCCCTCGTAGATGCTCTCAGATTAGGTCATGTATAGCACACACCTAACACTCAGGTGTGCTTTTGGGGTACACGCAAAGGGCCAAGTGTCCCTTGTGCCCAACTTTGTAGTCTATTTTCTTTACGTGGCTTTCAAACATGTAATGCAAGTTGTAATGGTTTACAGGCTGTCTGCAGAATTCTGCAGAATTTACTTTGCAAATTTGAAATATAAAATGTCACAAATGTTGTCTCCTTTAGACAATTTTCTTTACAGTATGTTTAACCCTTCGGCTACCACTCATTTCTCAGAGCCAAATTTTGTTTGCCAAAAGAATTTCCTAAGTAATGCAAAGGTCATGACTTGTTTTTTTTTAATTACTCAAATTTCAAACAAAACAACTTGTAAAACTCTGCCTTTGAATTGCTATCAGATTTCTCTAACCCATTACTCCATGTACTCCCCCAAACTAGGCTGCCTTTTACTCTCTGTAATGCCCGAAAAAGCCCCAATGCTATTTAAAAAATATAATGCACTAAGTCTCTCTCAAAGTTGGCCATCTTTGTAGGAGAACTGCAACTGTGTATTTTACGCAATCAAGCACGCATTGCGCAGTGTTGAAAATATTCCAAACACGTGCGCTTGTTGCTCGAAATGTGTTCGAAATACGACCCAGCTGATGGGCGTTGGGCAAGTTGATGCTCAAAATGCCGATGCACGTTGCTGGTCTGTAGGAAATGACGTCACTTGAGAGAGACCTATACACTGAACTACAGGTGCTAACAGGTTAAAGTGCCGGGCATCTAGGACCGCAGTTTCTAACAGGTTAATCACACAATAGAGAAATTAAGACGCTAACCTGTGACGCCGTCGGTAGGCGCGGCCACCGATGCGTTGCCGCTGCAGTAGAATCCCTCCGTGCAATCACCAGCGGTCTGATTCATGCCGTACTCTGGGCAGTACTCCCCGGGCTCGCAGCCAGTGCACTGAAGGACTGACTCGCGACCTGCGAAGCACAGAAGAAAAAATTAATGTGAGGAATTTGTAACGTCACAAGAAATGTTCGCTCTTCAACTCTGGCAAATTTTCATGATTCATGATGACAAAACAGCTTTTGCATTTGCAGTCACGTACGAACCAGCTTGTATATTTTGGTATCCAATTGGCTCAGAATTGTTCAAGTGACACATTTTAAAGATTCATGAATGATCACTGAAACTTCACTCGCATACCCCAAGATATCATATGTACACCCTTCATCGTCCTCAATACTTTTCTTTCATATTATTGTCCCCAATAGTGGACCTTGAACAAAAGAGGAATTATAAGGTAATTCAGGTCCCCAGTTTGGAATTTGTGTACAACAGCAATGGGGACCCTTACCAAAAAGGTTTCAACAATAGTAGGAATAGGAGGTCCATGATAGAAGGTGTTTTACACACATGTGCAGGTGGGCGTACACTACATACACTCCGAGGACCGACAAACAAAGGGAGAACAACAGATTCTTTGTTGACCTCGAGTATTCATCTTTTGTTGAAAACGGTCCTGGATCGTGCGTTTATGTGCTTAGTCTCTTGGTGAGTGTTATTACAGAGACAAAGGGAAAGACAATGGCTTGTCCTCGGGAGTTATGTAAAAGACCACTGTGTGTGCATGTCAAAGTAGATGCTATTTTTGCCTTCAGCTTCAACACAGGTACCATTTGCTCCCTCAACATACACAAGACCAAGTTCTGGGAACCAGACCAAGATGGCAGAAGGGTTGATGGCTTTTTTTAACATACCTTCAGTCGGGTTGTACGTCCCTGGTGGACAGTCGTAGGTCCGGTTTGTTCCTGTGGGACAGTACGCCCCGACCGGACAAATGTCGCCTGTCACGCCATCTTCTGGAGTTTTGATAATCGCTCCGCGGATACAATAGTACCTGAGGAATCAAATTTTATAAATATATATAGTGCTGAGCTCTGCTTAAAATCTAATCAGAATTCGGACGATTCAAAATGCAGTGCGCCACGAAGAGTTTGCCACAGAGAGTTCATTTTCCCCAGTGCATTGTGGGAGATGGTCGACAAATTCATAGTGCGAGACATTTGCAATTGTTAGTTTACCAGTCAGTAGTTTCGTAAGCGTATGATTCGAGTATCTGTTTGCCCTTTTCTTTACTTTTTATCATGGTGTTTTGTGTAAGGCGGCAGATTGCTATGCCCCAATCTTTAACAAATTAGCTCGAGTTGTCTACTGACACTCGCTCAAATGGGCCATGATTTGTCGACCACAAACTTGAAAAATGGACTCTCTACGGCAATTTCTAGGTGGATCACTGCATTGTGAATCGCCTGAATTGAAAAAGTATGTGTAACCCTGACCTCAATTAGGTCTGAGGTTACTGAACTTATATTTGACTATATGTACATTTACTCTTTCAGTTTTCATTGTGTTCCATTTAATAGCCTAGTTTAATTTTTCCTGCTCCTTTCTTTTAATTTTCTTTTCTTTTCTTTTATAATTATTCGTATAAACATTCTCCATTTTTTATTGTTAGTATATACTCAATTTATACCGATAGTTTATTTTCCTGTTGTTGGATGTGTTCTGAGGGACAATTGACTGCCTCAGCAGAAAATCCCCTCGAACACCATTTGTGACCTTGCCATGAGCTTGCTGGCCTGGTTTTCTCTGGGGAGTGCCACGCTGGACCAAACAAAATTTGGATGGTCAGAGTGACTGCATGTACATGCATATTGGCCATTTCTCTCCTTGCCACATCACCATTTAACAAGCCAGTGCCGAGCAGGTTAGACTGTGCCTCTCCATCTCCTCTCATGATCTTGTTGGAAGCCGAGATATATATTTAAATCTCGCAATTGGAGAATTTTGCTTTGTTTCATCGCAATTGGAGAATTTTGCTTTGTTTCATCGCAATTGGAGAATTTTGCTTTGTTTCATCGATACGAATGTTGGCTCTCTGTTATAGGTGAGTTCACATTTTGTTTTCTTTTAATTTTCTAAGTGCTGGTGAAGTTTTATTGATTTGTCTCATTAATTTGAAAGTTCGGTATAATTTGGATTGATCAGAAATAAGCAGATTTTCATGAAACCACTGATCCAATGAATTAATATTTTATGGTTTTCTGAGAATTTCTGAATGAGACAATACACGAGGGGAGACGAGCAGTACACGATAATTATATTTTGAGTTTTCTTTTAGGTCTAAAGTTGTTTTATTAAGATGAACTCCCAAAGATCCTGTGTGATTGAGGTCATACATGATTTAATGATATCTTCCAGGAATTTGAGGAAGACATGATAAGTTTCAGTTAGTTGTTCTGATATTTACGACTGCTTTACTTTTTCAACCATGATATAAAACATTGGATATGTTTCGTTTCGAATTTTGGTGTGTATGATAATTGACAATTGATTAGTTCTTTATAATTATGTTATTGTAGAAGTAGGGTGCATTTTTTGCTCGTTGATTATTCTGTTTGCATCAGTATGAGTATGATATGATCCCAAGAAGAAGAAAATTACCGTCCTTGGGTAATAAGTGAGAATCATGAAAATTCTTCATAAGAATTAATTTCTTTACTGAAAAGTTTATGATCAACTTTGATGCTTCAGTTTAATTACATGTATGTCCATTATGTTGGATATGATCAACACTTACAAGTATTAGCTTTGTGTTGCGATAAAGATTGAGAGTACATTTACTTTAATTTTGTTAAAGATTTTGTTCCATGCTTTATTGGAGAAACAAGAACAACTTTCCTCCACCTGTAAAGTTTTGGGCAGCTTGTATGTCTCAAGACCAAATCAATTGAAAATGGCCTTGTGCAGTGGGCCAGTGGCTGAGCCTGGTTTTATTAGTCTGCAAGGGCAGATTGTTTCTGCTTATTGACAACTGATTTATTGTAAGAAAGGAGTTTTCCTGTCACCCTAGTTTATGGTAGTACTGAGGATGTTTAAACTCCATAATTTGATTATAAGGTCCGCCAGTATGTTGGTAAATATCAATTTTGATTATGGCGTGGACCACTCTCTGTTATAGGACCAGAATTTGGCAAAGTGCTTGACTGTCCTTCATCAGCCGTCTGCTAGACTGGCCTAGTCCACTCAGTGCTGCAGGAACACCGCTGTGTCCCATGGTCCTACTGTGCTACCAGTAAACAAGAGGAGTACAGCCTGGATGACCAGCCAATGGAGCTGAGGACCGTGAGGGTTTTCTACCATCATCATCGTCTTCCCGAGCCTTGGAGTTTCAGTGAAGAACTTTGATATTAGATTTTGGCGCCTTTTTATTTTTTTTCTGAGCTCAGTTTGTTTTAATCTTTTACTCACATTACTTAATTTTGCCTTTGATTCTTGCTTGTGTTTATCTTATTGTTTCGTGTGCATATTTGAAGTTTTACCATTTATTATCTTGTGATCTTTTCTTTGCCTACTATTAATTAATAAATTAAGTTCTGTGCATGCAAAATCTTTAAATGTAAATCAGTGTATTCTTTCAGAGGGGGTCAATACTCGAAATTGGTTCCTGCTTGATGAAGGTGAACCACGGGTTACATATGCAAGTAGTTAAAGAGGGCCTTATATTACATTTTCAATCTTTCTTGAAAGACAACATTAGATGGAAACAGTAACAAAATAGGAAACACTCAAGCAGAGACATCTATGTACTCGCAACTATGCATGAGTATCAATTATAAGTGAGCGAAAACTCCTGGGGTCCAGTTATTTCACACTGCTACTCATCAAATCTGAGAGCAAGTTCGAATGAGGACCGTGCTTAACAATAGTTCAACTAACAAACACAGGATGGTTGGACTACTCTATTTGACAATCAACCTATCGCGATTGCGAGTTAGCCACGCCCCTGAGACAACCCTACAAAATTGTGTATGTTTAGGTTTGTTTGTCTCAGATTCTGCACATTCCACGTCCATTTGTATATCATGTAATTGGACAATATTTCACAAGCTGCGTTGACGCGATTCTACCCCGATAGGTTAATTATGGAACCGGAGCCTAGGGGCATGGTTCCATCTCTGGTTTACAGCCGCACACATCATAAAGGACAACTGGGAGTCAGGATCAAGACATTTGACTTGAGGCATGCACTAGTTGCTACTAGTGGGCAGGTGTATGTTACGTCACGATTAAACCACAAATAACGTTGACTAATGGTCCTCAAGCGAACTTTCTCCTGTTTGTACAGAGTATTTCAGTGACGTGGAACCACAGCCGCACGCATGCTGCAAGCGTTCTTTAGGACGAGGCATGCGCACATTTGGTTACCCCTTTTGGTCTAAGGAGCCCGAAGTGCGTGCGTATACCTGAGAACCAGCCCCGTTCAATCTCACAAATGCTTCCAAGTTGCTTTGCGGAATTAGTCTTTACTCACCCAGCTTGGCAGAGACCGGTGGGGGTGTCGAGCCCTTCCGTCTCGCAGTACTCCCCGCCGGGGCAAGGCGTGCATTCCCCAGCCGACTTGAGCTTGGTCCCGGCATTGAAGGTGCCACTGGGGCAGCGGTACTCTGTGTCATACTTGGTGCCGTTGGGGCAGTAGTGCCCCGTCGGGCAGGGCTCCGGGTTCTGGACACCGTGGGAGCACTGGGCGTCCGACTGGAGGGTGCCGTCGCAGTAGTAGCCCTCGGGGCAGAGTTTGCAGGATGCCATTCCCCATTCGTCCTGGTAGGTTCCGGACTCGCAGGCCACCTCGTTGGTGCTCTGGGCCGGGCAGTAGTGGCCCGGGGAGCACTCGTACAGGGCCGGCCGGCTGACATTCTGGCCCTCGGGGCAGTAGAAGCCGGCCTCGCAGGGCGCAGTGGGTGCATCCAGGCCGCTGTCTTCACAGTAGAAGCCTGGAGGATGATTGACAACAATACGAAGATATCACTTGTGGGATTCAACCTATTTGCTGGCTCATTTACTTATAAACTTCTCAAAGCATTCACTATGCAGGAGAACAATGGCCACCGCCAAAGTTCTTTGACACTCTCTGTTTCGGTGTGACACAGCACTTATAACACAGTTCAATCACTCCAAGTGAAACATATTGAGGGATGATCTCATCCCTCAGCCGAATGAATTCTGGAATACATTCCAGAATTCATTCGGCTGAGGGATGACATCATTTTTTTATACATGTATAAAAAAATGTAATTCGAGGGCCCATCTGCAGGTCAGCAATGGTACTGATTTGGAGAAATTAGGGTTGACATGGGGAGTTTTTTTAAATTTAACCCTAACTCCCTAGGGGGTGTGCAAAATCGTATTGAAATTGGAGGATTCAGGACTGTTAGGGGTAGCTGTTGATTATCTGTTCTGAATATAAGCCTTGGTGCTTGGGCAGAAATTGGAGGGCAGTGGAGAAAAAAAACCGGAAGCCACTTTTGGCATAGATTGAAATGAATAGACCATTATCATGCTGCCACCATTTTAGTCATGTTCCCTGTATCCAATATCGGTACTAAATGTCAATGTTTTTGTGCAAAAAAGAAACCAGACTATTTTTCTTCCAGCCTCGCTTTGGTTACGTTGATTTGAATGGGGAAAAAACAAGATGGCTGCAACATGAAAATGGTCTATAGGCAGGTGTACTGGGGCAAGGATTAAGCCTCAGAAACGCAGAAGGACGTTTTGGATTATTTTGCTGGATTCAGGAAATGAAGAGCCTAACAATTAAAACTCTGCATGATATAATGCCCTCAAAGCTTATAGCACAAAGAGATGTCATTGGTGTCGTGCATAATTGTGCATTTGGATTCCTATATCTTAAGCCAAAGATGACAGACTTACTACACAATTTTTTTCTTTGATAGAATTGTTTTATCTTCAGTACTAGAAAACAATTTGATGATATTTTTTTCATCCCCACCTGGAGAGCAGAGCTTGCAATCCTCGAAGGCGGTGGCAGCCGTGGCGTTACTGAAGTAGCCGGCTGGGCAAGGTACGGGGTCGTAGGTCCCCCGAGGGCAGTAGTGGCCCATGGGGCAACTGTTGCCGGTGAGCCCATCGGTGGGGTCAGGTCGCCAAGCGCCCTCTATGCAGTAGTAGCCCTCGTCGCAGAGGTCGGTCTCGTTGCTCTGGCCGGCCGAGTCACAATAGTAACCTACATTGAGTATATAGTTTGTAAAAGCAATTCAATAACTCTCTTCTTTTTCCATTTTATTGTTTTTCTCTGTCTTTTTCCTTCTGTTCTTGTACTTCAATCAGGTATTCCACTGACAATTTTTGGTTGTTAAAAGTTTGCATTTATCAACATGTAGACATGCTAAAATACTGAGAAAAAGGCCTTTAAAGTTTTGAGTTCTGTAGTCGTAAAATTGAAAGATGTGCCAATTGTTTGTCGTTGAAAAACGCTTTCATTCCACGATTTTTATACTATTTCTCTAAAATATGTTCACATATAAAAGATTACAAAAATCAATAAATCTGACATTTGGGAAAAAAATCCCACAAATTCCTCACAAATTTGATGGTTGCATGATAAGAAACAAGCCAAAAAAGCTCAAACTTACCCCTGGTGCACGGCGTTGGGTAGTTGGATCCCAAGGGGCAGAACTCGCCCGTTTGGCACTGCCCGCCGGTGGAGTTACCGGGGCAGAAGCAGTTGGTGCTGATGTTATCGTAGCCGTAGTCGGTGGGCATGGCGGACCAGGCGCCGCGGATGCAGTACCAGCCCGGGGCGCACTGGTCAGTGACGGCTTCCCTGCCGGGGCTGGCACAGTAATAACCTGTCCAAAAAAAAAAAAAAGAGGTATAAGAACTGCTGGCAAGGTTTGGCTGGCTAAATCAGCCGAAATTTCATCTGATGCATAGGTTTGCCGCTCAGAGGTGAAACTGTCCTATGGGAAAAAAGTCGGAAAATAGGCCGAACAAAAATCTGTGTCCGAAATCTGGACAGCGCCCAAGAAACACATGTACATGTATGGTGTGTACTTTACACTTCATGCCCAATTTCCGGACCTTGCCTCCTGGTTTATTTGAGATCCAAACAAAATTTTACGATGAGAAAAATGTTTAGTGTTTTCATAAAAGTAAAAAGCCTGAATTACGGTTACAGTAACAGACTCGTCAACAAAGGAGTACACTTCTTACTTGAGAAAGTCAGGGGAAAAGTCTGAAAGAAAGGTGCACCATTCATGACACCGGCATCATGTCCATGATTTAACCACACAACTCCACTACTAACGTACGTGGGAAAATAATGGCGCATTATCATCTTTTTCTTCCAACAACTGCCAGTGAAATGTATCTTCGAGATCATCATCGTGATTTTTAAAGCATTGCATTTTGTACAACTAAATCTGAAACCTCCGAAAATCGCGCAACATGTGTATTTTATTGTAGTCGAACTCCACATGCAACAGCCTTGAAGCTCTGTGCGTAGTTGTACATAGCTAGCTAGCTACGAGTTTTAATCATGTCATACCAGTATGGTCATGATCAAATTTATTTCCAGCCGTTAACTACTCCAATCCGAGCTTACTTATGTGCATCCCTACCCCGACCCATCCAACACCAACCAAAACATCACCTACTTTGTTTAACTGCCTGAAAATTAAATTCTTTAAAATTTGTTAAAGGCAATATACCCGGTACATCATTTGCTTTTGCTGTAATTTTCAGAAATGGATGGATTTGGTGGGGGTTAGTATTTTATAGCAAATATTGTTACACTTACTTGTTTGACATTTTGGGTTGGTAGATGGTGGAAAAACCATGAAAAACAATCATTTTCTTGTAGTCTGGTTCCCTGACCCCATTTAAGATGAAATTGAGCGATAGACGTCGGGAAATTGTACGGTCACTGGATGCTTTGGACTGTCATTCACCAACAGTCCAGTTAGGTATTTTGTGCTAATTTGGTAGTTTTGTTTTTGATGTTTGCAAATGCTGTATATTCCCTATAACATTCACCGAACATTTACCAAAAATAATTTAAAATCTCCACAACTCTGGTTTCAAAACACAATTGATTACTTGAACAGGAACACCTGATTATTCCCGCGACTAACTGTGATCCGAAACTGGTCTAGAAGCTGGAGTTAAAAAAATATATAACTATGTCGTCTTTGAGACTTACCCGGTTCACATGGCTTGCAATCTTCCAGTTCTGACTTCTGCTCAAAGTCGTTGTAGTAGCCCTTGGGGCAGGGGTACTGGGTGGCGTACTCCGTGCCGTTGGGGCAATAGTGACCCCTGGGGCAGGGCTGGTCGGCGGCCGTGGAGTTGGCTGGACACCAGAAACTGGAAATGATCAGATGAGAAAAGAGTTGTACGTCAAGTCGATGTAATCAAATTAAAAAACATATTTAAAGAACCGTGATTTCGCTTGTCACTGTTCATCACTTGTTACTTGCGATTTGACGTGAAACAGACTGATCCATTTACCCTAGCCCCATGGAGCTTTATCCACTCACAGCCATAATGAATGTCCGACACGCATGCACAAAATGGCCGATATGTGTGTGCGTGCGCAGCTGGAACATGTAGAGTGGCACTGAAGAGGCACACATGTTGTTTCCCACATGCGCAGTGCTTACTGGATGCCAATTACTTGACGAGACAGGGAGACCATCACAAGTTATCACGTCATGGATGGTCTATGCACGTGCGCAGTGCTTACTCTATTGACTTGCAATGACTTGCAATGGACTTGTTACAACTCTGGATGCTAGAAAATAGGGTGGGGGTGGAAATTGACCTGTTTATTGCTTTGCTTGCATGTCATCCGAGTTGCCTTATATTCAGATAGTACATCGAAGTACATCGAAGCAAAAGACTGATCCGTTAGGTCGCATCTACTGCCACACTGAAGTTCCTGCTGTGCACGCCATACTGGCATGCACGCATGTTGGACTTTTCCGCACACATGTCAGACATTTATCACGGCTGTGATAGGTCAATACACAGCTTCGTAGCTGACTAGGGACTGGCACTTGTGATTGACTTGTGATTGACTCGGATGCAACTCTGCTTGTCCAACTGATAAAGCTTCTGTAATACACTTCAGAAATCTGCAAAGCTCTGCAGCTAATCTGCAGAACAGTCTTCTGACCAATCTGCAAGCTTTTCAACGAAGCTTGCCCTAAGAAGCGTCAGAATTTCTCTGACCAACACTCACCTTGCCTCGCATTCAACACACTCGTACTGGCCCTGCAGAGGGTTGTAGGTCCCCGCCAGGCAGCCCAAGGGGAAGGAGGTACCCATGGGGCAGTAGTGGCCGGTAGGGCAGGGTCCTCCCGTGGCGTCTTCCGTCGGGTTGTTGGCGTCCAGGGAACCCCTCAGGCAGTAGAAGCCGGGGTCGCACTCGCCAGCCGGCCAGGTCAGGCCCTCGTTGTCGCAGAACATGCCATACAGACACTGGGTGCATTCGCTCTGTTTAGGTTGTTGAGGGAAAGACAAAATTGTGTGAGGAGGGATTCAGACCCAAGGCTTTTAGACTACCGATTTTTCTTAGTGAAGTGGAAGTCAGATTTGCTGTTAGTGCTGGCCTAGCTATGCCCTCAGCATCACAAGTAAATGTCATTCTAAGAGTGTGTATTTACGGGTGGTATGGGAATGGTGTAACCAATTGAAAAAACAAGGGTCCCCGGGTACTCTTAAAGAAACCCAAACCTCAAAACATCATGGAAATTTGCTGTACAGATTGTTCATGAAGGTCTGCATGATAATACTACCACATCGGTGCTTCAATACAGTTGGGGAAATTGGAGACTTCAGACCTCTTATCTGGACTGCTAGTTGAATGTGCAACCAACTTGGTTTTCCGTATCAGGCCTAGCTTTTGTGGTTGAAGTCAAAACAGTTTTTTCCAGCATTTTTTTGCCTTCTGAGATTCATCAGCATGATGCCTACCTCAGCTTCTAGCTTGGTCTTGTTCCCGAATGTTCCCCGGGGGCATGGCGTGGGCGTGTCTGTGCCTGTATCGCAGTAGGAACCCTCTGGGCAGACTCCGGCGACACCTGGTATTAGCAAAAGAAAAAAATCAGTGACGCAAACACAAAGGCATATGGACAACGTGCACAAGTATCCCCTGGACGGTAGTACTTGTGATGGACATGTAAGGACTTGTGAGGACTTGCCATAAACCAGACTACAAAAACTGATGAAAAGTAGCTGCACGAAAATAGCTCTCTGTGCCATACCTTTGTACGAGACCTCGGGCGTGGCGGTGTCGGAACCCTCCGTGCAGAAGTACCCGGCCGCGCAGTCTCCCGTCACCATGGTAGCGTTGATGTACGCGCAGTACTTGGAGGGGTCGCACAGCGTGCACTCCGACTCTTCCTTCAGGCCGATCTGGTTGCTGTAGGAACCGGTCGGGCACGGGCGCCAGTCGTATCCGGTGCCATTTGGACAGTAGAAACCTGGAAAGTTTTGAATGTGGAAAACTTTAATGTAGTACTTATAAAACAATTCTTATTTATGTCTTTTTTTCTTGGAAAGAGAGGGGCATTGCAAACATTAGGAATGTAGCTGAAAAGTTCTGAAAGGTAAACTAAGTCTCAGGTCAAAAGAACCCTTGCACAGAATTAACAATGAATGTGCAAGGGTTCAAGTCATGCACATCATGGAGGAACTAAAACCTGTCCCAAATAATGAGGGTGCTCTATGCAAGAAGTCTATTGGAAAGGGCTCATTCTACAAATTTCAGGGCCACTTTTTTGCTGTCTATGTTACATCTGGCTTAATCCTGATGTACTCATTAACCCTAACCTCCCCAACTCCATCAAAAATCCATCCCCCCCATTTAGTTGGATTTTAGGGGACTTGGTCCTGCAGGCCTGGTTTGATTAAATATTGATGGAGTATTATGGACTTGGACCTGGAGGCCTGAAGCAAAGCAGTGTGATTGATGGATTTTGGCAGACTTGGTCCAGTACTTAGTAAAAGACAGTAGAGGTTAAGGTTAATGCAGTCATCTTACAAGAGTGGTTATGAATAGGAAACACCCTACCCAGAAATACAAAATTGTTTGATGTTATTTTTAATGATACTTGAATGGCAAATTACAAAATACCAAGGGAACAGAAACAGGAAACTTGCCGCACTACGGATGCTATATTCACAGAATGACCCATAGGGCGGTTGGCACATGCAAAACTCAAAAGGTACAAGACGTAGTATGATTGATTTCATGGAGCAAAAAGTGACTGAAAATTTGTTTTTACCGTGAGGGCACGGGTCGGGTTCGTAGCCCGTGGTGCAGTAGAAGCCCTCGGGACACTCGTCGCACTCGCTGCGGTGCGTGGTGGTGGTGTAAGTGCCCGCCTCGCAGGGTATCGGGGAGGTGGTTTCGCCAGGGCAGTAGAAACCTGCCGTGCAGGGGTCACCGGTCACTCCCCCGTCCTCGGGGGTGGGCGTGGTGGCATTGGTCACACAGAAATAGCTGGGACAGGATAGAGAGACAGGGTCAAAGGTTACAGCTAGATTACGTCGATCTTTATAATATCATACATATTTATAAGCCAAACAGGCTTCTTTCATTGGTTGGAGTTCCAACATATCAGAGAGGCAAAACATGATCACCAAATTAGGGCAGTGTATCGGAACCGGGTACCCGAGTCGGCTGATATCAGAAACCGGTTCCAGATTATGGGATCGGGCACCCGTAACCAACTTTAACAAATTACTTGGTGACTTCTCAGACAATGAAAAAGAAAAGGTTTTGCATGTCGTTTGTGGGGAATTTTCAAAATGAAAAGCAGGCAACATGAAAAAACAAAACATTTTTCGAGTTGATGACGCTCGCGAAAGCTGCAGCTTACGACGTAAAGCTATGCTCACTGTACACACTTGTGTCTTGCTGTATTGATGCAGCGATGTGGTAGTATTATCGTGCGGACCTTTACGAACAATCTAAACAGCAACTTCAAAGGTACAAATTTTGGGGGTTGGGTTTCTTTAACGAGCGCCCAGGCCTCTGACAGGAAGGGATATAAAGGCAGGCCTTGCAGCAAACTTACCCCGGATCGCAAGGTCCGCTTGGCTGCGTCAGCCCCGTGCCGTTGCAGTAGCTGCCTCCAGCACATGGCTGGCATTCACTGATGGCCCGCAGGCCTGTGCTGTCGGACATGGTACCGATCGGACAATCCTCGGGAGCTGGCACTCCTGCAGGGAAACATTTGCAGTAATATCTTTTAGCAGCGTTCGACCCAGGCCGGACTAGCAGGCCGGACTACTGAAACATACTCTCAACTAGCCTGCGACATATTCACTAGCCTGCATGATTTTAAGCTCTGGCAGGAGATTTTGCATGTATCCTGAAGCAAGCTTGTCAGTGTTGTTTATAAACAGATCTAATAATTTAACCCTAAACAGTTAATACAATTAGACACACTCGTTGATACAGATTTGCTTTCTGAATTCAATGATATATTTCGGTCCTTTCATCTTTGCTGTAGCCCAATAATGTTCGACTCGCCAGCCGGGCTGCTTAAGGAATAGTTTGGCTAGCCCGCCGCTGTTTCGACTAGCATTTGGCTAGCCGGCTACCGCTAAAGTGGAATCCTTCTTTTAGGGATATTTAGATTTTTACAAAAATTATGAAAGTTCAAAAATGCAATCCCTTCAAGGAACTTCTGCTAAGCACTTGGTTTGGTGAGATTTTGCCTCTCACGTAAAAATCAACATTTTAACTGACAATGAAAGTTGACTCAAGTATCAGCATTTCGGTCCACAAACTACAAAAATAATAGGCTACCTACTTGAGTTCTTCGAAAGTTTAACTGATTGATCAAGAATAACAGTTATCAAAAGGTCCGGGAAAGGTCTCAACTTCAATGCTTGCAAACACACAATTTCACAATTTCAAACACTGAGTTTTTCTTGTACCTGCTTCACAATAATGCCCCTTAGGACACTCCACACCGGTGACCCCATCGTTGGGAGTAGCTGAGGCAGAAGCACCGATGCACCAAAACCCAGCATCACAGTCACCTGCAAAATAGAAAAATCACACAGCCAAAGTGAACCCCTTGCCCAGGTTCAAGTTACTGACCAACTGCAACTTGTGCCCAACTGTCAGGCATGCAACTGGGAATTTAGAAGGAAAAAACGAGGAAACTCCGAACCACACAAGACTTCGTTCAGTGTTTTTCAGTTGTAATGGCATTTATGAGAAGTGAAAAACAAGGAAATCAGCGAATCCGAGGAAAAGTTGCATGCCTGCCAACTACAACTTACGCCAGCCAACTTGTTATCCAACCACAAATTGTTGCCCTTCTTAAAATTGGTTGCCAAACTACGACTTGTTGCCATCTTTTACTTTTTGCCCAACTTAAACTTTGTGCCCAAAAGCACTGCACTGAAAAGACATTGTTGCCAAACTACACACCTTGTAGCCCAATTACAGCTTGTTGCCAAACTACAACCTGTTGTCCAACTGGAGCTTGTTGCCCAACTTTAACATCGTGCCAAACTAAAACTTCATGCTGACCAGAACTTGTTGTCAAACTACAGATTGTAGCCTGACTACATCTTGCAGCCCAATTACAATCTGTAACCCCACTAAAATTTACTGCACAACAGCTACTTATTCACAGTGACTTTTTTTACAAAAGTTGTTGCATCTTCTATGCGATTTCCACAAGTCACTTTCTTACACAGCTTTTTCTTTTCCTTAAAAAATACTTTTTGTTGCCTCTGCAGGGGCGGATCCAGGAATTTTTGCAGGGGGGGGGGGGGTTTCATCAGCAAAAAAATCTGAAAATGTACACAGGTTTTTTTCTCCGGACACTTGGCGTCCGTAAAATCAAAAACCGGGAGGGGGGGGCGCTGTTACCATATTTCAATAGGGGGCGTTGTTCAAATTCGACGATTATTAACGCTAGATTACAGAATGGTGTACCGTATTTTGAACAGGCGGACATTATACCAGTATATTTTTTGGGGGGTGTCACAGGGGGGGGGGGGGGGGGGTTTCAACGATTTTTAGGAATTTGTACGAAATATTTGGTTTTTTTGGACAGAGCTAGGGGGGGTTTGACCCCCAAACCCCACCCCCCCTCTGGATCCGCACCTGCTCTGAAGAAATCCTCAGTAAGTATGAATTATCACGTCACCTTAATTTTTTTAATTTTAATTTCAAAACTGTTTGCTTCAAAAATCAAATATCACAACAACTGTCTCATCTTGAAAAAGAACTGTTGTGACTTTTCTAACAAAAACATCCACAAGTCACTTTCATTTACAATTTCTTTTGTTGTTAATGTCAAACTGTTCTATTTTCAAAAGTCAAATATCACAATAACTGTCTCATCTTAAAAAAAGAACTGTTGTGAATCACAATTTTTTGTTTTAGATTCAAACCAGCCAGCAAGCCAAAACAAAGCTCAGTGGACAAGTGATATAACACATCTGCACTAGTAAGCAGGGGGGCTTATGCATGTAGCGGGACAGATGGGGGAATATTTGGGGGCATTGCTCACTTTGACGATAGAAGCACTGCATGGCATTTGGCACACAGTCACAGCATATAGGTCACAAGAAATATATTTGGCTACAGGGCCATCGCAGATTTGTACTTTGAAAAAATATAGGTAAAATAAGAAGCGATTTTCAAAAAATTTCAAAATGGCTGCCATTGCTTGTTATTCTACCTGCTTTTTTTTCAGAGGACAAATCTGTGATGGCCCTATAGCCAAATATCTTTCTCGTGACATACTCTGTGTGCCAAATTCCATGCTTTTATCATCAAACATTTCAAATGAACAATCCCATCACCTATCTGCCGTACTATTAAGGACAAAGTATACAGAGCTTACAGTGAAGGGTAAAAGACTCAAGTATTTAAACACTCCAAACCTTTGTAGCTTGTCTGTCCAACCTCGTCGCAGTACTTGCCGGCCGGGCAGTCGTAGCACTGGTCCTGTCGCTCCAGCATGGACACGTCGCTGTACGTCCCCAGGGCGCAGCCATACTGGTTGGCGCGCTCGGTGCCGTTGGGGCAGAAGAAACCCATGTGGCAGGGGTACAAGGTGTAATCACTGATTGGGGCATTGGCTACATCACAGTAGTAGCCTGTTTTGGATGTAAAAACAATTTGACACTTGTGACTCCATCAAAAACAACGAGGACAATTTTTTTAATTTTAATTAATAGTTGCCACGTGCACCCAGAGAGTTAGGGAGTTTGACCTAGTGGTTAGGGCCTGTGGCTCCTGATCAGATTGTCAGGGGTTCAAATCCAGCTGCTGGTTATATTGGTTATATGGTGTGTCCTTGGGCAAGCCACTTCACCTCCACTTGCCTCCTCTCCACCCAAGAGTAGAAGTGGGTATTAGCATTACCTTGGGATTTTGTATTTGTTAAAAAGACGATTACTCCAAAGTATTTCTGGCAAATTGTGACTCCTTTTTTCCCGGGTTTTTAGGTGAAGTCACATTTCATTCCTTCAGGTACCCAGCACTTTTTTAAAACAAATTTCCTGAGTTTTCCCTGATATTTCCCTGAGAAACTTCCAAAAACATTCTCACTTTAACGAGCTTGCTGGGAAGTCAAGAGGTGGTTGCGGCAAAGCAACCAAGATACTGATAATACACAGGCAACTTGTTGGCAAGCGATGGCCTCCCTTCTCCCCTTACAGCAATCCTCTCCTCGCCATACGTAACAGAGTGGTAGCCTGCGCATGCAATAATGTAAATTTATTTCCATTTTCTGTTGAGTTCCCTCTGTTTCCATGACTTTTGGTGTTCTCCCCGAATTCCTGGAGTTTTCCCTGACTGGAAAAATGAAAACTCCTTTCCCCTGATTTTAAGAGGTAGCTGGGAACCCTGTCCCCTTTTTGGAGGGAAAAATCTTAACCACCCCATGTTAGGAGACATGCCATGTTTGCTGACTTTGCGCCTTTACAACAATAAGAATCTCACACATACCTGCATTGCAGAGTTTGCAGGATCCCTGCGCAGTCTCGTCCTGGTACGTCCCTGACGGGCACTCCACCTGATCGGGGGAGCCCTCCTCACAGTAATAGCCAGGATCGCAGGGGTACGGATTCATGATGTCCTGGCCGATGGGGCAATAGTAACCTATACACCAGACGGAGAGTTATTAGCCAGTGACAATTACACTGTTAATCCCCTTTGTTAAAATTTTTTGTATTTCACCCATTAGTCCTTGAACCGCCCCAACCTATCCTGTCTGTTAATCCCTGTACCGCCCAAAGCTGCCCCAGCACTATGATTTTATGAATTAATCAGGGAATAAATACAATGTAATACAGGAAATAAATACAATGTATAACTATGTAGTATACATTCTAAGGTGTTAAAGGGAAGGGGGATTCAAGTTTCAAAAATCGTATCAGGTTCCTCAAAGTTGTATCTAAAGTAAAGAGCATTATTTGCCATTGTAGTAACACAAAACATGTGGTAGCCTATACACTGTTGTGGTTTAAACTTTGAATAATTCATGATTTGCTTGATAAACCATCTGTGATTGGTCATATGCAGAGTTGCTTCATTTCAAGGATTTTCCGGATGTCACAAAGAGACTCTATGATTGGCCTCAAAAGGATGAACAATTCATAACCTGCGTTTTGATTGGTCACAAGTTAGCCCACTCCACGGGCACTACCCTACAGTTCTCAGAGTAACTACAACTGTCAGGTCACACATGAATATTCAGGACTAGCATTAACAACCACTGTGATTGGTTACACACTGATGAATAATTCATTGCCTTTATAATACACAAAATGTGATTGGTCACAGGGCATAAGATCTGCTGTGTTTTTACCTTCTTGGCAGGGTCCGGTTGGCTTGGTCAGTCCTGGCGTCTCGCAGTAGTAACCAGCAGTGCAGTTGTCACACTCGTACTGCGCCTTTAATCCCGTAGCATTGGAGAAAGTGCCGGTTGGGCAGCTGGGTGGATTGGCACCTGTTCCAGATTCTAATTTTTTTAAAAATCAGAAAAGAAATGTTGTCTTGTTTAAACAAAAAGGCTGATCTGTAAAACCACAGTGCATATGTGATGCAATCAAGCTAAATGAGTCGTTTGTCGACCTGCAGAAAAGAGCACAATCTCAGCATAACTGCTGTGAAAATCGCATCCTGAAACCATGTTTAGTTCAACAATTATAGAAGTCGGAACACCAAGAGGTGTGATGAAGTGATGTTATGAAGTGGCCCTATTTTGGCCTGAATCTTCAAATGAAAGTTCCCGACAAACAACTCATTTAGCTTGATCACATAACATATGTTGTGGTGAACCATTTTGTACACTGAAAAATCTTATTGATGATCATGGTTGTCAGAGAACCCGTTAGTGGCCCTAATTTATTAAAACTGATCTGAGGAAATTCATAGCTTCGGGTTTAAAGGGCCCATGTAATAGAATTTTTTTAATGCAGTCCTTGTGAATGCACCTTTGTGTCCCATTTAACCATATTTTTCAATATTCATTTTGTTAGTTTTGAGGGCATTTCGTTGCCCATTTGGTTTTTTTTGCTAATGCAACTTTGCAAATTTATGAGTAAAAGGGTGATGTCATTTCAGGCAGAAACCTCAATGTTACAGCTATTTCACCACCAAAATTTGCCAGGATTTTTGGTTTACCTGTGAGAGAAGTTTCAGAGTTGTCACCCAATCCTAAACAAGGTCAACCGATTTTTTCTTCTTTTTTCCAAAAGGGATGGCAGAGCAAAGTTGATCTCTAATTCTGTAACCGATGTCAAATCCTACATTGTAGAAGCTATAACTGTCCTCATAAAAACTGTTCAAACATCTGAAACGTCGCACAGCTTCCCATAAATTTGTTGCATTAGTCCTACACGAGGCATAGATTATGTATCCTTTCGTAGAAACAGCTGCTTGCAAATCTGAACAGCGATAGCTGGGACAAGTGTATAATCAGTCACTGGTGCTTCATATTTTCATTTAACAAAGGAGCTTCTATGTTTATTACTTCTATGATTATTTTCATTGTCATTGCTACTATCAGAGAAAGTCGGCCATCATCAAACTCACCACAGTAGCGGCCGGCGGGGCAAACGTTGCCAGTGACCCCATCGGTGGGGTCTGGTCTGGAGGCTGTCACGTCACAGAAGTAGCCAGCCAAGCAGGCACCGGAAACGTCATCAAGACCTGCAGAAAGCCATATACAATTCATCAGGTATGAAAACAAGCCATGCTACGGATATGCAAGATAAACAGCAACGATAAGGAGTTTTGCAGCTATTCAGATTCTGTAGATCTTTTGGGAACTTTGACTAAAGTAACCCCCTATTAAACAAGGACACTTGACTGTCTTTGCCAAAGCGTTCTTTTGTCAGATGAGATTTGAAGGTTTGCATTGTGAAGGGTAATAATAAGGTACGTTGTTGCGGTAGCACCATGTGGCAAAATCTCTTTTGTGAGTATGTGTGGTTCTGAAAAGAACCGGAGGGTTCTCAACGTATCGGACAGTATACTCTGCCCGTCGTCAGGCGACTTTTTTTAAAAGGGCACTGGATTTCGTAGGAGTCCAAATTTCATGTGACACTGGAAAAGTGTTTAAGACCAGCCAGCCATGCCTTTATCCTCCATTTAAGACCGGCCACGTGACGGGCTCTTGACCAATGGGATTGGGTAAACTGTCTGAAATATTTATGAATACTGATTACTTAGTAATTTTTCTTGCGATTGAATTATGATTGACTTGTTATTTGACTCGTAATTGACTTAAGACTGAATTGTGATCAATATCTCATAAATTTGTAATTTGACTTGGGATTGACTGCTGATTGAATTAAAATTGACTTGACACCGACTTGTAATTGAAGGGTGAGTTGACTTCTGACCGTGTTCTGATTGTTTAGTAATCTTGCCTAGACTTACCATCAGTCCCGCAGAAGTTGCCCTCCGCGCATTCCTGTGGCTCGCTGGACCCCCGAGGGCAGTAGTAGCCGGGCTGACAGCGCCCTCCGGTGGAGATGCTGGGGCAGAGGCAGTCGCCGTCCGTGTAGTTACTGAAGTCGTCCGGGTGGGCGGTCCAGGCACCCCGGATGCAGAAGTAACCTAGTAGGAGTGATGAGAGATGTCAATTTTCTAGGCATTAAAACAGGGACAATTTCACGGCGAAGCTTACAAGGAGCCTAAGGTTTGATGCAGTGGTTACTTTCCTCATCTTCCACCTCTGTGGCCCAGGTTGCATTCCTGCCCTGGTTGACATGTGGATTGGGGTTTCAGTCTCTACCTGATTCCGTGGGTTCCCCCAAGAATGTTCTTCTGGGGTTCTTGTCCCACCTCTAAAACTGTAACTTCTTCTCATTGTCTTCTCTCCACAGTTTCGTCAGGTTTGTGAGCGACAGTGTCTATGACACCTTTGAGGAATCCTTGTTTTTGATACCAGAAATCATTAATATTTAAAAGCTGAGCTAACTATATAAGACAATTGTGCCAATCTTAAAGGGAAAATACAACATTTGCAAACATCAAAAAATAAAACTACCAAATCATTTTGAAATACCTTGCTGGACTGTTAGTGAATGACAGTGTAAAGCATCCTGTAAAATCATGGCACCTGGTATACTGTCATTTTCAAGAAAAGTGGTATTTTTGTATCAATTTCCAACACTGGTCGGAGCGTTGGAAAAAACTGGCTTTTTTTCAAATACTGGCCCCAATTGACCATCGCACTTGTTTGCAATCGATTACACACCTATGAATGGGTACAAGCCAGCTAGACTGGTTCCCTGACCTTACAATTCCCCAATGTATGTAAACTGCTCTGTTTCTTCTTATATGGAGTCAGGGAACCAGACTACAGGAAAATGATTGTTTTTCTTGGTTTTTATAGCATTTTCGAACCCAAAACCTCAAAAAAGTCAGTGTAACTATATTTGCTATATATTTCCAACCCCCCAATTCCATCCATTTCTGAAAATTACAGCAAAAGCAAATGATGTATACTCCCTTTCAGCACTATTTGAAGCACTATTTGATGGCGTGGATGCTTATGGTCGCGCACATTACGGAGATTAATACTATTACATGAGTAATTTAAGCAAATGTTTCCTTTCAGGTTGGCAAACTTTAGCAGTGCCATGAAATTGGGCCCAGTTAGGTGCCAAAAAAAACCGGCCCACAAATTTCTGCTTCCCTTACCTGGGTCACAACTATTGGTGTACGTGGTGCCCCCCTCGATCTCGCAATACTTGCCCAGATCGCAAGGGGTGCAATCCGACAAGCTCATCCCTTGTGTGTTGGTGCGGTAGGTGCCCTTGGGACAGGGGTACTGGTTGTCAAATTGGGTGCCTGAGAAGGAGACACGTGAACAAGATTATTTCTGCAGCCTAAATAGTTAGAGAAAGTTTGGGCCGACTACTACGGTTAACCTTAAGGTGACTATCTCCTCTTGAACCCACCCTAGTGACAACAGTTGGACTAGTCAAGTTAAGAGCTCAGTCAATCTGTCATATCGTTGGTTTCAATGGTTGCAAGCATAATAATGTAAAGCAGTGGGCCAGGACAAAAAAAAGTTAAGTGATGACATTTGGACGATCGTCAGAGATGTTAGGGATGCTTGCACGATGCTATTAGTGTGCAGGCAAAAAGGTACACCACAATGGTCATCAATCAAACTTGCTCTTGTTTTTTGTCAGGTTGAAATATCTTCTTCAGGGCAGAAATTTCACCGAGACCTTCACGGGACTATTTTGAGATCTTTAACCAGTTTTAGCGCCGCAGGCCGTGTATACATGCAAAAGTTGTGCGGTATTCAGAACGGATGACAGATAAACACGCAGGGAGTGAGACCCGAAATATCTGCAGCGACCCGCTCACAGCGAGCGAGGCCGGAAATATGAGTGTGCTGCCCGAGGGTGATGGCTTCAACCTGCCTGGCATGACATCGAGTGAAAAGTAATCCCGCGCCTTGTTTCATTCTTGCCAAAAAAATCCCTGCTTAAACTGGTTAAGAGATCCAATGACCGAAGTAAATGTTACTTTTTTTAAATGCTTCATTAAACATTAAACAAATACCTGTGCTGAACACTGAAATAAGCCAAAGAATGACAACCTTTGCTCATTTGTGTTGAATTTGAATCAAATCTGATGTTCTATGAGATGCTCGATGAGAACTAAGAACCTTACCGTTGGGGCAGTAGTGACCGGCAGGGCAGGGGTAAGAGATGTAGCTGGCCACCCCCTTGGGGCAGTAGTAGCCTGCCTTACACTCGAAGCAGGAAGCCTGCTGCTCTAAGTTGTTCCAAGTCCCCTCTGGGCACTCCACAGGGACCGGTGAGATACCGTCGCAGTAGTGCCTGGTGGGGCACGGGCCGCCGGTGTTGTCACTGCCTGATGGTTGAAGGGAACCACAGAAATATTTTAGGTTCTGAAAACCGAACCTCTACCAAATGGGATTAACCCTTAGCACCCCAACTCCATCAAAATCCATCCCCCAGTTTGGTGGATTTTTGGGGTACTTGGTCCAGAAGGCCTAAATATTGATGGAGCATGATGGACTTGGGCCTAATGGCCTGAAGCAGTGCTAGGGGTATCCGATTGATTTTGCCTAGCTTCCTGTACTGCTATTGTGATAAAAGCCATGTGTAGCAAGTCCATGAATGTCAACCAGTGCGTCAGTGGTGGATTCCATTATGCCATGTGCAGTTTTGTATTGGAAGCGCACTGATTGATGGATTTTGATGGACTTGGTCCAGTTCCTAATAAAAGACGCTAGGGAGTTAGGGTCAATGAAATTCATTTCTGTCACTCCAAGTTTAAAAGTGGAGTGTAGACTAGCGGTTAGAGTTTGTGACTCTTGATAAATTAAAAGTGGAGCATGACCGATAACTTCAATAAACAAAAACAGAAAATAATGAAACGCAGCGTTTTATTCCAGAAAATCATAAGCAAATCACAAGTCAGTCGCAATGGGATATGAACAAAGACCCAAAGCAGTACTTTTGCCACAGTTCATTTGAAAAGAATGTGACTTGACGTTAGATGACCACTGATTGACTTGTAATGTCTTGATTAAAATTATGGCAAAACTAAGTTTTCTTAAAAAAAAAAAAGGTTCCTACAAATGCACTCAGGACACCATAGCAAAAAAAAGTTACTCTCTTTATAATCAGTAAAGGTTGTTTGTAAGGTTGTACAAAGAAATTGACTTCAGCAGAGTTTGACCCGAGACCTTTGGAAGACCGTGTTTTGTGATAGTTCAAACCCCACTCAAGTCAATTTATTTGTTCAACCTTAATTAGTTTATATTCACCTTGTCAGATTCACTGTGTATTTGATAAAATGTGTTTAGTCAAACAAAAAGGTACAGAAAGAAATTCTCTTACCAGTGGGGGTAGGCGTGGCAGAGCCATTCAGGCAGTAGAACCCAGGCGAGCACACCCCCTCCGGCGCGGTAAGGTTCTCGGTGCTGCAGTACATGCCCAGGTCGCAGTCTTTGCACTCGGAGACCATGGTCAGGTACAGCTGGTCCGAGTAGGTGCCCGGCAGGCATGGGTTAGGCACCGAGTTCTCCTGGGGGCACCAGAAGCCCTTGGGGCAGGGGCCGCCGATGCCTAGAGCGGTCTCGTTCTCTGGGTTGGGGAGGTCCACACCTGGGCAGGCCAAAAGCATATATGCTTCAGGGCAATTCCACGATGAGGTTACTCACGTTACATGTTAAGTGACTTAGCTTTGACTTACTCCTTAATCAATCATTCTTGGAGGACCCCAATTAACAAATGTGTTAATAGAATCAGTAAGTAACCTCTGAAGATTCCTTGAAATGCATGCAAATATGCAAAAAAGTGGTAACTCACGTTACAAAATAGACACCAACCTATAGAATTGCCCATCAGCAAATCACATATTTGTTCATCACACGCATGTGCGACATAGCAGCATGACATAGTCGTTGCGACAAAATTACACATGCTAAATAGGCCTTGTAAACTGTTGAGTGGGATGGTGCCAGACTATTTATGCATCCAAAGCCTCACTTTCATTTTTTTAAATGTGCCTTAAAACATTAGCATATCATTAATCACAAACTTTAAATTATTCATCAGAGAAGGTTCGTATTAAATTTGTAAATAACTTTATTTCATTACTTTTATTTCTATTCGCAAGTTCAAAAAATGAAGATTTTACCTCGCTTTCAATTTAATATGGCCGACTATTAGCACAGCAGTTGGTTAATTCCATGAAAACTACACTAACCTGATAAGCAATAGTATCCCGGATCGCAGGGTCCGGCCGTGTTGTTCATGGCCGTCTCAGCGTTGAACTGCCAGATGCCTAGGCCTCGGCAGTAGTAGCCGGCCTGGCAAGGCAGGCACTGGCTCTCCCTAGCCAGGCCCAGGTCCGGGTTGTAGAACCCACGGGGGCAGGGGATGGACTCGTTGCCGCCGGTGTTTTGAGGGCAGTAGTCACCCCTCGGGCACTCTAGGAGGCGATAGCCGTCGGGGCAGTAGTAGCCTGTTGGGAAGGAAAAAGTGGTTACATGTTAGCTTCTGGAACTTAGTCTGTGAACAAATACTACCTGAAGCAGTGCTGTAGTCATTTCTATGGGCTCTGTGCGCCAACAAAAGAGGGCGCCCTTTTTTCTAGCAACGACATCCCATGGGCGGGACATTTAGCTGGTTGACGCGCACCGTTCCTTGTGTGTGATGCATGTACATCAGGGGATTTGTACTATGTATACGCAGTGGTACGCCGCGCGTCGCGGCAAAATTGCAGGCGGGCTAGATGGCGTCAGTTGGTCACCCCCAACTGTACTTTGTTTGCCGGTGAGGGGGTACTTGTGAACGGAGCGGATGGGTACAAGTACGAGAATATTTCCATGAGTACTACAGTATAACATCGCTATAAAGAACCTGATGAAATCCACTGCTCGTTATATTAATCGTTCTTGTAGACAAATCCGGCAGCAGCCTTCTTCTGCGGTGGCACCAGGCTCGTGCATGTCGCGCTCAGGTAGTACACACGCACTCCGGGCTCCTTCAACCAATAGGAATACCAAAATGCGCGTGTGCCTTGTCTTAAAGAACACGTGCAGCATGCGCATGAGCGTGACACCAACGCAGTAAAAGCTTCTAATTCTGGTCGCCGGATTCCGCTATAAGGATTTTTTTGTCAACCGGCATGACAAAGTTTGGCAAGATGGTGTCTGTATGCAGGTACACGTATGTGTTGTAGACCGTTTCTTATCCTTCTATTATTGTTTGTACCATGGTCTTTTTGAGGTGCGGCAGGAACCAGTTTACCAGAAATGACTACAAGATTTTTATTATTCACATTCAAATGCAGTGGAGAGACATTCTTGGCAAGACAAACTGCACAATATGAATAGCTTTTCCATGCAAATGCTTTGCCATGAGAATGAGTACAAGCACAAGGCAATTTTGACTTTGCACAGAGACTAAATGGGTTAAAAACAATGCTCGTCCATTTGAAGAAAAAACTAGCCTTGAGTCTACTGAGCACTTAACAAGCTTGAACACTACAGTGCTCCAACAACCTACCTGCAGGGCAGTCAAAGCAGCTGGCCTGGCCCGTGATGTTGGTGTAGTAGCCACCCTCGCAGCGTTTGGGCGCCGGGGAGCCAGCTGGGCAGTAGAATCCATCAGGGCAGATGTTGCCCGTCTCGCCGTCCGTCGGAAATTTGGTCTTGGCCTTGCCTGTGCAGTAGTAGCCTGAATTGGACAAAATGACCGAAAATAACTTCAATTAGGATTCTCAGCTTTTATTACTGTGAAATACTTTCAGTGGAGAAATGAGCCTATGAAATGTTCGTAAACCAAACTTTCTATAGTGACCAGCTGTCTGTTATGGCTAACTCTGCTACGGCTCACTGATCACTGTGGCTAAACATCCTGGTTCTTGATTCTTGGTTGGTTCTTCTCCTAAATACCCTGCGTAGGAGTTTATACAGGAGACCAGAAACACCGGGGCAAACCCCTTCTCTTAGCGATAAGTGTCACTGGGTTCTTTTACGTGCATTGGATTACACAACACACGGGACCTTCGGCATCACGTCCCATCTGAAGGACGAAGCAATAATGGTTAAGTGCCATGCTTAAGGGCCGAATGCCCACCCGGCGGGCTCGAACCCACGCCACTGTTGCCTCTGAAACACCAGAGCATGAGTCCGGTGCTCTTAACCGCTAGGCCACGACACTCCAGTGTAGATCCCTCTCTATTGTAGCGATGTCCAAAGTAGGTAGCTATGGCTTTCAATTACACACGTGTCTATGGAAGCAGCTGAAGCCATTTCCCCATAAATGTATGTGTTACAGCAAGCCACAGCCAGGTAACAAAGACACAGCCTAAGACTGCAATAAGGGCATGTAAACGACTTACAATGACTGACTGTATATACAAGTGTCTTACTTACCAGGTGCACAGAGGTCGTTGGGTTGGGTCAGGCCCAGCCCCGAGCACACCTCCCCCGGCAAACAGTCCAGGCAGTCCTCCTGCGCAGTCAGTCCTGTGATGTTCCCGAACGTTCCATTAAAGCAAGGGGTGAGGTACGGGTTGGCAGTGCCGGGCGGGCAGTAGTAGCCCTTGGGACAGATGTTGCCGTTGTCTGTGTCGTTGCCCTGATAAAAAAAAGGATCGGAAGTCATCACAAGTCATCGCAAATGATTGCAAGTCATCGCAAGTCATCGCAAGTCATCACAAGTCATCGCAAGTCATCATAAGTCACTGCAAGTCATTGCAAGTCATCGCAAGTCATCGCAAGTCATCGCAAGTCATCGCAAGTCATCACAAATCATCGCAAGTCATCGCAAGTCATCGCAAGTCATCGCAAGTCATCGCAAGTCATCGCAAGTCATCGCAAGTCATCGCAAGTCATCGCAAGTCATCGCAAGTCATCACAAATCATCGCAAGTCATCGCAAGTCATCGCAAGTCATCACAAGTCATCACTTGTCATCACAACTCATCTTAAGTCATCACAAGTCATCACAAGTTTATCACAAGCCATACTGATCCGAGTTCACTTAATGAATTAAGACAAGTGATGTACGAGTGGTTCATCTTTATACTTCTACTTCAACCCTGGAATTTTGCATCTAGGAGATGCTTGCTTATAAATTCTGTATTTTTTAGAACCGAGTTGTGGGGACAATCTGCTGTCCCCATAGCATCTTTGGTCCACAGTACCATGGGACAAGGACTACGAAACAAGCATGTGTGTACTGACCATGGGGTAGGGCGTGATGGTCCCGCCGGTGCAGTAGTGGCCCGCCGCGCAGGGTCCAGACACATCCAGCAGGCCGGTGTTGTTGCAGTAGGAGCCGGGAGAGCAATCAAGACAAGCTGATTCCAAGCTCTGGCCACCTGGCTCAAACCTTATGGTTCCCTGAAGGGCAAAATAACCATTGGACATTATTAGCCAGGGGGGGGAAATAATCGGATATTAGAAAGGTTAAAGCTGGTACATACGTGCTATTTCAAAATTTCAAAGTTCTTATTCGAACGAATTTTAAAGAAATAAAATATCCTCAAATTAGATTTTGCCCTTCATCGACGTATTAACACTGTATATTCAGTGGGTTACCTCCCGAGTGAAAGTTGGAAAAAATCACTCGAGTGGGACTCAAACCCACGACCTCCTGCTTTCTAGTGCAGATGTCTTACCACTCGACCACCGAGCTAACGGAATCGGTTGGCTGGCTCGAATCTGATGTACATAAACAGCGAGTACTGCATGAACTATTCATAAGGCATATAATATCCTGTAACAAACAAATTTGCTTGTGTGCATTTGCAGGCCTTTACACAGTTTTAAAAAGTGGTTTTAAGCAGTGTGCTCCAGTTCAGAAAGTTTTGAGCGACATGCAACAAATATTCATATCTAGTGACGTAGCCATGTAATACCTGTATGTTAATTTTGGAATATGTTTTGTTTTTGCCTTGCCCAATCCTAGCTGCGCGATGATCGCAGCTGATCAGTGACACTGCCATACATGCTCCGTGATAATGTAGACCTACACGTACGTGCAGCCAGTACTTTTGCATCTTTTCCTCTGGATTGCAAAACTCATGGTTTTCCAAGTCTTGTTTTACGTGGTCACAATACAGTACGACACTGTATACTGTGTATACACACACATTTACATTCATGTGTACATACACGTTATGTACAGTTAGTCATGCACGTACGTTTACTTGTAATGTGTGGTGTTGATTATTACTCATAAACTACACTGTCGCAAAAGCACATGCGTAACTAGGTCACGCTTGCTTCAGAAGTTGCAATTAATTAATTGCATGCTTATCGTGGGCTGGTTTTTTTTTTTGCACGATGTCTCATTGGAAAGCACATAACTAATGCAATGCTAGAAAATTGTCAATCCAATTTGAAAATCTATTTTTCTGGGCGCAATACCCAAAAGCATGTGTATACCCGCTTTAAGTTAAGGGCTTTTTGCAAGAACATACCTGTGCGCTTCGTAAAACATTTGATTGTTAGAGAAAAAAGCAAAAACTTCATGCAACACTGAGAAAAGTCTAGTTTTCTATCATACATACCAATGGGCATGGAGTAGGTACTACCGTCTCCTGTATGCAGTAGTGGCCAGCTGTGCAGGTAGCAGGGATAATGGTGCCAAAGTTGAGGCAGTAGTAGCCCTGGGCGCAGGGTGCGCAGGCTGACGATGCATTGGCCTATGATGGTACAAAGTAATAGGACGACAAAAAGGAACTGACGTGATCACAAGTCAATCACATGTCATATAACAAGTCAATCACAGCTGCACAGGTGGAAGGGATAATGGTGCCAAAGTTGAGGCAGTAGTAGCCCTGGGCGCAGGGTGCGCAGGCCGACGATGCATTGGCCTATGATGGCACAAAAGGAACCAAGGTGATCACAAGTCAATCTCATGTCAGTAACATGTCAGTCACATGTCAGTCACATGTCAAATAACAAGTCAATCACAGCTGTGCAGGTAGCAGGGATAATGGTGCCAAAGTTGACGCAGTAGTAGCCCTGGGCGCAAGGTGCGCAGGCTGACGATGCATTGGCCTATGATGGCACAAAAGGAACCAAGGTGATCACAAGTCAATCTCATGTCAGTAACATGTCAGTCACATGTCAGTCACATGTCAGTCACATGTCAAATAACAAGTCAATCACAGCTGTGCAGGTAGCAGGGATAATGGTGCCAAAGTTGAGGCAGTAGTAGCCCTGGGCGCAGGGTGCGCAGGCCGACGACGCGTTGGCCTATAATGGTACAAAGTCATAAGATGACATAAAGGAACTGAGGTGATCACAAGTCAATCACAAGTCAATCACATGTCGATCACAAGTCAATCACATGTCAATCACATGTCAATCACAGTAATAATAATAATAATAATATATAGTTTATATATATCGCTTCATACCAAAGGTCTCAAAGTGCTTCACAATTATTACCCCTGTTCATCAGGCAATGAGACCAGTTTCTGCAGCAGCTCGAGATCAGCGCAACTGAATCTGGTCTCTACCTTCACAGGTACCCATTTATACTCCTGGGTGGAGAGAGGCAATTGTAGTAAAGTGTCTTGCCCAAGAACACAAGCATCTTGTTCCCCGTCAGGGTTCAAACCAATGTTCCACGGCACGCGAGTCAAACACCGTAACCACTGGACCACAGCGCTCTACAACAGTAGCATTTTATTGACCAATTTTCTGAATGATTTTACTTCGCTTCGAAGACACGTGCAGTACCAACGGCTGGATCAGTTGCCACGTGTGTGGCATCACCTGTCGCCAGGATTAGTCCGGTGACCACACTCGCTATGTCATAACACTTCTACAGTGAACAGGCATTGCTAACGATAGGTTCTCAGCCAATTTTTGCCTGGCAAAGTGCTTTCCTTAGCACATATTTTTGCCGCTAAGCTCCACGTGCCTAGAACATTTACTGTAACTGGTGACAATGCATTCCAGGCACATGCACCTCGGCTCTAGAATGATGTCCCACAGTGTCCTTCCTTGGATGTCTTTAGAAAGACCCTTAAAACATATTTATTTGATTAGAGATACATGTTTTCATAATTTCCTGTTAATGTTCGGCATATTTATTTTTGTGATTTATTTATTGTTCAGCGCTGTGAGACCATCTTTGAGTAAGAGCGCTATATAAATGACTTGATTGTATTGTACTTGAAATTCGGCCCTAGTCGCAAGCAACAGGGCAGTCGGCCTGCATTCACTCACCGTTTGGAACTGCCCCCGTGGGCAAGGTTCGGGCTTGTAGGCCCCTGAGTCGCTGTAGTGGCCCGCTGGGACCTCGAATTGAATCGGGGTACCGGCCCCTCCTGTGCAGTAGTAGCCCGGTTTGCAGGGTCCTGTGGGCTCCGGGTTGTTGTCACCAGCACAGTAATACCTTTTGGGTGAAAGTGGTTGTCATTAAAATTATTGACGCAAAACCCACATAATACCTCCAACCAAGCCAGTAATAAACCCATTGAGCATTGTACTACAACTAGCACCCTACCAGATATTCCTTGAACAGCCCAAAACAGCCACAGTACTGTATGGTTTTTACCGATTCATCGGGACATCAATACAATGTCATACGATGTAGAATAGATACTAATGGTTTTACGCAAAACTTGGGAACTTCAGTTTTCAGATCACATGCAATTGAGTACCGACGTGTGACGTCATTTAGAAACAGAAAGTGTAGTGCAAACGAATGGAGTACACCTGCGTGTTGGTTCACGGGCTGAATCATGCACTAATGTCTTTCACACACATTTTGTGCGCGTGACGTGTTCACTTCGGTACTCCATTGGACCAAGGATATTATTGAAACCCTTCTGCTGTTTGAGCAGTCACACACAGTCAATAATATCAATCATCTTCCCATGCCATGCCTTCAAGCATAGGCTAGTCACTAACAGTCAGATCACAGTTCGAGCAGGCACTGTGACAGTCAAATTCCATCAACAGACAAAAGCAACTAAGACAAGATAAGTTTGCATTAGTACCATGTGAATAAATCTCTTTTGTGAGTATGTGTGGTTCTGCAAAGAACCACTTATACTCACAAAAGAGATTTATTCACTGGTGCTATCGCAAACTTATCTTGTCTTTGTATCTTCCACCATGCAAACCTTCAAATCTCATCAGACAAAAGCAAGTAACCGATACATGTATCAAATCTCCTACAATCAAAACACAGTTGTATCAAGTTACATAAATGGTCACAGCCTGGCAATGAAGGCAGGGAGAACTCGATCATTAACACAGTCACTTTAACTTTTTTTGACTGTTGGGATGACGTTGTTGAATTTGCCAGCCAGAGAAGGAGAGTCTTTAAATGACTTACCCTGGATCGCAGGCGATACAGTCATCGGGTGCCTTGGAACCAGACGAGTTACTGTAGGTGCCCAGTGGGCAGTTGGCCGGCCAGGCCGAGCCGGCCGGACAGTAGCCACCAGGCGGACACAGGCCACCGGTCACTCCATCAACTGGGGCCTGTGAATTCATAAGAGTCAAGATGAAGTCAAGGCCAAAATATTCAGCGGCCAGCCAATGCCTGGGGCGTGTTTGCCAATATTTACAGCATTTCACACATTTTGTACTGTGTGCCACTTAAGTTGGCATAGGTTAGCAACAAAGGCGAAACATCTTCCTGAGTTGTCCCCTGATATTTTCTTGCACAGTATAAAGTTTACCTACATGCATCTACCTCAAAATTCCCTACAGCTTCGTATCGATAACAAAATTACACCTTCAGTCTCATCTAAATTTATTTCAGCTGCTACATCAGATTCAAACCAGCCAGCTTACCCTAGCAAGCTTGGAGGTTGCATGGTAAGACCTCTGCTCGAGTAAGCAGGAGGTCGAGGATTTGTTGTTCATTTTTGTTATGTTTTTTCTCACAAGAACAGAAACAACACTGAGTAAAGAGTGTTTATAAAAATACGCCGGCGACGGGCAAAAACGAATAGTGAACAAATCAATCATCAATCACGAAGCAATTAAAAATCAATCGCTTGTCAAATCACAAGTCTGGTTACAAGTACCAAGGGACGAAAAAATGACAAACGATTGCCTTTTGTCCCAACTCATTGGCCTATTTGAGATATGGCAGACACAATAGGAGGGTGCTGTTTGATTTGGGTAAACCCTTGTGTAGTTACCCAAACCAAACAGCGCCCTCCCATTGTGTCCGCCACATCTCAAATAGGCTAATTGACTTTCAATTGACTTAATTACAACTCAAAATAAAGAAAAACCCTTCTAATAAATCTCACCGAAGTGTAGGCCTTCTCTTTGCAGTAGAATCCCGGGTCGCAGACATCCGTGGGTTCCGTGTTAGCAAAGCCGTCACAATACCAGCCGCCGGGGCACGGCGAGCAGTCTTCGCTGCGCCGCAGGCCGGTGGAGTTGCCGTAGGTGCCGGCCGGGCAGGGCTGGGGGAAGGTGCTGCCGGACACGCAGAAGTAGCCCTGACGGACAGAAATAAAGGGAATAAGAGTTATCACAGAGATCAGTTTGGAGAACACATTTTTCTCATCTAAAACAACAGATTCATGCTCTACACAGAATCACTTTATACTCAGGTGGTACCGCAGTATTTTTCATATTAGCAATTGTATCGCATTGTTACATTGTATTACAGTGTATTACATTGTGTTACATTGCATTACATTGTATTACAGTGTATTACATTGCATTACATTGTATTACATTGCATTACAGTGTATTACAGTGTATTACAGTGTATTACATTGTATTACATTTTATTACATTGTATTACATTGCATTACAGTGTATTACATTGTATTACAGTGTATTACATTGTATTACATTGCATTACATTGTATTACATTGCATTACAGTGTATTACATTGTATTACAGTGTATTAAATTGTATTACAGTGTATTACATTGTATTACAGTGTATTACATTGTGGATTTGTATGGATTTCTGAGCGTATTCAGCAGTGATGCAGTCAAGATCTTTTCTGGGACCTCAACCAAATGTTTAATATGTAATGGCACATCAGATTTGATTTTTAAGTCCAACGTGTATGAGCAGACACTCTTAATGCTCTGAGTAAACATTTCAAAATTAATGGTGTTTTTATTGTTAAACTATACTGGAATTATTCCAAATTATCATTTAATTGGAGCAATGAATCTCTAGAAAGTATCGGTGCGATTCTGGCTCTGAAAAGTTTGTTGGTAACAAACAATGAATGCTGACTGACCCAAATATAAGTATCCTTCATCAAATAACAATCTCCCTCGTTACTTTTTCAACTTTATAAATAATAAGAGGTCTTGAAAGGTCTGAGAAAGATTCTGACTTAACACAGAAATTGGCATGAAAGTTGATCTGCGTATAATAATCCACGCCTCAAACAGGCAACACACTGCCTCTCATGCGCAGGCCAAACACCGCCTCCTGCATGTTTCCGTACGGAGTTGGTAACAATCCCTACCTGGGTGCATTCTTTGGGCCAGGCGAGGCCTTTCTCGTCGCAGTAGTAGCCCGAGATGCAAGGGGTGCAGCCCTGCGAGTCCTCCCCGGCACTGGCGTTGAGGTAGTACCCCACGGCGCAGGGGTTAGCGTAGGGGTCCGCCGTGCCCTCAGGGCAGTAGTAACCCCCTGGACAATCGTCGGCCTGCAAGGAACAAAATTCACAGGAAAAATTGTCACTTTCGAATATATGAGAAATAGTAAAGCAGACTGGTGATAAGATTGTTCAGTTTGATGATAAAGGCATGTAATTTGCCACACAGTCAGAGTGTGTCATGGGAAGGATATTTTGCTAAAGGGCCATCGCAGATTTGTGGGCCATCGCAGATTTGTGATGCGATCAAGCTAAATGAGTCGTTTGTCGGGAATTTTCATTTAGAGATACAGGCCAAAATAGGACCACTTCATCACATCACTTCATTGCATATCTTGGCGTTCCAACTTCTATAATTTTTTAACGAAAGATGGTATCAGCATGCAGTTTTCACGACAGTAATGCTGAGATTGTGCTCTTTTCAAATCTGTAATAATTTTTTTTTTTGACAAACGACTCATGTAGGTTGATCGCATCACATTTGACCTTTGTAAAATATATCAAAGGATAACAAGACATTTTCAAAATGGCGGCCATCGCATGTTATATCCAACAGGAGAAAGTAAACTGTCCCAGGTATTTATGAATATAACATAAGTCTTCCCTTTTGTTCACTGAGCACAAGCAGGAGGCCCTACACTGCAAGTAAAAATAAAGAGGATGAAAGGAAATATATTTGCTACTCACAGGGGCACTCAGACCAGGAGGGGAGCACCATTTACCGGCCGGGCAGATCTGGCACTGTGACTCCTGGACCAGGCCTATCTCATCGCTGAAGGTTCCGTTGGGGCAGGGGCGCGGGAAGGGGTCCTGTTGTAGACAAAACGAGGGGGTGAAAAAGCACGTCAGAGAACGTGTCAAGATCTCACAGTAAGGAGTTGGACTTGGAAAAAGTAAGTTGGATTCTAAAAGTTGAAACTGTACAACAGAGTTGTGGGGAAGTGTGGCCTAGCAGTAAGGGTTCGTGACTCATGATCAGAATCGAATGATCGAATCCGGCTGCTGGCCATACGTTGTGTCCTTGGGCAAGGCACTTTATCTTCACTTGCCTCTCTCCACCCAGGAGTATCAATGGGTACCGGCATTAGCTGGGGAGTAACCTGCGATGGACTAACATCCCATCCAGGGGGAATGGAAATATTCTCAGTCGTTTCATGCCACTGAAACCGGAGAAAAACGCCGGCCTGATGGGCCATAGAGGCTCGGGACAGACTTTACTTTTGTACAACAGAGTTGTAGTAAAGTTTATCACAAGCCAATCACAAGTCAAATCACAAATGTCAAATCCCAGGTCGAATCGCAAGTCAATCCCAAGTCCAAACACAAGCCAATCACAACTCCATCACAAACCAATCTCAAGTCAGGTAAGAAGGGAAGAAGAATGACAAAGTAATATCTCTGCCAGGTTTTGATTGAACAGCTTGTCAATTGACTTGTGATTGGATGAATCACGATTGACTTGGGGTTGACTTGCAGGCACTTGTGAGGCCTTGACTACAATTTCTATTGTGCAGTAATCGGGTTAGTCTTTATAAATCAATGTAGAAAATGAGAGTTTAAGGTGATTTCAAATATCAAATCTAAAGCGATTAAACTAACAAGTGGTTTTCAGGGGAGTTTTAGGTCTATGACTCTAAGGAACTCTGGCTCAATACAAGCACATGTTCTGCTTCGAAACACCAAATCCTACGATGTGATCAGGTCAAAATTTTGAGCAGTTCCATTTGCAGAGACGCCAACTTAACAGACTACAAAATAGTAATGATTCTTCCTGCAAACAGGAATGTGAGTGACCACTGATAAAAATAGCTGAAAACAGCTGAAAAATGTGTAAAAAAGCTGAATTTTGGAGATCTCCTATACTTTTGTACACACCAAGCGAGGGAAAAAGCCAGAAAAAAAGCTGAAATCCAAAACCAAAAAAGCTGAAATCAGCTTTAAAGCTGAGATTTCACACCTCTGTGCAAAGTGTAATGCTAATGTAAATACATAGGACAACAGTCAAGTTTAACAGTAACCACAGAACTTTTCAGAGTAACCACAATGTTTGTGTATAGGGCAGCTGGAATTTTCAAGAGTAGTACCATGCCTCAAAATCCTAATAATTACTGCAAAAGAGTAATGGTTGGCATCTCTGCAATTGGTTTGATAGAGGCTTTAAAATGACTCCAGGGGCGGATTGCAATAACCAGTCTTAAAGCTGTCTATGCGCATTAGACAGTCTAAAAGCTCTGGCTGTCAGTCAGTCTATAAGTAAGACCATTGCAATGACACGGTCTAAGTATTAAGACAGTCTTAAAATAGTTAGCCTGGGTAGGGCTGGCTTAAAATGGTCTATAGTTGGGATTTTTGGAATTCACTGGTGTGTTGAATTATTCTTTCCCAAAAAATTTTTTTTTTCCAGTTGGTGAGTGTTTGATACTCTTAAAATAGCAGAACACTGCTTGGAGGGAAAATTCTCTGGGATAGAAGAGATCTTCTGGAAAAATGTAATGACACTGAGTTGTACTGCAAATACAATTTTCTCAACATAAAATTTCGGAATTGACAGATTTGATTTTGCATGATTGAATCACACAAACCTAAAAAAAAAATCGTACAGTCTCTCCAGTATTCGCCCGTAACCATGGAATGTTTGTTTGTGAATCATTACTCTAAGCGGGCTTAGTAAAGACCAGCTTATTGCAATGGGCTAAGTTTGGTGTCTTAACCAAGACCGTCTAAGAACAACAGCCGGCTAAAATCGGACTGGTTTAGCCAGCCAACTAAGACCGCGTTATTGCAATCCGCCCCAGAGCAACAGACAAAGCCAAAGACTGTGATAACGCCAACTATTGGAGAAACCTGAAGGGATGCTTACCCTGTCACCACTGAGGCAATAGTGACCCGTCCTGCAGTAATCGTTCTGCAGGTCCGGCGCCGTAGAACGGCCGTAGTCGCAGGTCATGCCGGCCGGGCAGATCTTGTTGCTGTACATGTCGTCCCGGCTGGTGGTGGCGCTGTCGCAGTAGTAGCCGGCCTCGCAGGTGGTGCATGCTGCTGCGCCGGTATCCTGCAGGGAGAGGAGAGAGGGGCACACACACAACGCTTTAAAGGGAACGCACAACATTTGCTTTTGCTGTAGTTTTCAGAAATGGATGGATTTGGGGGGTTGTTATTTCATAACAAATATTGTTACGCTGCTGACTTGTTTGAAGTTTTGTGTTCGTAGATGCTGAGAAAAACCAAGAAAAACAATCAACGTCATGTGGTCTGGTTAACTGACCCCACTTAAGATGAAACGGAGCAATTTATAGACGTCTGGAAATTGTAAGACCAGGGAACCAGTCTGGCTGGCTTGTACTCGTGCATAGGTGTGTAATCAATTACAAACACAATGTGGACTGACTAAATATGGTAAATTGGGGGCAGTGTCTGAAGAAAGCCATTTTTTTTTCAACGCTTGTCAGCCCAGCATTGGAAATTGACACAAAATACCACTTTTCTTGAAAATGACAGCACACCAGGTACTTTGCTTTTACAGGGTGCTTTAGACTATCTTTTACTAACAGTCCAGCAAGGTATTTCATAATAATTTGGTAGTTTTGTCGTTTGAAGTTTGCAAATGCTGACTATTCCCTTTAACAGAGTATAGGACCAATTTCATAGCGCTGCTAAGCACAGATGCAGATTACCCGCCAAAATATATATATGATTTATACTGTAATTGAATGGTACACTGCAAATTTCAACAGAAACTTGGTCAATATAAGTGAGCCACTCAGCATGGATTTCAGCTTAGCACAGAGAAGATCTGCTTATCAAAACAGATTACCAGGCAAAATATCATGTGATTAATACTGTTATTGAATGGTACTCTGCAGATTTTACCAGAAACTTGGTACCGATTTGTGCTGAGCACAGATAAGATCTGCTAAGAGCTACAGATTACCATCAAAAATGTCACGTGATTAATACTGTTGCTAACTGGTACTCTGCTGAATTTTAACAGAACCTTGATCAACATTATGTAACAACCGGTACTTAGTACTGATCTGGATTGCTGCTTACCGAGTAGTTGCTTTTGGTGCACTCCACGGGTTCTGTGTTGCCCGTGCCAGCACAGATGAAGGTTACCGGCCAAAATATCATTTGATTTATACTGTTATTGAGTGGTTCTCTGCTGCATTTCAACAGAACCTTGATCAACATATGTGAACTACTTAAGATTTGTGCTAAGCACAGAGAAGACCTGCTAAGAGAAACAGATTACCAGCCAAAATATCATGTTATTTATACTGCTGTTAACTGGTACTCTGCTGAATTTTAACAGAACCTGGGCACATTTCATGCAAGCTGGTAAGCACAGATTTTGTGCTAAGCATAGATAAGATCTGTATTGCTGCTTACCGAGTAGTTGCTTTTGGTGCACTCCACGGGTTCCGTGTTCCCCGTGCCGGCACAGTAGTATCCAGCTGTGCAGTCTCCGCAGTCACTCTCTGCCTGACCCTCCAATTCATCTCTGTACGTCCCACTGTATAAATTAAAACAACAACCACTTGAGTCTTATATAGCGCACGTATCTACCAACAATTAGGCCCTCAAGGCATTGGTAATTAGGTCTATTTTTAAAGACAGGTAAATGTGCCCATGCGCAGTTGGAACACCGAACTGGTTTATCACCGAGCATGACTGCTCATCATGCACTAGTTAAACATTTAATACGACTTATGTCAAACTGTGGCTGGTACTGATCACATTTAGAAGAAATGTCAGTCAAGTTTTCTTTAATTTTTGCATATTATAATTAACTGACAAGCAACAATCAGCTTTTTTATTCACAATTTATTCCAAGTATAAAATGGTTTGGAAGTTGTGTGCTCTCTTAAATACTTTCCATTGTTAGATTTCTTTGACACAAGGGGTGCGTAAAAAAAAAATCCCAAATGGCAGGACCAATTTCTAAATGAAGTTTTGCCTGTTGCACTTTCAAAATCTAAGATATGAAAGCCCAATCAATGAGTTTCTTTTAGTTCAAGAATCATTCAAATCACTCATGTACTTTTTAAGTTATGAAATTTTGAAACCGAACACAGTTTTAAAAGTTCTGTCCACGGATCACAAAAAAACTTACATGTTCTTTCAGCAAAAGAAATAATTCTCGTCGGGATGCATGTGAATTGTTTTCATTTTGCTGAAAGAACACACACTTTTTTTGTGATCCGTGGACAGAAATTTAAAACAGCTGTTGTGTTTAAAACTTTGTAACTTGAAACGTACTTGAGTAATTTGAGTAATTTTTGTACTACAAGAAAGCTTATGAATTGGGCTTTCATGTCCTAGATTTTGAAGTGCTCCAGGCAAAACTTCATTCAAAAATTGGTCCTGTCGTTTGAGTTTTGTTTTTTGTCCTACCATGTACATCATCGAACACCTTGGCCAAGGCTATCCCTGGCCAGGATTAAAAACCAAAGCCCACTGTGCCCTCTGGAGACATGCACACAATAGGGAACAAAAGATTGTATACGTCTCCACGGGGCACTATCCATAAATGAATACGTCTCCACAAGGTTTTCACGAAATAGATATATGGATTTTACTCAAAAACTAGAAATTTCGAAGGTATGTTGATCAGTCGCAAATGAGAGAGTTTTAGAAAAGGGATATCAAGTCCGAATTTCAGCCAAGGAAATTAATTGTCTCCACAAGGATACAAATTTCATTAAGTCAGAACTGACAGGGTGGGTTTAACTTACGCAGGGCAAGCCGTGGGCAGTGAGGATCCTTCCGGACAATAGTGGCCCTCGGTGCAATCCACGCACTGCTCCCATCTTATGTTACCCTGGACGTTGGAGTAGGATCCCGCGTGGCACGGGAACTGCTCGGCTGTCTGTGTGCCTGGTAGAAGAATATATATATTTAACGTGCTTGGCAAAATTATAATAATAATATAATAATAATAATTTGGGAGGCTAATCATCCTTACTCGCAGCTGGTATGCTGAATTGCGAAGGACGCCGCAATATGGCTTACGATTACGATATGGCTGCCGGCCACATCGACCCATATATGACCACGGAGCACAGCCTGAGATCGAAAGTGTTTGATTTTTCCGGATGGAGGAAAACCGGAGGGCCCGGAGAAAAACCCTCGTGGCACAGGAGAGAACCAACGCACAACTCTACTCACATGCGATCCGCGGCCAGGATTTGAACCGTGGTCACCTTGGTGAGAGGCGAGCGCTTTACGCACAAGCCACCCATGCCACCCCAAATTAGCCCCCAGTTTTGAAGTCATCAGCTATATCTGAACTGGGCTCTTGTGACTACCGCTTCTATGTCACATTAGCACCCTAAGATTAACATTCATACAGGTATAGCCTTAGCTGTAGCCTTCTGTAACAATGCTAATCTCTCAGAAATGATCTCTTTTTACCTGCAGGGCAGTAATGACCAGTGGCACACAGGTCCGTGGGCTCGGTGGACCCTTCCAGGCAGTACCAACCCCTGGGGCACTCGTAGCACTCCTCCTGGGCAGCCAGGTTGGTCTGGTTGGTCCAGGACCCCGCCGCGCAGGGGTACTGGCTGGGGTTCTGGGTGCCGGCCGGGCAGTAGTGACCCTGGGCGCAGAGCTTCGGGGGCTGGTTTTGACCTCCGGTTCCTGGGGATGGAAGAAAGTGAAAAGGGTAAAATGAACATAGAGATTGTGCATACACATTGAATCAGGTGCTTGTTTCACGGTGTAGAAAACAATGCTTAGCGAGTTAACGCGGTTAGCAGAAATGCAGCTGAGTACCAGTGACAAGCAGTATACATCCATGACAATTTGGCTGGTAACTGGTTTGTCTCTGCTTGGAAAGTTTCAGCACTGAGCTGGGCCCAATTTCATTGCTATGCTTACCATTAGCGAAAAGTCCCTGCTTACTGTAGCCGAAAATTCTGTGCTTACGGTAAGTGAATTTTAAAAGCAAGCGAGGAATTTCGGCTTGTACACAAGCGTACATCCCGAAAGTAATGATCCTGTGCTTACTGGGTGAGCGCCAAATTTTTCTGCTAGACTGTAAGCACGGAATGGTGATCATAAGCCCAGAATTCTGTGGTTAGCAGCACCACGACATTGGGGCCCCAGGTTTTCAGCAGTTTCTTGAGTATACTTACCAATCAAGCATGCAAACTGTTCAGTGCAGGTGTCGCACTGGAAGGCGTCCGTCAGGTTGTGATAGTCAGTATAGGTGCCGGCCGGGCAAGCGTTGTCCGCATCGTTGGGCGAGTCTGATCCAGCAGGACAGTAATAACTGCAGAGTCCCCCCGAAAGATTGAAGAAAAATACATTACAACACCTTGCTCATGTTTGTGCTTCAGGTATACATTTAAATCGTCGATGTTTTCACGAAGTGACAAAAACTTAACTCGTTAGCAGGGCCAGAGGAATAAAGCATTTCTCTACACACACGTTAGGATGGGATTGGACAGGATCGGACGCGCATGCCATGAACGAAGTCGATAAAGAACAGACGCGCGCGCGCTGCAGTGACGTCAGACGCGCAAATGTAACAATTTCTTAGAACGTTTTACGTTTTCACGAAGTGACAAAGAGTGTGTACAACTTAATGGGACAAAATAGTGAGGCCTCTGTGTTTTGCTGTTTTCACGAAGTGAAAAAAACTTTTATTGATCTTTATTAATGAATTATAGTTTAATTAAGAGAGACTCCTAATAAACAACTTTGAATTAGCAAACAACAAAGCATACGTTACTTGACAATGGAAGAATTTCTTAAATCCATCACTAAAAACTAGTCGAAAAGGTGTTTTGAAGAAATGATTAACTTCAAAGGCGATTATCTCGGAATGACCTTTTTGCATGATATTGAGGTTTTTGTCACTTCGTGAAAACACCGACGAAATGAAAACACTGCTACCCCAAGTCTACATTACAGGCAGGTGTCAACAGGAAGCTGATCATTAACACTTGATATCATATGGCATCTTGGCCAATAACCAGTTAATTTGGGCAATTCACAATGCAGTGCGCCACCAAGAGTTCGCAACGGAGAGTTCATTTTTCCCAGTGCATTGTGGGAGATGGTCGACAAATTCGCAGCCTGGGACATTTGAAATTGTTAGTTTTTTTTCAGGCCAGTAGTTTCGTTAGCGTAACATTTGAGTATACGTTTGTCATTTTCCTTTTTTTTTAATCAATGTGGTGTTTTTTTGTAAGACGGGAGAATGCTGTGCCCCAATCTATAACAAACTAGCTCAATTTGTCTACTGACACTCGTTCAAATGGGCCGTGTTTTGTCGACCGTAAATTTGAAAAAAGGACTCTCCATGGCAAACTATTGGTGGCGCACTGCATTGTGAATCAACCCAATTCAAAGCAATACTTGTTCGTACAAAGAAATCGTTTGGCCAAGTTGGACTTTTAAAAATGGAAACATTCACAAATCTTCATTAGCATATTTCCATGCTTACCAAAATTAAGATGAGTACCAGTCACACAAGTATAGATATGATATTTTTTTTCAGGACAGCCATTTTCAGTAAGCAGATATTTTCTACGCTTAACAAAATTTGTCTACTACAGTGACTCCCTGAAATCAGCAAATACAAATATAATCTTAATATTTTATGAGCTTACTATTGTAGCTAACCGCTAAGAGACTATAGCTCACCCTGGGTAGCAAGGAGTATCAGGCTCCGTCAGTCCCAGCTGGGTGCAAGCAAACCCGGCGGTGCAAGCCTTGCAGTCCGTCTCCTCGTCCTGGCCTGTCATGGAGAGGAAGGTGCCCTGGGGGCAGGGGGAGGGCGTGTCGGTCCCCTCTGTGCAGTAGTAGCCCTCAGGGCAGGTCTTGCAGGACTCAACGGCCGAGGCCCCGGTCTCTTCGGTGAAGCGTCCGGCAGGGCAGGGGAAGTCTACGTAGTTCTGGGTCTTCGTGGGGCAGTAGTGGCCCTTGGGGCACACGCGGGGATCGCTGGAGCCTAAGTGTCGGGAGAGACGAACCGCATATTATAAAAGCAAATTCATTATAACCACTGCACACTTCGTCAATATTGAGAGATTTTACTTTTCTAGACACAGGCATGCAACTGGGAAGTGACGGGAAAAATGTAGGACATTCCAAATTTTATAAGACTTTACATAGTGTTTGTCAATACTTGGTGGCGTAAGTGTGAGATGAAGAATGAGGAAATCGGCTGATCCACGGAAATGTTGCTGTCCTGTTAACAATAAAATCACATTTTTTTGCTTTTGCGTGCGAAGTCAACCAGGGTACCAACATAACTTCAAAATTCTTGTTTTGAAGTATGTACATATGTAAACACTCCAAACTTTGGAAACCATCTTGTTGCATTTTGTTCTTATACGCTCCAAGTTACCATCTACTTTTTGGTGGCATGGAACACTGGAGATAATAGACGAGCTTAACATTGCCCCATAAACTTGTGTTTATTTATCTGCAAACTGGAAAAAACTCAAATTGTGATACACGTGAACACTGCACAGTGCGAATACTAAACACTCTCATCAGCAAAATTTAAGATTTTTAGAATTTAAGACTCTCTCAACTTCAAGACTATATTTCAATTTTTTTTTAAATAATTTACAAACAATATTCCAATGAGGGAAGACTCCAAAACCAAACAACCAGTTGTTTACAAGACGGAGTATGCATACGTGTTTCCTGTCATTTTCATTCAATGTACGATACACGTTGTGTGTGTCACATTAATTGCAACACAGCACCAATGCACAAATGTTGTTTCTAACGCAATTTCAATGCCCCCTTTTTAAAGTAAGATAAATTGATTGCAACACAGTCTGTAACAATAATATTCTTTAGTCAGATCTGTATGCACAATGTTTAAACCTTTTCTAATATTAGTATTTAATGTCATATTTTGTTTTTTAACTCGGTAGGCCTTTAACTTTTTTAAAAATGTATTTTTTTTTAAATGTAAATCACGTGCAATTCAGCTGTGGCTGCCATTCGTGATTTGTTAATAAACCATGTTGAATTGAATTCTTACAGGTCCACAGAAGGCGACCACTGTGTGGCTGGAATCACAACTAGCACTGAACAGCCCGATTTTTCAGAACAAATTGTGACCTCCGAAATTTGTTCTCACATGGTTCTTGCAAGAATATCACAAAAACGCCCAGTTTCTAAAGGATGGTTGCTTATGGATTTCAATATTCTACTTTTAAATGCTCTTTCCATTTAATATCATTTTGTTTAAAATGCGTTTTATAGCCCAATTGGACGCATTCCAGGCCGCAATCTCCCTTTAAACATCACATTCTACCCTTACTGGTCTTTGTGAGTTAATTACAAAAGTTTACTGCCTTGACAAAGATTGTCAACAATGCTTTATAAACTCTGCACACAAATAATCACAAGTGCGCCAAAGTAATAACTATAAACATGATGCATTCTTCTTTACCCAGAGGACAGTATCTTCCAGCCGGGCAGTCGTAGCAATCCTCCGGCTTGTCGGCCATCAGCTTGACGCCGTACGTGCCTTCGTCGCAGCCGTACTGCGTCGCGTAGGTGGTGCCTTCCAGGCAGTAGTAGCCGCGAGGGCACTGATACTCAACGCCCGGCGTGCCTACCACGGGATCAGCTGGGCAGAAGTAGCCTGAATGGGGAAAAAGCATGGGGTAATGCGATCAAGTATTTTAAATACGGTAGAATGGCACCATCAGGAACGCGATTGGTCCACCAAAGGCTGTTCAGTTATTTTTGGCATTTCGTGAAAGAGATGCCAAGATGGTGCTTGTATGTAAAAGGTAGGGTAGATTATTTCGTCGCGTCAGTGCAACAAGGTCGTATCTCCTAAAATGGCATGAATGCAACACGCGAGTTTCAGAATGTCAAAAGGTCGTATGTGGCTTAAAATAACCTGGATGTACACGCAAAGTCAATGGACGTCGAGATACGACGTTGTTGCACAGAGCGTATACGTGCGAGATACGACTTTGTTGCAGAATGGACATACGACCTTGTTGCACTGACACAACGATTTGTGCTTTTGTTTCGTATGAAGCTACAAAAGTGCTCAAAGTCTAAAGACGGGTGCTTAACAACTAACCTGATTAACTTTTAGCTCAGTGAATGCTGTATATTCCAAGGAAACAAAATTCGAAGATCTCGATTTCAATTCAACGGTTGCTGTGTCATTTTCTGAATTGGGCCCCAAAGCAGCATCCTGGAACACGTTCTCATTCAGCAGAATGCAGCTACGCGATGTCATGCACTGAACCGACAAATAATAGCAACTTCGCGCACGTGTGCATCGTGTCAACCCTTGCGCGCAACTATTCATGGATTCGACTCCCCCCCCCCCCCTTCCTCCCCCAACTAACGCCTCCAGCCCACTAACACCCCCCCCCCCCCCAAAAAGCATGTGACCTACCAGGTGGGCATGTGCCACAGCCTTCACCAGCCGACGCTGCCCCGGACATGTTGCCAAATGTGCCTGCTGGACACGGCGAGATCGTCTGGCCGTCTTCACAATAATAACCTGTCAGGACAGAGCCAGAAAAAAAAGTCACATTTTATACCAAACAGCCTTCAGCTATTTGTAACCGGAGGTTTTACTCACTATCGTAGTGATTTTTTTTTTATTTTCAGACTTATTGAAATTTGTAATCTTTGATGCTTCTACTACATGCATTCTAAAGAAATAGTATGAATATCGTGGAATAAAAACATTTTTAAAGAAAGACAATTGGCATCTTTCATTTTCACAACTTAAGAACTCAAAACTTTAAGGGCCTTTTCTCAGTATTTTACTTTTTTGACTTGTCTATAACTGCAAACTTTAAACAGCCATAACTTATCAACGGAAAGTCCGATTGAAGTGCAACAAACAGTATTGCAAGGAGAATTTTATCTTTCCCAACGCTCACAAACTCTCAGTTCTGCCTGATTTTGCTAGGACATCTCACATATATCAGCTTCATGCACAACCACATGAGTTCATGTACTACATAACCCCCAAGGACCGATACACAAAGGGAGAACAGATCCTTTCAGTCCTCGGGCGTTGCGTCTTTTATTGGAAATGGTCCTCAATTGTACGGTTATGTGCTTAGTCTACGGGAAAGTGTTATATTACAGGGACAAAGGGAAACACAAAGCATTGTCCTCGAGTGTATAGTAAAACATGATCATCTGTACACATTAGCCAGGGCCATAGCATTTCAATGAATTAAAATCTGGTCCAACTGACCTTGCGGGCAGATTCCATCAGTCGGGTTGCGGCTCTGGCTGCCCTCGGGGCAGGCATAGCCTGGATCGCAGTCCACGCACTCCACCATGGACTGGTTGGTGTAGGTGCCTGCAGCGCAGATGATTGGCCCGCTGTCTGGCTGGGGGCAGTAGTAGCCCGCCGGGCATGGAGTGCAGGCTACCTGGCCACCTGGACAAGGACGAACGGAAGAAGATGAAAAACACAAATCTGTTACCAAAATCTGCAGTTTTAACCCATTTGTTTCTGTGCCGCCCCTGTCCTGCCTGTCAATCAGACTCTGCACAAAAGTACCCTTCTTCTTCTTCTTGCGTGTGGTCTTCCTAGCTGGGAAAGGTAGCTGTCTTGAGCCCGGTCTTTGCTGCAGGAGTGAGCTCATTGAGGGAGTCCCAGCCTCGTCCTAGGTGGTGGATGAGGGAGTCCATGATGAGGTGGTCAGCTGTCTGCGGCTCGCCACACTCGCACCTGTCCGAGTCCGCCAGGTTCCATGCATGCATGCAGGCACTGAACCCTAGCATCGGCTACAGCCATAAAATTGAGCCCTGATGTGTTTCTGCCATTAACAATCACATCTTCCGATACATGTAACAACCGATCATGACTCACCTAAACTGTAGTAGCCGGCGGCGCAGTTCCCTGGGGAGGTCATGGTGTCGTTACAGAATTGGCCTGCTGGACACTCTGTGCAACTCTACGAAAGAAAAAAAACATCACCAGAATACAAGTGTTGTCGGCAAATCTGACAAATACACATACGCTGAAAATCGCTTTGATTAGGTACGACACATATCTAATGTAACTACTTTATAGCACAGTTGCAAAACATACATACACTTGATTTCACATAACATGACAGAGCCACACATTGTCTCAAATATTTCAAATATCTTGGACGTGGATGATCACAGCTTCTCAGGTCAGCTGGCTGGGCATGATTCAAAACTTGGTCGCAAGACAGTTGCTGGATCATGTCACTTCAAGCCGCTAGTAAAGCAATAGACAATGGGTTCCACCTCCCTTGGGTGAGTGTGGTCTAGTTTTTCAGGATTTCATGACTCATGATCAGAGGGTTAGGGGTTCAAATCCAGCCGCTGGTCTTATGTAGTGTCCTTGGGCAAGCCACTTCACCCAAACTTGCATCTCTCCACCCAGGAGTATAAAATGGGTACCGCCATTAGCTGGGGAGTAACCTGCGATGGACTGGTCCCATCCAGGGGGAGTAGAAATGTTCTCAGTCATTTCATGCAACAGAAACTGGAGATAAACGCCGGCCTGATGAGCCATAATGGCTCACGACAGACACTAAACTTCACTTCTACATTCCTTGATCCAGCCAGATGCCACTAATTCTCTCTTGATTGATCCGGACAGGATCTTGGAGCGTTAGGGTCACGGCAGATCAACTTTATCGCCAGGACTTACCGTGGAGCCGGCCAGGGCGTAGGAGCCAGCGTAGCAGGTGATGGCGAAGCTGCTGTAGATGGAGGGGCAGGCGAACCCCGCCGAGCACTGGGTGCAGTCGCGCTGGGCGCCAATGGAGTAGTACCCAGCCTGGCACTGGGCGTTCATGGTGGAGTCGGTTTCATCGGGGCACTCGTAGCCTGGGGGACAGGCTACACAGGACTAGAGCCAGACAGAAATAGAGAAGTACGATAGAATTGCGCTTTAACTATTGACATAATCGGTAGGTGGAACATATAGAACGATTCAAGAATGTCCGCCATGTTATGAACATTATCCTTCATTTCATCTTCAAGATGACCTAGTAGTTTTCGGCACATCCAGTAAATCAGCCTACTTAATATCACTGCAATCGTGAATAATACAGGAATGTCCACACACACAAAAAAAATAGCAAAAAACCTGCTTTGAAGTCCGCCTTCCATGTCTCACCCATAAAGTTATCAGTTGCAACTGTTAGTGTGGATAGGGCCATTAAGCCGTCAATATCTCCTTAGTAGAATCTAAAGAGTTGGTTAGAATCAAGTCATGTTCCCTACCTCCTGCATGCCGTCAGAGTAGTACCCAGCACTGCAAGGCACCTGACTGTCGCTGTCTGTTCTTGGGCACTCCTTTCCTGCTGCGCAATCCGTGCAGACGGTGGCATTTCCCGAAGAGTACGTCCCCTTTGGTGTGGCAAAAATAGGCAGATATGTTTACCACTGTACACAGTACAGATGTCGCGGTGCCATTTCCATCATATTCATTGCAATTTAATTTCTTAATTTCAGATCTTGCGGGGTCAGATCATATGAAAAATTGGAACTTTGGAAATAAATTTCAAGAAGTTGGATTTCTGATTAAAATCGGAAAGGTTTCATCTCTGATACTTGCACCGAATGACTCAGCTTGGCCCAAATAGATACTGATTTTAGAGAGGTGAATCTAATGTATTAACTTTACGTTGACTAGACTCTGGAGTCATTTCGAATGTCTGCAACAGTTGATCTTTTTACAGCCATTCCTGACAGTTTCAGAGTTCAACCTTTTTTACGTTCTTAACCACTTCGCACTGGGATTATTTTTAACAAAAATTTCAATTTTCGCAAAAGGCAAAATTTTCCAGCCAACTTCTGATATACAGCCAAACGTCACAAACACTGATAAGCAAGAGTCTTTTCCACAGTATTTGTAAACCTCATTGTGCACTGGAGCGTAAATTGTTCAACAATAGGCCATTCACAACAACCAATTAGAGATCAATACACGGTCTGACTCCACAGATTTCACAAACTTTGTGTGTGTGTACAACAGACACGAGGGATCACCATGTTTAGACGTCACCCGGAGGCAAGTCGAGGCAATCTTGACATCTTAACCTGTCAGCCGTGCCTGTGTATAAGAACAGCCAGTGTGTAGTATCACGTCCTCCGACGCGAACAGGTTCATTCAAGTAAGATTTGAGGCATTGCATGGTGGAGATACTAAATAATGAAAGGTTTGCGGAAACACCATGTGCCAATAATTTCTCAACTAAGAGAATGGTTCTGAAAAGAACCAGAGGTATAAGCTCGACGTTCCGGTCAGTATGCTCTGACTGTCTTCAGGGTTCTGAAGAGAACCAGAGGTATAAACTCGACGTTCCGGTCAGTATGCTCTGACTGTCTTCAGGGTTCTGAAAAGAACCAGAGGTATAAACTTGACGTTCCGGTCAGTATGCTCTGACCGTCTTCAGGGTTCTGAAAAGAACCAGAGGTATAAACTCAACGTTCCGGTCAGTATGCTCTGACCGTCATCAGGAGAGTGAAGACGGTTAGAGCATACTGACCGGAATGTCGAGTTTATACCTCTGGTTCTTTTCAGAACCATTCTCTTAGTTGAGAAATTATTCGCACATGGTGTTTCCGCAAACCTTTCACTATTTGGTTAATTCAAATCTTGGGAATATTTTGGGTTCCGAAGGCTACTTACTGCTATGCAGGGAACATTGCCGCTGCCATCCGTCGATGGGCACTTCCAGCCGCTGGGGCAGCTGGTGCAACGAGCAAATGCAGTTAAGGAGTAGTAGCCAGCGGTGCAGTCGCCGTTGTTGGCGTCCGAGTTGGTGTCCGGGCAGAACTTGCCCGGGTTGCAGGCCGTGCAGGAAGACTGTGCGCCCAGCGAGTAGGTACCTGCAATTCAAATTATATGCGTGTTATATACCTCATGCATATTCAATCTTCAGTTGTGTACTCTCATTGGTCAATTTGTCCTATGCAAATAAGTGACAGTTAACATGTATATATGCCTCATGCATATTCAATCTTCAGTTCTGTACTCTCATTGGTCCATTTGTCCTATGCAAATAGATGACGGTGTACATGTACAGAGTATCCTGAAAATAATGGTGCATGTAAACCCCAACATTTTTGCCAATTTACAACCGGAATTTACTGCAAATGTTTACACGATCTTCAAGGTTACAGATTTAGCTTGAGAATACCGTTTGTTTAATTGAGATGGCTTTTGTAAATCCAGAGATATGTTTGAATAACTGCAAAGCCAAAAAAAACCATTCTGTGCCACTTTTAGGAAGCGAGTGCTTCAAAGATCAGACAATGCCAGTATGGCTCTTTTGATAAGATTATTCCTATGGGTGTAAGACAAACATTCCATTCACACGACAATATAGGGTTTTGTTCTTATGTTGACACAATTTAATAGTACAGACATGTTCACTTCTTTAAAACTTCGGTGAAAGAGTTCAATTAAATATTGCACACTCTGCTTAAACATGTTAAAATCACTAACAGTAAAGTGATTTGGTTTTAGACTAGGACTATACTGATTTAAGAACTGCTTCACAGAAATTGGCACAAAATGGGTTTCTTGGCTTTGCCGTTATTCAAACATTTCTTTGGATTTACAAAAGCAATCTCAATGAAACAAACGGTATTCTCAAGTTAAATCTATTACCTTGAAGATGGTGTAACATCCGCAGAAAATTTTGGTTGTAAATTGGCAAAAATGGAGGGGTTTATATGCACATTATTTTTTTTCCGGACGCCCTGTATATGATACCTCATACATATTTATATCTGGCTCTGTACTCTCATTGGTCGATTTGTTTCTTTGTGAATAGGTGGTGGTACTAAAATCACAAGTATTTTTAATTATCATAAATATTCATCCTCTAGCTTTGCACTCCCATGGTCAAGTTTGTCCTGTGCTGGCTATCGTGCATATTCATGCCCTGGCTCTGTACTCTCATTGGTCAATTTGTAGTATGCAAATAGGAAAGAACATGTTTGGCAATGTAATTTATAATTTTGCCCTGGCAAAGAAAATGACAGGAAGCGCTTACCTGGGAGACATTCAAAGTTTGCAGTGGGGTCCGTCTGGGAGGGGCACGCGTACCCAGCCAGGCAGGCCGTGCAGTTGATGGTCCGCCCAGTGGAGTAGTAGCCCGGCAGACACACCGTGGGAGCCTGGTTGGTGTTTGGGCACTTGTAGCCGCTGGGGCAGTTAGTGCAGGCCGTGGCCTTAGCAAAGCTGTAGGTACCGGCCGCGCAAGGCTGGGGGGCAACGCTGTAAGGGAAATTGAGAAGAGAATGAAATTCTGGTGTGCCTTAAAATGAGTCACTCATTTTAATCAGGGTTTGTTGACCTTAACTTTTTTTTTTCACTGGCCAGCTGGGCTACTGAAACAGACTCTTAAATAGCCCGCGAGCATTTTCACTAGCCCGCATGTTTTTCTTTTATAGTGTGTCTCATAAAAAATGTGCATACCGTACATGTAATATGTGTATCCTGAGCAATCTTGTCAGTGTCTTAATAAACAGAATTAATAATAATCACCCTTACAGTTAGTAAACTTAGACACAAATTGATACAGTTTGCTCTCTGAATTTAATGAGTTATTTCTTCCTGTCCTTTCATCTTTGACATAGCCCAATAATTTTTGACTCACTAGCCAGGCTACTTAAAGGAATAGTTCGACTAGCCCGCCGCTGTTTTGACTAGCATTTGGCTAGCGCGACAGCTAAAAGTCGAACCCTGTGTTTATACAAGTACACTCTTGAGCAAAGCATATACAAATGGCAAAGTAAATTCCATAGGTTCTGGAGACAGTACACTAGAATATGTGTGTTTGTTTGTTGTCTGTGAATATTCAGCTATTGGGCGGGATAGCCCACGAAAGTCTCTCGACTTATTTCCAGTGGGGTCCCTTGGTAGAAGATGTGGAAGGAAATTACAGTTATAGTGGTGGGGGGAAAACCCCAGAATGATATTCTAGGGGAAAACCCACGGAATCAGGCAGGGACTGAAAACCTAATCCAGATATTGGCCCAAGCAGGATTCGAACTCGGTCACAGCGGTGGAACGCAAGGAACATGATCGCCAATCTGAGGAGTATAATCTTGGACCCAGTCTAGCCTTAAATCATGTGATATCAAGATGGCAAAAGAGAAACACAGCCATAGTTTTGCAAGGCTTTTTTGGTTTCTAAATTTTACCTTCATATTATTCACTGTCATATGATAGCTATGGAATGGGAACATATTCAAGCTGTATTCCACATTAAGTTTGGTCCTATTTCCAGAAATTCTCAAAGACTTAGCATCTGCCATTGCTGCAGCCAATGGCACACACCTACAGGGTGAGTCATAAAAAGCGGAACCCAAACCCCAAAAATTATATTTCATATTAAAAAAAATATGTAGCACCAAAAATAATGACTGGAAAGACAATTTCATGAGGTACTTTTAGATGAAAAAATGACTGAAATTGGTCAATCCATTTGGAAAAATCACATTTAAACACAATGACCCTAAAACCCGTCTCGTCCAAAAAATGCGATGTAAAGAATCATCGTCGCAATTATCTTTAAACATCACCAGCGATAAAATCTCAGTTTAAACGTTAAAAATATTCAACAGAATCCCTTTGGAGACCCGTCCTTTACAAAAAGTACATTTTTATAAATCATATTGTTTGCCTAACCAGGGTTGTTAATAAGTATTATGTGTCATTTTCTTTGTTGTTCAAAACAGTCAAATCACACAATGAATTGCTTTTTTGGACGAGACAGGTTTTAGGGTCATTGTGTTTAAATGGTGATATTCTTTGAACGGATTGAGCAATTACAGTAATTTTTTCATCTAAAAGTAGCTAATGAAATTGCTTTTTCAGTCATTCTTATTTTTGGTGCTACGTATTTTTTAAAATATGAAATCTATTTTATTGGGTTTGGGTTCTGCTTTTTTTGACTCACCCTGTACATACAACATTAATCAATCACGTAATGTGACCTGTGGAGAAATACAAATGCAACCATTTTCAACAAGAGTACTTAAAGTGAAAGACTCCAACGCACGTTTGAAGTAGAAAATGATTCTGACGGTATAGAGGTAAATAAGTAGGGCACTTCAGGGCGGTACGGGGCACTAATGGGTGAACCCAAAGTCTGATGCGTAACAGATGTAATCAGACACTTACAAACGGTCGGAGCAGTACTCCCCGGCAAGGCAGTCCTTGCATGCCATCTGGGCTTCTAAGCCATCGGTGTGCTGGCCGTCCGAGCAGACCACAGGAGACTGGGTCTTGAATGGGCAGGCTGAGCCCGCGGGGCAGTCGTGGCACTGGGATTTGCCCACCAGGCTGTACTGGCCGTCCGAGCAGGCCGCTGTGGTGGAGTTGGTGCAGGAGTAACCCGCAGGGCACTGGAAGCAGATTGCATTGCTCTGAAAAATTTAGAAACACAGAGCCAGAGGTTACAAGCCAACTCCAACTATGAATGGAAATGTAAAATAATACTTATACGACACCTGCAAGTAAGAAATCAAGCAATTTTCAAAACAGTTATTAACATTAGATGCAATGGCAATTCCGGAGTTATGGAAGAAAATGTACAGTCTGCGACAGAGCCAATTAACCTTGATATCTACATGTAATTAATGATTCAGAGAAATGATCCAGAACTCCTAGTCTGTAATTTCCTGGACTATTACCAAATGAAGGATGTAGTTTAGATTTCCAAAATACTTTTTTCAGGTTTATTCAATGAGCTCTTAAGGTATGGATAAAAAGGTCTGATTTAAATGTCCATGGCACTGGAATTGCCAATAAATGTGCTCTTAATTTTCAAAAACTGTACTTAAGGTATCGGTAAAACTTGAGGAATGTCAAGATGAACGGCGTGCAGTCAGAGAAAATGGTATGTGGTCCTCCCAAAAATGGTTCTAAACATGTCTACGGAAATGCATCAACGAAACACGCACCTCAAAGATGGCATCCGTTCAAACGGGCTATAGACAAATCCACGCATGTAATCACTGTACACTCACGTGGCCCCCTTCAATGGAGAAACCATTGTGCACGCTATTGTACAAAACAACTGCCCCGTGATGGATTATCTGAACAATAGCTAGCACAGTGCTTTGGCCATAGAAGGGGGCCTCATGATAGCATTCACGGATCAGTCCAGATACTGCTGCCACATTTTTCTCTTACCTGCGGGCTGTAGGTTCCGTCATCACAGTTCTGCGGTGTCTCGCCAGGGTTCAGGCAGGACTGACCGGCAGGGCAGGACTCACACGAGTCCTGCCTGGCCACGGAGTAACTACCAAAGGGACAGACCCGGGGAGGCTGGGAGGCATCGCTGCAGTAGTAGCCGGCTGGACAGTCTTCGCATGCAACAGCCTGAAAAGAAAATGATAACCGAATAATGACTTTTATATAGCACCTTTAATGTGCTTTACAATTATTAATATTAAACCTTTTTATCTGGCCATGATTTACAGCAATTTGAGATTTCGCTCGTACCCCCCGCCCTGCAAAAAGGACGCAGGGAAGGGCTGATGAATTCACGCTCTGGCTGTATAGATTTTGCGTGACCTGTGACCTGCACGTCATCACGGCCACAACCCTGCAAGGTTTTAAACGGCCATTAAGACTGAGTCTTCACTATTTTACTTCCATTTATACATATTTTTTTTATTTTTTTTTAAAGCATAAAAATGTAGGAAAAGCTGTAAAACTGAGTTGTTTTGTAAATTTTAAATTCTCGTCACTTGCTCAGGCTCCGTTTTGAATTCACGAAGGGTCAAATTGCATATTATGCGACGCTCAAAATTTGTCCATGTGGTCAGCAATGAAAAAGAAATTAAACCCAGTATGGAATGTGTGCATTTCTATGAGAAAGTTTTCAGATAGCATTTGCGCGCATTGGCTAACTGCAGTCTTAAACAGCTGCAACGTTCAACGTCCCAGTACCCTGTTTGCAGGGTGGGGAGTACGAGCGAAGTTTGAGATCAGCACAAACTTCAAAGTTAAACATTATTTTACTCCACACTGGAGAGAGACAATTGTAGTAAAGAGTCTTGCCCAAGAACACAAGCACAATGAACCCCTGTCAGCGTTTGAGCTGACGCTACTCACAAGAATGACAGTACAGAAAGTACACGGTGGATTACATGTACCCAATAAGTCCCTGTGGTATTTGTGTAATTGATTTAACGGGTCAAATATACCAACTGACTAGGTGTGTACGTAATAATTATCAAATTGTACAAAGAAATTGACCGAAGCAGGGGGTTCAAACCTTCAACCTCCAGAATACCAGATTTTTTATGTTTAGGGTACCAAAAGATGCGCAAGGCTCGAGGCTAAAAAAAAGTCAAAACAGCTCGGGTCATGAAAAAAAAAATGTCAAGGCTATCACGGAAAAAGTTGAGGGGGGGGGCACACTCGCCCCCCCCCCCCCCTCCCACAAGTGACTTGTGGATGGCAAGGAACTCTCCCGCAGAAAAATGAAGGGAGTAAGGACAGGTCTGGATTGTGAGAAGAGAGGGGAGATAGTCTGGTGCAGAGTGTTTCAGTGATTTGTGGTACCTCTCCAATGCTGCTCCAGGTTCCTGTGTCACACGGGACGGGGCTTGCGCTGGGATTGGTACAGACGCTGCCAGCCGGGCAGGCCGTGCAAACCTCAGCTTTAGCCGCACTGTATGTTCCTGAAAGACAAAAGTGTATACATTTTGTGAAACCACGGTATAAAGCTGCATCCTATTTTCTTGGCTACAACCGGCTTTAGCACACAAGCCAATGAGAAGTGAATTAAGTCGCTTGACATAGTTGCATGAGTGATTGGCGGCCGTAACCCGAGTAATTGGGACACGGCCTTACATTGTCGATATGTCAAGTCAATATGTCTCATATTTCTCAGATACATAATATTTTTGTTCACCCTAGAATGGATGCTAGTCAACTGCACATTTTACTCACTGCCAAATGCTGATTCCCATTTATACTCCTGGGTGGAGAGTAGCAAGTTGGGGTAAAGTAGCTTGCCCAAGGACACAATATATGGCTAGCAGGTGAATTTGAACTCTTGATACTCTGAACCACATCACAAACCCTAACCACTAGACCATGCCCAGTGTAGTTATTTTCCAAATTTCAAATTCTATTCTATTCCAAAAGTTCTCTGCTTAATAACGAAATAAATCATTAGTGTCAGAAACTGACAAATTCTGACGACATATGATTAAATTCTCACCAAGGGGGCACAAACTGACAAATTCTGATGACATATGATTGAATTCTCACCAAGGGGGCAAGTTGAGCAGACGCCGTCGCCCCTGGATGCATAGTACCCAGCCTCGCAGTCCACAGGAGCAATGGAGAGAGATCCATTCAGGCAGGTCTGGCCGGCAGGGCACAGACTACAGGACGAGGCACCGGCGCTACTCCACAGACCAGTTGGGCATTCCTGTCGATTCAATCGAAAAACTTATGGTGCTTAGTAAACAAAAGAGTGTAATAGGCAAAAGAGAAGGTGGGGGACCAGATCCTTTCAAATGACACACACTTCACTCTGACATTGGACCTTGTATAATATGGTTTTATTTTTTTGTAAATGGATCATTAATTCAAGTTTAATACTGTAATTAGAGGCTTTTTAAATGACAAGGTCTGGGACTCAGCATGTGACACCATGTGACAGCTCGTTTAACTTTGGTCATCATCATCGTTCGACTGTTCTTCAGCCGACCACAGATTTCTTCCAACCACTACGATGACTGGCAAGGTTGACAAGTTGCCTTGGTTGGAGCACAATGTCCTCTTCCCCCAGAATTACCAGTTAACATCGGTAGTTCACTCTAACGCCTATACTCAAGCCCCATCACCGATCGCACTGCTTTCAAGATTCTTCTTCATGTATTCCATTCACTACAAGGCACTTCACCCGGTTTATACATCTAACGCTAGACATATCCGATCACGAGAATTACTCCAATTGACTGTACCTCGTACTAATCACTCTTGGGGTCAACGGTCTTTCTCTCATGCTGCCCCAGAACTTTGGAACAATCTCCCACTTGAACTATGCCAAATGAAATCCCTGTCTACTTTCAAATCTACCCCACAACCCATCTGTTTTCCACCGTTTATGTAATTAACATTTTTCTTTGTTTTTATTAGCCATAAGCGTCAACCTTGGCAGATACCGGTGCTTTACCAAGTGATCATTATTGGTGGAGCACCGGAACGGCAATCCGGAGGTCACAGGTTCCAAACTCACTCTAGTCAATTACTTTGTTCAATCTTAAAAAACAAAAAACATCTGTGGGTACTTCAAACCAGTGCACCTTCCCTTTGAAACTCCATAAGGATTAACATAAGTTCAAAATATATACACCTGACTTTGTCAAATTAAAGAAAACTCAGCCTTTTCACAGAAATCATAAAATGAAATTCCTTCCTTTTCTGTAACTTTTTCATAATCAAGGATTTTCCAGGATTTTTCCTGCGGGAACTCTTGAAAAAATAACTTGTGACCTTTACGGCAGGGACCGCAGATAACTTACCGTGCAAACCTGTTGGCCGACCAGACTGTAGAACCCGGCGTCGCAGGTGACTGGCGAGTCGGCCTGGGACAGGCAGGACCTGCCGGCCGGGCAGGGCAGGCAGCGGGCCTGGCCCTCCTGGTCCTGGTAGGATCCCCCGGTGCAGAGCTGAGGGGTGCCTATGGGGGACGGGCAGTAGTAGCCCAGGGGGCAGGATACGCAGTGGGTGCCGTTGGAGTACTGGCCAATCTGTGGATTGCAAAATTTTTAATATCATGTTGTTATTTTAACTCCCTGGTTTTTTTTCCAGCAGCCGATTTCACGAAACAGTGCGTAACTTACGCCATGCGTAGGACTTCAGCAACACATTTATTGCGCAGCTGCGATCTATTTCACGAAACTTGGCATCGCCGCGCAACCCTTTAAATAATCTAAACATCTTGGGCAAGGATAATGACAGCATTTGCGACGGCTGTTTGTGTATAAGTTTCTTTGTTCATGAAACAGTCGTTGAATCACATCCGCCCACCGTTCTGACAAACAGTTTATCCGACTTTCTTCGGCATCGTGCGGAAACTCTAAAAACACCGTCACGGCTTAAAATAGCAGTTCATTTACTTCAAACACAAAGTTGTGGGTGTCTTGTATCAACCTTGATAAGTTGTGCAATCACCATGCTCCACAATGATCACAATTTGCTGGTAAAACAGGTCATTCTATAATCACCACTTACGGCATCTAAAATGATTGAGCAAGTTAAGCCAAAATTTGTTGTGCACTATGAAACTGACGTGAAATTGTCATAACTGAAATATTGCGTGGCGTGAAGTGTTGGGCAAGTTACGCAATCAATTGTGGCACAAGTGGACTTACGCAATGAATTTTAATTTCAGAACACTTACCAGACAGAGTCCAGGGTCCGAGTCTCCACCGCAGGCCGTACCAGCCGGGCAGCTGTAACACACGGTAGAGCCCTCTGGAGCATACTGTCAAAAACAAACAAGTTATTAAGTCTCTATTATAAGGTGGAATTTTGTGTCGGGGTAATATAAATCAAATTAGGTTTTGCCCTTCATCGACGTTTAAACACTGTATACTCAGTGTGTTACCTCCCGAGTGAAAGTTGGAAAAAATCACTCGGGTGGGACTCAAACCCACGACCTCCTGCTTTCTAGTGCAGATGTCTTACCACTCGACCACCGAGCTAACGGGATCGGTTGGCCGGTTCGAATCTGATGTACATAGCAGCGGGTACCGCATAAAGTTAAGTCTCGTTGGATATATTTCGCGCTGTATGTTGCCATTTTAAATTTCTGTGCCGTTTTGTTAGTTGACTGTTCATTCACTGTAATACACCAGCAGGATTTTTGAATGCCATTTTTCTCTCAAAAAATTAATTTGAAACTTCAGTATAGTTGGGAGCCCATATTTCCCCTACTGAACTCAATACTCCCAAATGTTATATACATGTAACCATTACAAAAGCTGTGGTTTTGCAGCATCAAGAAATAAAAATCTCAATTCTTAAAAAGTCTGAGTTTAAGCTTATTTTGGGAGACAGGTCACATATAGCATGGCTGCCAGTTACGCAAGAGTTGACATCGTTGATGACATTGCTGATGTGCAAAATCGTACATGCGTGACTTTAATTGATGTGCCATGCTGTATTGATTGGATATAATTGGCTTAACTGTGTACTGGGGTGAACTGTCATTCTGTAGAGACTCCTACATAACCTCCGATTTTCAGTTCATCAAAAACCGTCTTCACGTGTCGCCTCTCTGAATAAATCAAGGGTTGCCTTTCTTCACTTTGTTAATATCGAAAATACAAATGGAGAATCCGACTTACAAATCCTCCCGAGCAAGCCACGGGGCTTTCGCTCTTGACGGCACACTTGCTGTTGGCTGGACATATGGTGCAGCTGGTGGATCCACTGTCTGTCGTGTAGTAACCATCAGGACACTGAAACAAAACAAGTTAACGACACAGCAAACAGGTCTGTATCAATCACAGATGAACTACTTTCACCGTGTATTTTAACAGAACTGTACAAAACAGACACAATGTCGCACTCAGTACATAAATATAGCATGGTTTGAGGGTGGATAGTTGATATTAGCTCCCTGAGTTATTTGTAGTTGGCAAACTAGTCCCTGAGGGGAAAGCCGATAGAACTAGTTTGTCAACTTCCAATACTCAGGGGAGTTAATATCTATTATCAACCTGATTTAAACCACGTTAATTTTTTTTACTATACCTCATTACCAACATTTCGTAAAGTTATACATCAACGCTAAATGCTTTTTTATCACGTGCCCCAATCTTTTCCTGTAGCTAGGGCAACATTTGCCCATGTGTATCACACAGGTAGGCTAGTTCCACGATTGCTTTGTAAAGTCCATACATTACACATGTGCCTATGGAATCAGCTGCAGCCACTTCCCATAGACCTGTGTGTTAATTCTAGCCGTAGCCAGGTAATTCAGACCCGGCTTCAGAGTCATAAATACTTCATGTTGGACTTACAGCTGTGCAGTTGCTGGCTCCGTCGATGTCGGAGTAGTACCCGGGGGGACATTGAGATGATGCTGCTGTCGCATCGGGGCAAGCAGAACCTGAATCCAAATGCAAAACAAATTAAATTAACGACTGGGTGGTGTAAATTTTAACATTGGGTTTTACTATTGCCCATTACAACTACATGTACATACGGTAACATACGGGTCTATGGGAAGTTGTGGTGAGCGTGGCCTAGTGGTTAGGGTTTGATGATCAGGGGCCAATTTCACGGCGCTGCTAAGCACAAAAATTTGCTTAGCACAAAAAAAAAAGTCTGGCTTATAAGAGCACGTTACCAGCCAAAACTCCATGTGATGTATATTTGCTATAGCATGAAAATCACTTGGAGTTTTGGCTGGTTAACTGCTTTTATAAGCCAGACTTTTTTGTGCTAAGCAATTTTTTTGCTTAGCAGCGCTGTGAAATTGGGCCCAGAGGGTCAAGGACTCGTGACCAGAGGGTCAGGGGTTTTGAATCCAGCTGCTGGCCATATGTTGTGTCCTTGGGCAAGCCACTTCATCCCCACTTGCCTCTCTCCACCCAGGAGTAGAAATGGGTATTGGCATTAGTTGGGGAGTAGAGCTGCATCCCATCCAGGGGGAATAGAAATATTCATGCTACTGAAACCGGAGATAAAGCCAGCCTGATGGGACACATTGGCTCGTGACAGACTTTTATGACAACTACGTGGGAACAAACTGACAATAGAAGTAGCCGTAGCTCTGAAGGTCAGGTTTCAGACATGGCCCAATGATAAATGAAATAAAAAGAACTTTGGAGCGGCTAATCATCCTTACTCGCAGCAGAAGCTGGATTGCAAAGAACTCAGCTACAATGTGGTTGAGCCAAAGGCATGTAAAGGTGCCTTAGGCAGCCGTTATACGACCCATGTCTTACCATGGAGCACAGTCAGATTGCCAAGTGTTGATGTTTTGTGAAGGGAAGACAATCAGAGAACACGGAGAAAAAGTTTGGTGGCACTGGAGGGAATCACTGAACAACTCTACTCTAATAAACTGAGCCAGGAATCGAACCCAGCCCACAGCGGTGACAGGGAGGCACTTTACGCACTGCACCCCCCATGCCAATGACGATAATAAATACAAATGATATGTTTTCAGCCTTTTTGTAACTCACCCTTAAGGCACTCCGTACAGTTGGTCCGCCCTTCCGTGTCAGCGTACCACCCGGAGGGGCAGCTGGTCGGGGCGGCCGGTGGGGGGTCAGGGCAGTAGTGTCCCCTGGGGCATGGGTCGCAGGATTGACTACCCGCTGCAGAGTACTCGCCCGAGTTGCATGTGATGGGCTGTTGGTCTGTCGTCGGACACCTGTGATTCACAAAAAAAAGTTAGTATGCATGCAAAAAGAGAGATTTCTTATAAAAAGAGAAGGCTGTACAAGCAGAGTCTAGGAAATAGATAATCGAGCAGTGAATGTCTATGATATGCACAAATATTAGGATTTATACTCAAAAGCACTTGTACTGCATCATATTAAATTGTATTCATAAATACCTAACACTGTTTAGCCATTCCTATTGGGTGAGAGCCCGTCACATAGCCGATCTTAACGGTTGATAAAACACCGGCTGGCTGGTCTTGAACACTTTTCCAGTGTCATATGAAATTTGGACTCCTATGAAATCTGGTCCCTTTTACTTTTTATTGGTTGAACGTTCACAATCCTCAGGTAGGCATATGCAATACTATGAATGAGTCCGTATTTTATAGTCCTAAATTTACACTAGATAATTGTACACTGGCACAGCTGCATTCTACACCACATCACACAGTACGCTCCACGCGTGTGCCAATCTCCATATATAAGGAGTTGTTGTATATAAAAGACTACCCACGAGGGGCATACCATAACATAGCTAGAGAAGTGCTTAAAAATAAATGTAGTACAATTGTTGAACAAAATCTTAGGAAATTTATATTTTTTTAGTTGTTTTGACTCTTCGACCAAAAAATGTGTTGATGAATGTGCTCAGCTTGGGTCATTATCAACGTCCAGACTCCAAACCGGTCTTAAAAAAAGTGTTTAAATCCAGCCAAGCACATATTATATTCCCGTTTTTATTCCCTTAAAAAATCTAAACAATCATTGAGTGCTTGGGTGGTTTTGGGACTGTACAAGGATTTAGGCATGGTAGTTTCGAGCAGTACAGGGACTCATGGGTTAACCTACTTGTGTCCTGCAGGGCACTCCGTGCAGCTGGAGTTTCCACCCAGGGAGTAGAAGCCAGCATTGCAGGGGACGGGCGTCGCGGATCGGCTGAAACACTCGGAGCCCGCCGGGCAGACCGTGCAGCTAATGGCTTCAGTTTCGTTGGAGAACGTGCCTTCTTCACAACTACAGAGAGTCGACAAAGAAAGTGGGAGTATTGAGTAGAAATGCACTATAGGGAAAGATTAATCTTGCCATTACTTGATCAGTCACAGACAGTCAAAAATCTCGTTCACTTCCCCAACCATGCATTTCTATACAGGCTAGTAAAAATCAGATTACATTTTGTGTAAACACAGGGACTAGTCAAATTTTATCAACTGACAAAAGTGATACTCCTTTATGCTGTCGACTTCCATAAGTGATTACAAATAACAAACTAATTACGCAAAAAAAATCATTTGAACTCGTTCTTAATGATACTTGAATAGCAAACTACAAAGTACCAAGGTACAAACAGGGACAGGAAATACCCCAAGTTTGCAGAGCGACCCACATGGTTTTTAGGAGGTTATTTTTGGTAATTTTTTTCGGGGGGGGGGGGGAAGTTCAGCGCACCTGATCTGTGCAGACAGTCCATCTACAGGGCAGTAGAATCCTGTGCTGCAACTGTGACAGCTCGTGTCCCCTTCCGGAGCGTAGAATCTGGCGAGACACTGCATTGGCGAGGACGATGTGGACGAGCAGTTGAAGCCCGCAGGGCACAGCGTGCACATTGTGGTGTTGCCTAGTGAATACTCCCCGCTGTTGCACTCAGTCGGACCTGCGTAAATAGTCAGAATCAAGTGTGGATGTGTCTCAATTTATATTCAGGACGAGTTCCAGGCATGCTCCGGGAAATTTTCATCAGCAACTGCTTGACTCATCAATACTGATAACTTCACTACGGGAATCCTGTAACTTATACCCAATATAATGTCTGTAACTTGTCAGGGACTCGTCTCGGTTAAGAATGAAGACGGGCCCTAAGTAATCTTTTGAGGTAACTTTGTTAAGACTGTTATGACTGTGCTTCTTCACATACGTGTGACGTTGCAGTGTGTTTTCTACAATAGCTCATTGTTAACATTCCTTAAGCTTCTGAAATTCCATTTTTTTTTTCTCCATACATTGTTCAAAACTTTAGTTAACACATCCTTGTGCTTCTGAATTCCAATAACTCTCAATTACTTTTCTCAATTACTTTTCCGTGACTTCTGGAAAAACTTTATCCAGTCTCTGTAATTTCTTTTTTTCCAGAATCTGACAATTTTTTCCTAGATCATGTCCGTGCAACAAGGTCGTATCTCCTAAAATGGCATATGATGTCATGTACGTGAAACGCGAGCTTTTAATGTCAAAAGGTTGTATCTTGCTTAAAATAACTCGGATGTACATACGAAGTCAATGGACGTCGAGATACGCGAGATAAGCGTATTCGCTTGAGATACGACTTTGTTGCAGAATCGAGTTACAACTTTGTTGCACTGACGCAATGAGACGTCTCTTTATTACTTCCAACACATTTCTATTTTATATCTGTACATTTCCCATGTATGATCATTTTTTAATGAGATCTAGCAAAGAATAGTCTGCAAGGCTTTCAATAATTACCTGAGACAAAACACTGGATTGAGCCAATTTGTCATTTCTTTTTAAAATCCGCACTTCAACTACATTAAATTCATGAGCAGTATATTTTCCGTGCTGTCCGACAGCATGCACTGCAGGATTTAAAACAAACAATCTCCAGCTTATTAGTGCAGATGCCTTAACCACTCGACCACTGAGTTTGCCAAGGTTAGCTAACTGGTCAAATCTGAATATTGCAATCAGTATCTTGTAATAGGGATTATTATTATTTATTTTTTTATTGCAGAAATGTTACAACTGTACAAAATAATTTACTTGAGCTTGGGTCCAGACACGCATATCCAGCCGGGCACAGCTCACAGGATGAAGAGTTGGAGCTACTGGCATAACTCCCCTCGGGACAGTCCGTGCAGTACTTGGCCGCACCAGTGCTGCAATGAAGAAGATGTCAAGAAGCTGATTAAATCTGTCATATTAGGTTTTGCCTTTCACCAACTTTTAAACACTGTATACTCAGTGTGTAACCTCCTGAGGAAAAGTTGAAAAATCACTCGGGTGGGACTCGAACCCACGACCTCCTGCTTTCTAGTGCAGATGTCTTGCCACTCGACCACCGAGCTAACAGGATCGGTTGGCCGGTTCGAATCTGATGTACATAGCAGCAAGTACCGCATAAACTATAATAAGATGGAATTTTTTTGCGCCGGGGTGATATAAATCAAATTAGGTTTTAGGGCAAAACCTCATTTGATTTACATCGCCCTGGTGCAAAAATTCCATCTTATATTGGTTAAATCTGGGATACATGTACCTTGCTGTACTTAACAAGGTTGCTGTTGGCTAACTGTATGGCTAACTTGGGACGTCCAAAGCATGGGCGTCGCCAGGATTTTTTCTAGAGGGGGGCAAAAAAATTTTTGGCCAAAAAATTCTTGTATTTCTCAACCTATTCTCGATTTATCAGTTCTAGAGGGGGGCAGGGACATTTTGCCCCCCCCCCCCCAACTCATTAAATTTACACCACTTTGTCTTCACGCCTCTTTTTCTTCTTCTTTTTTTTGTTTTCTTTTTCTTCCTTTATTTTCTTTTTTTTTTGCTTTTCCAGGGGGGGGGGGCAAGTGCCCCCCCTTGCCCCCACCTCGCGACGCCCATGGTCCAAAGTCTGCTCCCCAGCCTGTGGGTTGGTTAACTGGCTGGCTCGCTCCGGCCCCAACCAACAACCCCAACACAAAGGGAATGTGTCTGCATTGACTTTCTTCAGATCCACTAAACGTTAGCTCCTTTCTCAACATAAGGTTCCCCTTCTTTATTATTATTATTATTATTAATGGTTTATTTTATTAAACTTTCACGGCCATAAGGCCGAATTGCAGTTTAATTAACACACATTAAAAATCGTTACATATTAAAATTACAGAGAATTGCATCGTGTAAAAGATACAATAAAAAGGTAAATCACAACAAAATACACACAAGTAATAAAAATTAAAATCATTCAAATCTGACTGCGTAAAATACGCAGTCGCAGTCCCCCCACAGAGATGGCCGTCATTGAGTGAGCTCTATACGTTCATGAATACCCAACTTACTTCATGTAATAAGTTAACCAGTTAACCAGAAACTGTCCAGCAAGCTGCCGTGCAAGCATGTTCCCAGCTGTGTGCACTGGTAAAACTTGAGGACGAGTGGCTAAACAGTCATGATTTGTCTGTCTGCACCACCAATATCTACTGGCCTGGCACTGTGTTGTATTGATTTATCACACGCTGGGTTTCGACATGTCTAGCAACTTGGCCTGAATGATTTCGGAAAGGCATTCTCAAATGTTTATGCCCCCAGCACAATGCATGTGGGTTATTCTTTAAATTAAGGGTCCAAAGTGTGACGTTTGTCCTGTCCCTCTTTACCATGGTACAGGTACTTTAAAAAATTACCATTCAAGTATCAAAAAGAATGACTTTAAGTGATTTTTTTGATTTGTTGGGTAGGTACTTTGCTATTCATAATCACTCTCGGAGGATTGCATTAAGGAGTGCATCAGAATTATCAAATCATAGATGTCAGATGTAACAGGGACAGGAAAAACAAGTGGACCCCGAAGTTATGGAATGATGATGCATGTGCATTACGTATATAAATTTCACAATGTCATAGACACTTGTGTCTTTATTGTTACGTCTCAATTGACAGTCAGTGCAATGAGAGATACGTAAGGCCATGTCCGAATTACCCGGATGCAGCTTGAAATAGCACCCGTGTCTACGGTAGTGGCTGCAGCCACTTCCCATAGACTCGTGTGTAATTTTAAGCCGTAGCCAAGCAATTCAGACAAGCCCTAATATATAGCTGGTGGAAATGCATGGCCTGCATGCACACATGTCTATGGTAGTGGCTGCAGCCACTTCCCAGAGACTCGTGTGTGATTTTAAGCCGTAGCCAAGCAATTCAGACAAGCCCTAATATACAGCTGGTGGAAATGCATGGCCTGCATGCACACATGTCTATGGTAGTGGCTGCAGCCACTTCCCAGAGACTCGTGTGTAATTTTAAGCCGTAGCCAAGCAATTCAGACAAGCCCTAATATACAGCTGGTGGAAATGCATGGCCTGCATGCCTCTCCAGATTCCCATTCACCTGTACTTTCCCGGTGGGCAGACCTGCGGTGAAGCTGACGTGGTGCTACATTTGGATCCCGAGGGACAGGCACTGCACTGTGTCGAACCTGGAAAGATTATCGTTCAAAATTTGGATTACCACTTGCATCCATTTACGGTCTGAAAAGGGTTCTGCTTTTTTTGACTCACCCTATATTGTGTGTGCTTAGCAAATTTACTCACCTTGGCTGTCCGCGTACTCGCCGTCTACGCATGCCCGGCACTCCGTCCACGCCGCCTCGCTGTAGTGACCCCTCGGACAGATGACCGGGGTCAGGTGGGGGCTGGGGCACCGGTAGCCCGCCTCGCAATCTTGGCATGCGCTGGAACCGGTCTCGTTTGCGTAGGTGCCTGGATAAATCATTCACAAATATAAGGAATTAGGACAAAGTGTTCTTTTTGTTAATTTTGAAATGACTTGAGGTTAATATGCTTTCATGTTCCCAAATAATATTAATACCAGTATATTGACTGCTTTGACTGATGTTGCAAAACTAGCAACCTGAGGTGATCCATGGAACACTCTGTTTCTCTGAGGTGACGCCATGCATCACCTAGGGATGCTAGTTGTACTATACCATGAGTTACATACAAAAGCAGTCAATATTTGTTAATTATGACATCTCACCCACAGATTATGCTCCATTTTGAAGAATCTGATTTAGTAAACAAAAAATCCAAAACAAGTAAACTTTTATTTCAATTTGACTATAGTTGAAAATTTACTTGCACTTTTGTAAACTTCCATTGCATTAACTATATGTGCAAAAATCTGAAGCACATACAATGTACTTGTAGGATCAATAAACGAATGTGAAAAATGCATTATTTGTGTTATACAACACCTGAATAAATCCTCATCTGATGATTGGTCAGAACCAAAGACCATGTGACCGTGCAATGGAACTTCTATTTACCATGGAACAAAACTGTTATTTTTGCGGTGAGGCCATGCCATGGGTGGGGACAAATAATGCCAATCAGATCATGGAGATTAATTCAGGCATTGTATAAAAAACAATTAATGAATACCATGTTATTGTGCTCTTTGCCAATCAAGGGACAGAATCTGTAGGTGAGGTGTTATACATGTAAAGCACAATATACAGTCGAGTCTCGTTAAAGGGAATATACATCATTGGCTTTTGCTGCAATTTTCAGAAATGAACTATTTGAGGGGTTAGTATAATAGATCAAATATTGTTTAACTGACATGTTTGAAGTTTTGTGTTACGAAAATGCTTGAAAAACCAAGAAAAACAAAAATGTTTAAGTAGTCTGGTTCCCTGACTCCACTAAAGATAAAATGGATCAATTTATAGATGTCAGAAAATTGTAAGGTAAGGGAACCAGTCTAGCTGGCCTGCACCCGTTCATGAACATGTAACCAATAGCAAACAAAATTTGGACTGAAAAAATATTGTAAATTTGGAGCAGTAGTTGAAAAATAGTTAGGTTTTTCCAACGGTGGTCGGCCGACCACCGTTGGAAATGTATACAAAAATACAATTTTCTTGAAAATGACTTGACATCAGGTGCCATAATTTTAAAGGATGCTTTAGGCTGTCATTTATTAACATCCTAGTAAGGTATTTCGTAAAAACTTGGTAGTTTTATTTTTCGATGTTTGCAAATGTTGTATATTCCCTTTAATACAAACTCGTTCGGACCTAGCCAAATTGTTTGTTATAACCAGAATTTTGTATTAACAGAGTTTGTACTAAAGAGATTCGACTGTACAGTACATGTACAATGTACTTGGTGGATCTGCAGTGAAAGTGTATGTGCAGCACTTTTGTGCATAAAGTGAGGGTACATTCACCTGCAATGTATAGACCCATTCATTAAGCCCCACACATTTATACCCGCAAACCCTCATTTTTACCTCTGCCCAGTTCTGTCTCGTTTTGCCAGAATGCCTCACATTTGTACGTTAGTAAAAATGTTATTGAATGTCATTATTGGGCGCAATCGGCGGATCTGCGTGATTGGTCAATCGCTCAGAAACGCACAAGTTTTGCGTGATCAGTCGATCGCAGACTTTACTTATCCCTTTTTCAAAACAAGAGCTGTGAATTTGAAAAAAAAGGTGATCGACTGATGGCGGCGTGATCGACCGATGGCGCAGCGCGATCGACCAATCAAATAGATCCACCAATCGCGCCCAAGATCATTTTCTACTCTGCAATGCTGAATAAATGCATACTTTTTGTAAACTTAACAACTGTGCATTAACGCTGAACCAACAAGTACAACTGTTATTTCGTCGTACAATACAACATGCAATGTACATATGCAATGTGAAACGTGCAATGTGAAGAATATAAACAGTCCATATTTTTGACTGATTGAGGGCAATATATCTGTAATCGGTAGTTTTACTGCATTTTTCTTTTTCAACCAGCATTTTGTCTGTGAAGTACAGAGCAGGTTACTTTTGAGAAAATAACTTTGAAAAGTGTATTCACTGATGTTTTCAAAACCAAATTGGTGGCATTAAATAGTGCCCTTATGCAGTCAAATATATGATCTAATGATTACTGACATATATTTACAGGTTCTGATACCACTCACCAATGGAACCACGTGCTACAAAATGCATTGAATGATGTGAAGAGTCTATTTCCAAAATGCAATAAATGCCATATTGTTCACTTTTAGAATCCCACCCTTCCCTGGCTGCAACAGGTTTAATGAATAAGTTCCGGTAAAAGGTGAAGTATAGAAACAGCTGTCATACCAAGTTTCACATTCAGGCAGATTTGTACATGTACGAGTATGTTTTTTCCAAATGGATATATCGCGTTTTGGAAATAAACTCTTCATGTTTTCAAGTATTTTTAGGCTTTGATATTGGTTCGTATTAGCTGAATAAATGGAATTATTAGATTTTTTTATCAATATGGTTCTATGGCTGGACAATGACATTTGACATGGACAGACGATACAAAGGAAAGTTACGTTATACTTACATGCCTGCTGTGCTTACAATTTACAGAATGAAATGAATACGTGTTCTACTGGCACACTTTGGTATAATGTGTTAATTTTCTTCAAGCAATATACATGTAAAATGTATACATCATGGACCATGTTTCAAGGCGCTGCTTAACTTTTAATACAGTTCTTGCTTTTTTAATATGGATCTGTGGCTGGACAATGACATTTGACATGGACAGACGATATAAAGGAAAGTTACGTTATACTTACATGCCTGCTGTGCTTACCATTTTACAGAATGAAATGAATACTGGCACACTTTGGTACAACGTGTTAATTTTCATGTGCAATGTGTTAATTTTCTTCACGCAATATACATATGTACAATGTATACATCATGGACCATGTTTCAAGGCGCTGCTTAAAAGTTATAGTTCTTGCTTTTTTTAATATGGTTTTGTGGCTGGACAATGACATTTGCGTTGGACAGACAATACAAAGGAAAGTTACCCGGTATGTTATACTTACATGCCTGCTGTGCTTACCATTTTACAGAATGAAATGGAATATGTATGTGTACCGACTGGCACACTTTGGTACAATGTGTTAATTTACATATATGTGCAATGTGTTAATTTTCTTCATGCAATATACAATGTACAATGTACATGTATGTACTTTGTCCGTCCATGCATCATGAACCAATTTCAAGGCACTGCTCAACAGTTAGCAAAATAGTTCTGCTATACAGCAGGAAATTTTACTGACGTTATTCCTGGCATACACACATTGGTGCACACTGCACATAGAGATTCCTTTTGCTGTGTCACTGACATGACCAAAGTTTACAGTGCACTACTTTGCCCTTTGCTACGCTTACTGTTTACAGTCGATATGAACAAACAGAAGCCCTGTCTGCAGAAAATTTGTGCTGAGCAATGCCATGAAGTAAGGCCAAGCAAATGGAAAAGCGAGCAATGTGTACATTATAAGGTGACTGCTCTATGTTCCAACACCCCTATGTTCTGACACCCCTACAAAATGTATGTTCCGACAACCTGCATATAAGACTGTGTACTCCCGGCTAGGGTTAGGGTTAGGGTTAGGGTTAGGGCTAGGGTTAGGGTTAGGGTTAGGGTTAGGGTTAGGAATAGGAATATGTGCAGTCAAAACATAGGGGTGTCAGAACATAGAGGTGTAACCCATTATAAACCCTTAAGATTAGTCAACTATTAATCTTTACCACGAATGGATTACACGCTTCCTGTAACGCACTTACCGCCAACAGTACAGAGCAGAAATGCATGAAATGTGACACACATTGTACATTAACAATGCCACATTTATATTACACATGTACAGACAAGTACTACAATTTGTACCCCAAAATGTCAGAAATTTCTGTTAATGAACATCTGAAATTCGCACGTTTGATGTTCACAGTCAAAATTCATTGGAGGCTTTGAAAATTCTTCAAGCCACGATATGAACTGCAGATGTTTTGTTCTGAAGAAATTTTCAGACATTTTGGGGTTTTTACCGGTAGAGTGACGTGTTAGATGTACCGTATGTGACCATTTTCCCCAGCAATTATGCCGTGTGACATACTCTTTACCCTGCAATTTCTAAGCATGCACATGATGTATCCGTGTACATATACATGAAGTGAGGTTTTGTTACGTGAACAACCTGTGCAGTGCATCACCGCCAATGTAACCCGTGCAATGCGAGTGAAAGTGGAGGGGAGAATGGGGTGCCAGTATGTGTGGGTGCTATGTGCGGAGTATAAACAGGAATGGGATTGTAGGATAGACATGGGTCACCTGCGGAACAGTTTATCATCTGCGAGGTCCCGTCGAACGGGCAGAAGTATCCGATGCCGCAGGGATCACAAGAGTCGCTGCCGACGGTGGCGTAGGTACCGGCCATGCACTCGACGGGCGAAGCGCCCCCGGCGCAGGAGAAGCCAGCCGGGCAAGGGTCGCAGGAGGTGGCCTCGGCCAGACTGTAGTAGCCTGGGTTGCAGGCAGTCTGTGCGGTGGAGGTACAGTAGTAACCCGCAGTGCATGGCGAGCAGGATTGCTGATTTGTATTGGCTTGGTAGTAGCCCTCGGGGCACGCCGTAGGTTCGATCAGACCGTCCACGGGACAATAGAAGCCCTGTTCGCAAGGTTCGCAAGTGCTGCTTCCGTTACGGGAGTAGGTACCGGCGGTGCATTTCTGAGGCGGGTCAGTCCCGGAGCACTCGTACCCGCCATCACAAAGCAAGCATGAAGTTGCCCCGGCGTAGCTGTAGGATCCAGCATCGCAGGGTGTTTGGGTTGTGCGGGTGCAGTAGTAGCCTTGGCTGCATTGCGTGCAGGTAACAGCACCAGTGGAATTGGAGAGGAACCCTTCAGGACACTGTACTGGTTCGTAGGTTCCGGGCGTCTCGCAGTAAAAGCCAACCTCACAAGGCTCGCAGGCGCTGCTGCCGTTGTAGGAGTAGGTTCCCGGGAGGCACAGCTGTGGTGACGAAGTACCAGCGCAAGTGTGACCACCGGGACATGACAAACAACTCGTTGCTCCTGCGTTACTGTAGGTGCCGGCATCGCACGGCGTCTGGGTAGTGGATGTGCAGTAGTAACCAGCGCTGCACTGAGTGCATGCATCGGCCCCGGTAGAATTTGAGAAAGAACCTTCGGGGCACTGTGTCGGTTCAACAGTTGCAGGCGTCTCACAGTAAAAGCCAACCTCACAAGGAGTGCATACACTACTACTATTCCAGGCATACAATCCAGCCAGGCACAATTGTGGGGCTGAGGTACCAGCGCATGAATAACCGCCAGGACAGCCCAGACAGCTCGTCGCCTGGGCGTTGCTGTATGTTCCTGACCCACACGGCGTCTCCTGGGTCGCTGAGCAGCTGTATCCGGCCTGGCAGGGGTAGCACTCTGTGAGGCCCGTATCGTTGGCGAAATCCCCCAGAGCGCAGGGCAGCTGTACCCCGCTCTCATCCGCGGGACAATAATGACCCAGACCGCAAGCCTGACAAGTTGAACTTCCCAGGACAGCATACGTTCCCGCCAGACAGCGTGACGGGGCCGTGCCCCCGGCGCATTGAAAACCCTCGGGGCATTTGACGCAGATTGTGGAATTGGCCCCGCTGTACTCGCCGGGGTCGCAGGCTGTTTGACTGGTCGGGGAGCAGAAGTACCCCTCTTGGCATGGAGTACATGACGACTGGCCGTCCGTGCTCGTATAGGTACCTGTTTTTATTCGGGAGTAACTGGTTATTTTTTAAAGCCCTGTTTACGAGAATACTATTTCAAGTAATTTGAGTTATGACTTTAGATAATGATTATAATGCAGAACCAAATCTTGATTTGTTTTTCTTTGTGCCAATTTTTTCCCCAGACATTTTCTTTAACGTGGAAGGCCAAATCTTGATTGCTTGTTTCAAAGGTGGAAAAAGGACTGGACATTTCAAAGGCATTTCTAAAAAATGGAATACTATCCAATCTACTAATGCCTTGCATTTGCTATCATCAAAATAAAACTACATGTAGCTTTCCAGTACTGAAAAAAAGACTTTGTTTTTTGTCTTGTTATCTTTATCTCTGGATACTTTGACCTCAAGTTCCCACTTCAGAATTTCAGGCTTCTGAGCTCCTAAATTTAGGAGTCTCTAGCTCAATTTAATATTGCACATATTCTGCTCTAGGAACACTGAACCATATGACACCAGCAACACATTGTAGTACATGCATGCACGTGGCAAAAGTTGGGAATGTTTTCTTCTAGCTCACATATTAATAACTTCTAAGTGATCTTGGAGTTGGAGATAAAGTCATAGCCAGAGATGAACCAAGCTTTAAAAACAAGGTACATTTACAGTTGCATCCAACTAACTTGACTACGGCTAGCAGTAACACAGGTCTCTATGTGATCCAGACCCAGCCACTTCCATATGCCAATGTGTAACCACAAGCCCTAGCCAAGTTATCAGACATAGCCTTAGACTTCCCCCCTTTTTCTTCCTGTATAGCCCCTCCCTTCCTCCTTGCAAAGCAACATGCACATTACCTGTAGGGCAAGGCGTGCAGTCTGCCGCTCCAGCCAGGCTGTAGTACCCAGCGGAGCAGTTTGAGCAGGTCTGGTCCCCAGAATCGGAGTAGGTTCCCGCCAGGCAGTTATCACACCCAGTTTGGGCCGAGTCCGGAATGAAACCGCCGCTGCAACTCTGAAATTGATAAAGTCGCAGCAAAATGTGCACTTATCCTTTGTTTTCGGATCGACACTAACATGGAGTCGGTGTTCACAACTAGGACTCCATGGTATGTGAAAATTCAATGACGAAGTTTCTGAACTATGTGTTGTCTTAACATGCAAATAGTATTTACTTGAATAGAGGTACAGCTGTTTTCCCACAGTAAACTTGCGAGATTTGACCTCAGTGAGATCATGTTGTGCATCTTTCTATGGGACTGATGACATCATACGTCTCAAACTCTCACTTGAGGCAGATTTATAAAGAGATAGGCCTATTCCTGGACCCTCCAAATTCCAATGTGCAGCAAACCCAAAGCAAGTGTGTATTTTCTGAAGTGCAACTTTCAAGGCATATCCAGTCCCTTGTAATGTACACGTACATGTAATAGTTGCTGAAATCTTCCTGAAAAATCCCCCAAAACTCCTCTACCATATGTCTATACTGTATCAAGTAATGGGCCCAATTTCAATTGGACAGTCAATGTTATTATTCTGCAAATAATCAACTATCCAACATACATACATGTTTACTTGCAATGCCTCCGCAAAAATACCGGTACGGAGTCAATGAATACCATAAGCAAACATCCAAAGGATGACAACTTTTATTCCATAACGCACTTCATATTGGCTTAGCTCTGTATACCATAACATCTTGGTGATTTTGTTTGGGTTATTTATCACTCCTATCTTCATCTGGGTAAAAATTCTGTGCCTGCCTACTGAACTGATCCACCATTCCAAATTGGGCAAGAACTATTTTCGGTTGGGCCTTCATACCTTTGGTCCTTCATTCGCATTTGGGCAGTAGGAGTTAGCCGGGCAGCTGCTGCAGCTTGATTCTCCTTCCAGAGAATACTGGGGTGCTACGCATGCTGTTAACACCCCGTTTGCTGTGCAGGCAGACCCACTTGGGCACACAGTACAGGAACTGGCACTGCCCAAGCTGAAACTGCCACTGGTGCAGGGCTACCAAAAAAAAAAACACACTGTTATTTAAATTTCAATAGTTTAAACTTAGGAACTTGGGTGTTTTATGAATTTCTATCCAGAGTTCCGGTAGAAACAGGAAAGTGCAACTTCAGTATTATTGAACCTCTCACCAAAACACAGAAATTTATAGGTGCATCAACGGCAATGCCTGAAATTTGACAACCATCGTGCAAATCCCGGACACTTCAAGTCCCGAAAATGTATAAATGTGGGAAACCTTACAAGTAAAAACTGTAAAATTTCATACGAATTGGCGCCCTTTTTTTTTTTGGCAAAAATATTGCTTGAATCCACAGATGTCTCCAGAACATGAAAAAGGCAGACTCATCCAAACGTAATATTTTTCTGGTCATATTTTTTCAATTTCTAAAATTGTTTGTTGGTTCTAGTCTATAGAACTAACACAGATATGCAAGTGTTTTACATAATATGCAAAACTTCTGTCCTCTTTGTATCGAATTTGCTAATCTTGATTGTATTGAAAGAAAAAAATTGCAATGGTTAGTATTTTGCATAAAAAAATACTGTTTCGGGCTTCAAGTGTATAAACAGGAATCGGAAGGATCCAACAGTCCCAATTCAATGTTCTCTTTCTTTTATTTATAAATCTATTTTAAAATGACATTACACTTGGCATTCAAAATCTGTATTAGACATGTCAAGCATGATCTGGATTGCCATGTTAAGGGCTAGTATTTAACAGCAAGTACATGTACGTACACTATATTTACATTTTCCCAACTGCACAAAGTACAACCACAAGGAAGATACATGTATGAACTACCCCTACAGCAAACACTTGAACAGCCAATCAAAAGAGGGCTGCCAACACGTCAGTGAAACAGGGCTGCGGAATGTCTACACCCGATCACCTCAACGTGAACAAAGCAATCGTGTCAAAAATATACACAACTATATCAAATGTTGCAAGCTGATATTGGACTTTGTCGCAGTCTTGATAGGGTCCAATGCAATTGAGGACCAAGTTTCAAATGACTTTGACAGTCTAGTCTTGTACAGATCGGCATACACGTACATGTATGTTGTTGAATAATGGGCGAGTCTGAGTACAGCAGGCCTATTGTCAGTTCAGAGCTGAGACCATGAGACTACATACATGTACCTACATGTTCGATAGTGAGTTTTTGGCTATAAGCACCGTCTCTAAAAAGCTTTTTGGTTGAAATCAACTTGTTTTTGGCCAAAATTTTGAAACAGAAAAAAAAGGAAAAGTCGGTTGATACAATAAACCAGGGGAGATTAGGAAAGCTGAATATGTTTGAATAAATTGTCTAAAGGCAACCCTAAAATGCCAACTTCTTTTGTTCTATATAGAAAAAAATCTACATTCTATAATCATTTAGGTAAAAACACCCTTGTGGCAAAAGCTCAGGAATTCCAGATTTCAAAAAGATTCTTAAAAATCCTGAAATCATGAGGAAAAAAATCCTGTCAAAAACATCCACATAATCAGAAAAGAATCCTGACACAAAAATCCTGACAAATATCACCTTTTAATTTTAAATTTTACCAATGCAATTAAAAGAAATTAATAAGACAAGCATGACACATTCATGTACATGAAGGTTTGAACAATGATCCGGGTAAACATCTCAATGGGACATTCTATAAATGTGGGGTCCAAATTGAGACATGCACCTTGAAACATTTAATTTCTTATTCAAGTACAGTGTGCCATTAAGAAAGACTTCAAATCCATCTTAATTTGTTGGATAGGTAGTTTGCTACATTCATAATCACTCTTGGAGGATCACTGCTATAGAGTGCTGGAAATTATACAAAATCCTCTATGTCATATGTACAAATGTACATAGGGCTGGTAAAAAGTGGACCGAACATTTCTAGAATGAACCAAACGTATTTGGTTTAAGTTTTTTTATTTGTTCTGAAAATTAACAAGGTTATTTAGGACGCAACCATGGCAACAGACAAGTGCTTAGTGGCACCACTTTTCGACTACATCGTATAATGAGTAATGACCCCCTAAATACACAAAGTCATGTTTTAGTGCGTGACACATTTTACGGTCCCCATGAGCCCCACTCTCCACCACTGTTAATTGCAGCTGTTGATCCGAAGCTTCAAGTGAGGATTTTGGTTTGCACTTTGGACTAAAAGATGCTATTAAATATGCTTCTGTGGGTGTTTATTTAATTGATTGGATTTAAATACATGCATCGTGTGTAGCATTTGGTTCACTGGTTACATATATTTCATTAATTAAAGGGAATATACATCATTTGCTTTTGCTGTAATTTTCAGAAATGGATGGAATTGGGGGGTTGGAAATATATAGCAAATATAGTTACACTGAGTTTTTGAGGTTTTGGGTTCAAAAATGCTATAAAAACCAAGAAAAACAATCATTTTCCTGTAGTCTGGTTCCCTGGCTCCATATAAGAAGAAACAGAGCAGTTTACATACATTGGGGAATTGTAAGGTCAGGGAACCAGTCTAGCTGGCTTGTACCCGTTCAGGTAGGTGTGTAATCAATTGCAAACAAGTGCGATGGTCAATTGGGGCCAGTATTTGAAAAAAAAGCCAGTTTTTTTCCAACGCCGGTCAGCCGACCAGCGTTGGAAATTGATACAAAAATACCACTTTTCTTGAAAATGACAGTATACCAAGTGCCATGATTTTACAGGATGCTTTACACTGTCATTCACTAACAGTCCAGCAAGGTATTTCAAAATGATATGGTAGTTTTATTTTTTGATGTTTGCAAATGTTGTATTTTCCCTTTAAGAAAACAATGAAATATATATTTTGTTATACTTGTCTTTCATAATCAACATGGATACAATGTACACTGCTCAAGTGGATGAAATTGAAATTGATCTATTAAAACAATTCCAGCAATATGAATGTAAACATGTACAATGGTGTGTACATGTACAAATAATATCAAAATCTATCAAAACACAGATTTAAACACCTTCCTTCAGGAAATTTTTTATTTCTGCGTACTGATTCTGCTACTGTGCCATTTGACAACCCCGAAGATAAGGAGAAATTAAATAGCAATTTTTTTTTTTAAATACAAAATACAGATTTTACAGAAAGCATGATTTTAATTGATGGCGACAGCAATATGACTGGGTAAAAATCTCTTCGGCTGAAAAAGGGATAAAAAATTGACAGGGTGCATAAAGTATGAAAATTGTAGACAAAACTGATGACAGTTTTAGGCAAATGAGAGATTCTAGCTCAAGCCCATAACAAATTGTTTGTTAACCTACCGTGCAGTCTGAACTCGAAGACGATCCACTGTTTGGATTTTCAGTCCCACTTGAACAAGCAACGGCCGAGTTGGATCCACCTTCACAGCTGTCAAAGTTTAAACAAAACAAAAATGTGTTTCAATGCTATAAATGTGTACGGAATGATTCAACTCATTGCACCCACATTTCATGTACGCCTGCCAAATTTATACAGACTTATACATTGAACAAATGGGTTTTTTTTCACCTAAAAAAAAACGGTTTTAAAGTGAGCAAGGCTTCGCTTGAACATCACCAAAAAAAATCTCTAAATAACTGGAAAATTTTTACAAAGAAACAAAATGTGGGCTTTGACATTTCAATTTGAATTGGTACTTTAAATTGTTTCATAGTAAAAAAAAAACGTAGATGCACAAAACAAATAAATTTTTGCTTTCAAGATTGAAGACTGAAAAATGTTTCATTTCATTTCATTTCTTTTATTTGTCTCAGATCGTGGCCCGGGGGCCAAATTCCAAAAGACAATTACGTTATAAACAATTAATTCTAAAAACGATTAAAACTTGCTTAATTAATACAAAAAAATGAGTAAAATACTAGGCAGGCAATACATTTAGATTATACGTAAACAAACACCACATAACCAGGGAGACGGAAATATTCAAGAAAGAAGGGACAACATGCAGTTTGATTGTTTTGTGTTTTTAATTCTCTACACTTCATGTATAGTGATACAACAAACTTGGGGATGCTGTGTAGCATATATTCCAGGGCCTGTTTTCTCAATGAGTGAAACAAATGGATGATTGAAAAATGCCTAGACAATAGTAAAAATATTGTAGTGAGCTCTGTGATACGTTTGTAATGAATGCCTATAATAGATTTCATTTCTAGAAGTTTTTCAATTTTGTCACTTCAGAAACTCACTTGCAAAGCAAATCACAAATATTTAGTTAATGCTTTGATAGGCCTTTCAAACTGAAAAGTTATTTTGTGGGAGCTAATCTGAGTTGCATGTTGGCCTTACATATTGTACAATGTATTTGATAGAATTTAAATTGGGAAATTATGTCATGACACCTGTTCGAGATTAAACTGTACAATGTAATTTAAGATTAGCTCTGAAAACATTTAACTCAATTAAGTACAACTAATATCGGGTTTAATACTGGGGTGGGCCGTTCCACTATTTGCACACGGACAAAGGCCAACCAAATACCAGATCAATAATAGCGGGCAAACAACAATGCCCCTAATGAAGGAATGGACCCGTCCCAGTCTCTGTGTGTATCTGTTGCCCAAAGTGTTGCTAAGATATGGGACGCCCGTAGGTTTGCTGAACAAATACTGGAGCACGGAGCCAATATACTGGGGTGGGTTCAAAGCATTTCAAGACGAGTCGGTTTACACAATGCTCGGTAAACAGTTTGCGCTGCATAGGATTTCTGTACCTTGGTGGTATTGTTTAATGTTTGTTGGTATTTTTAACCCATAGGCTATCAGATTTTTACACTGTACGGTGCACATATCACACGTACAGTTGTACTGTGAACCGTACATGTATTATATACATTGTATGTTTATGTGTCAAGGGTATAACGTACCGATTCACTGTTTCAAACACAATTTAATATTTTGAAATTCTATTGATCTGATACACCGTGCCCTCTGGAGACGTCTCCAGAGGGCACGGTGTATCAGATCAATAGAATTTCAAAATATTAAATTGTGTTTGAAACAGTGAATCGGTATGTTATACACAATAGGGAACAAAAGATTGTATAAGTACGTCTCCACAGGGCAATTTTATAGATGAATACTAGCCGTCTCCACAAGATTTTCATGAAATAGATATATGGAATTTACTTAAAAACTAGGAATTTCCAAGGTGGGTTGATCTGTCGCAAATGGAAGAGTTTTAGAAAAGGGATATTAAGTCCGAATTTCAGCCAAGGAAATTAATTCTTGTTAAAATAAGAGCATTTTGAAACTTCACTTTCAAACTCGAAAACTTTACTACATGAGAACAAAGAAATGTCTCCACAAGAATACAAATTTCAGTATGTGTGTTTATGTGTCTTGGGTATAACGCACCGATTCATTGTTTCAAACACAATTTAATATTTTGAGGTTCTATTGCACACATACGTAACTCTTAACGAAAATAATCAAATGGCAAAATTGTCACTGATTAACCTGAAGTGTGTACGTGTACGGCATCACAAACAGACCACCACATAATGTAGTTGGAGCAATAAATTTGATTGTAAAGTGCTCTGCAAATTGAAGACACTGATGCAATAAACTGCAAAGCAAGCTGGCAGACTGTTGCAGGAAAAAAAATAGATTTTGGCATTTCAAAGTCAGGTTTTATCTATCTGAAGAAAAACTACATGTAGATTGGACAACTTGGCTCTGTGCAATGTAAAATTTAGTTATACAGAGTGAGTAAAAAAAAACCACCAAAAGGCAGGACCAAATTTTGAATGATTGTTTGCCATTAGCACTTTCAAAATCTATAAGTTACGCAATCAATGAGCTTTCTACAATCAATCCAATTACTCATGTACTTTGTGACTTAGCCTACATGTACAGAATTGTGAACATAAACACCATTTTCCATGTAAAGTTCTGTCCACAGATCACAAAGAGGTAAGTGTTTTTTTCAGCAATTAACAAAAACAATTCTCATAGGGATGCATAGTGAATTGTTTTTGTTAATTGCTTAAACATGTTAAAGAATGCTTATCTTTTTTTGTGATCCGTGGACAGAACTTTAAAATGGTGTTAATGATCAAAATGATGTAACTTGAAAAGCATAAAAGAAAGCTTAATGACTGGGCTTTCATATCCTATATTTTGAAAGTGCTACATTTTCCCAGTGAAATACACGATCCCTAATCCTAATGGCTCTTCAACTTATAGCTAAAAATCGACACCGGTGAAGATTAAATATGTTTCGCTTTAATAGCTTTGGGAAACGTCCACCCCTTGATTTCCCAGATGTCGACATTCTACGAATCAAACAGTTTAATAACATGGCTTTTGACAATGGGCTTTTCAAACTGTAGCCATAGCACTAACCCCAACACAAAAACAAGCGGCATTGTGTTCTTGTGTTGGGGTTTCACCCCGATATAAATGAATGCATTCAAGCATGTAACACCAGGGAGTAAGCATCAATACTTGATTTTTTTTTAAATCATCCTTATTGCAAGTTGACACGTGACGGGGCTAAATTACAGTTTTACAAGTTTTGCTATACACAGTGTACAGTATTTAGTCATGCTATGGGACAGCTACTTGACAGTGATTTAGTGCACTTTTTAGCAATCCCGCAGGGGCATGCAATTATCTTAGGGTCTTAGTCTTTTTTGTATGGTTTAATGTGTATTTTTTAAACTTAAATGTCTTTTTTTATGTCTATACTGTCTGTAATATTATTATTATTTTTGTTTTACCCATTGTAAATTTGACCTGGGAAACAATAAATGAAATGAAATGAAATTGAATTAAACTAATTTAGGCTATATTAAAATCTCATTATACCTTTGGAAAGTTTGTAGCATGGAAAAAGGAAAGTAGTCTCTCTATGACCACTAGTCTATAAGATTGTGGTTTATTGTGAGTTTGTTTCTACATTCAAAAGGGGGACATTGAAGACAACAGGGTCCCCAATTTCTGGAGAGGTCCCCAATTTGGATTCGTGTACACAACATATGGGAGGTCTTCCTAAAAAGTCAAACTACAAACAAAACTAAATCAGGCCAACTTTACTCACTTTTAGTCAGCAAATGTTTCCAAAATTTCCATTTGGCAAAGAAAAGGTGCTCGGTATTTTACCAAGTTTGCAGACTCAATTCTATTTTTAAAGGAGACCTTTCTTCCATATTTTGCACATGAGAGGGAAATCAAGTGATTTCAAAATGAGGCTAAAGATTAGACTTGTACATGTCCAACCATGGTCCAACTGTTTGAAAAGACTGACCTCTTCATTCAGTGTCAGTGTCAATGTGTAGTAAATAGAGACTACAACTTTCCCGGTTTATGCCACACGCTTCTTTTGGCACAGTTGATTGATGCAGTACTGAAGCGATGATGGACTGGTTGTTTTAGGTGCCAGTCTAATTACCTGTATTGTATGTTTTCAATACCTTAAAGCTATAGTCCATCATTTGCAGCCATCCGAAAAAGTAACTGGCGTATTATTGTTGAAAAACAAACTTGGCTGAAAGATAGTAAGTGGACTAAACTCCCTGTGAAATTAATCTTTCTGGCAAGCTATCATTTTGAAGTAATCAACGAAAGAAGGCCTTTCCAACGGTCATGACGGTGCGTCTTAAGACACATCGTAGGAAATTTAAATTAGTAGTTCGTTTTGTTATTCGGCACAGCGTGCGCAAGCATTGGCACGACGCACAGGTGCGCGCGGATGCTATAATTCGTCGGATCAGTGCTCGACACCGCGTAAAGCTGCAATTCAAAACAAATCAAAACATGATTCAGCAACTTTTGATTTGAAATTGAGATCCTAGAATGCTGTTTCTCGGAATATACAGCTGAAGCTGAGCTGAAACTCAATAAGTATAACTCTTTAGTTGATAGTTCGTGTAGTGTTTATTAGTCATCAACCAATGACAACAGCGGCTGCAAAGTAAAGGAAAAGATTACATTATGAATCATAGTTCTATAGAAACTTCATCAGATTAGTTGTTCAGTATCCTTCATTAGATTTTGAACACTTTCGTTGCTTCAAACGAACAAAATGCACAAATTACAATATGATGGACTATATCTTTAAGTTTTGGGACTCTCATACACAGTTTTGAGAGTCACAAATTTTTGGACTATTTAAAGCCTTAGTTTTTGCCTGAGTTTGCTACTCACTAATATCCAGGGTTGCACTGGGCACAAGCACTCGTTGTGCTGTCGAAGAAGTAACCAGCTGAACAGTTTGTGGCGCAGTCTGCTGTGCAGTCTATGGGACAGTCGACCATGCAGTCTGTTGGACAGTCCACTGTACAGTTGGATGCTGCGTTCACTGAGCCTTTGCACAAAGAAAAAAAATTAACATTTATGGCTTTCCTTTGAACAAATAAAGATTGACTGTCTCCGTACTGCTGGCTAGCTCTCAATGAAAATTTAGTCATTAGGCCAAAAAAAAACCAAATTATGCGTCTGATTACATGGCATAAATATATGAAGCCCGGGAAGGGACAGGGTGGAATTTTTTATTGTAATTTGCTAATTCGTTAGGGACCACGAATTGCTAGCTCATTCCCACAAATCGCCAATTCGTTCACAAGAATTACTAATTCAATCCCACGAATTGCCAATTTGTTTGCACGAATTGCTAATTCGTTCGCACGAATCGCTAAATCGTTCGCACGAATAAGTAATTCATTCCCGCAAATTTCTAATTCGTTAGCACAAATTGCTAATTCATTCGCACAAATTGCTTACTCGTTTGCACGAATTGCTATTTCGTTCACACGAATTAGTAATTCGTTCGCACGTATTACCAACTCGTTACCACGAATTACGAATGCGTTCCCCGATCCACGAGTTAGCCATTCGTTCCCACGAACATGAGGAATTAGAAAATTGTGGGAACGAAATAGCAGTGCGTGCGAACGATTTAGCAATTCGTGGGAAGGAATTAGCAATTCGTTCGAACGAGTTAGCAATTCGTGGGAACGAATTAGCAAATTACAACAACAAAAAACCCACCCTGTCCCTTTCCGGGCTTCATACATATGAAATTGGGTATGTATACATTGTAGGCAGGGGATTTATTAATTTTTAAATTGTTTTTGGCCTTTGTTTTGTGTACGATCATTACAACTGCATGTACCAGTATTAAAGGATAAAAAGTAGAAATTGATGGTTTGGGGTGTTTTTTTCTCATTTTCCAATAAAAAAAAGGTAGGGATGCAAGAATAGAATTTTGTATTTATTATCTACTGTGCTCGTTTAATATTGAATAGATTTTTGGATTCAATTTATCATTTATAACAAGTTGATGAAACTGAACGTTGCCACGCAGTGAGTGCATTAGTACACGTATGACGTACACAAATAATCTCAAAATGTTTACAAATTTGTGTTTTTTATCTCCATCTATTTCCTCTTCTCAATTATGTTACAATTAGGCTGAGGATGCATTTGGTCCGGAAATTACTCTTTTTTTTTAAATAAAAAACGAGGAAAATAGGGAGGGGTTTGCAGTCCTTCTGATTTGAAAATACAGGCGAGTGAAAGATTTTTTCAAGGGGTGTGATTTTTCAAGATGTGTGATTCTGTGGTCCAAACAGGGACTAAACAATCTGGTAGTTTTTTTATTGCATTCAACTTTGTTTACAGTAAAGCCATTTCAAGCACGCGCCGAAGTATGATTATGGCATAATGTACAGTCCTTCTGATTTGAGGTGTGCGATCACACCCCCACACCATGCACCGCGAATAATTGCACACCTGAATCCCTCTTTACAGCACACCTTGGCATACATTTACAGCATAATTATGCTTCATAATTAGTGGGGAAAAAGTATGTCAGTGAAGAGAAAATGGCTTTACTGTTAACCTAGATGAATAGGCCTACATGTATGGGGGGGGGGGCGATTTGCCAGCTAGAAATCCATGCCATCATGATGTGTAGCAAGGATTTTAAGGAACATACCGGTACATGTATGACAAAAGAAAGGCTACTGCTAGTTCAAGCCCCCATTGCCACCTTCAATTATTTTTCCTGCTAAATTTCTAAACTCCCAACAACCATTAGGTATTCAATAACACTGAAAACTTGAGACAAAGTTCATCTTAAAATGCGCCGCTCTTAATGTTATGTAACTGCGGATATATACATAAAGTCATAAAGGTGTACAGGACTTCATCTGTATCATGAGCAGCGCCCCCAGTGTAATTTGGTGACCAGCCAACAACCCTCCCCCCTTTCGAATTTCCACGGCCGGGCAATTTTTGGATTTTGGTCACTCCCCACCCCCCACCCCCCCCCCCCCCCCCCCCCCACTTGCCGGCACAGATTTACGTCACTGCTCAAGTCTAATGACACATTTGTTTTGTAATTTTGAGCAGTTTCTTGGGATACAAATTACGAAATTACAATTTCATGAGCTGTTTACGGTTGGTGCTGTGCAATTGAACAGCCCTGCATGTGTTTGTCCACAAACATATATCTAGTTTTGTAATTTTGAACAGCTTCTTGGGATAGGCTACAAATTACAAAATTACGATTTCATGAGTGGTTTACTGTTGGTGCCGTGCAACTGAGCGCACGTCACGGTAGGCCTAGCCTAAATTGCATTGCCATTTTTTCGCTTTGGTTGTTGCGCTTTTTCGTGGTTGTCATTTTAATTTTTATCCCCAAATTTCCTCAACAAAAAAAAATCTATCTATGACACACCTGCATGAATCATCTTGATGTTTCCAATTACCATGACTACTGAACTAGTTTTTGTAGCTTAACACTAACAAAATTTAAAAAACATGCCTATCATTGTTTTGTTTTTAATCAAACTAAATTTAACAAAATTTGTTTCCCTTGGCCTTGGCCTTAAAAAAAGAACCGAGTCCGAAACTACATTGTAGCCTACACGATCACCCTGGGCTGGGGATACACCCCCCCCCCCCTTGCAGGTTTTATACGGCTTCGAAGTACCGTACCGTGGTACGACGAGAACGTCAACAACGCCAGTTATGTGCGGCCAGCGGGAACTGGAGTACGCGTCTGCCGGTGAACCTCGCGATTTCACGGCAGACCGATTCCACCGGTTACGCTCACTCGCGCGATAGAATACTCACCTGTTGCAAAACTCAGCAGGAAAAACGCCACGAATATCCACCTCGGCGACGCCCAGACTTCTGTGTATATTCCCATTGAGGCGGACGGGCTCCTTCTGGGTGTCATTTTCCACATTTCTCACTCCCTTGCACTCAAGAAGGCAAAATTCCCTTCGGAAATTTCCGACCGAAAGTTGTTAAAAAGTTGTCACCGGTCCGCCATTTTGTGTGCACCTGCGAGTTCGTTGAATTTCGTCTGCCACTTCGTTACTTATAATTGTCGGAGCACTTGTTCAACCTGCAGAGCCAAATAAATTTTTCCGGTATGCTTAAAACTTTCACTCCGGCGTCAATTTCCTCTAACTTTTCATATTTCTGTAAAACATGTCAGCATTCTCGTAAAACTTAAACAATTTTTCACGGGCCCTTTCCTGTTGAAGGGTGCAATGTGTGCTTAACTTGATTGAATGCGTATTATCATAATGACGTCAAAGCGTTCGATTGCCAAGCGACAATCCCGGATTTGGCCACTACAAATTGTATCATTTGTTACTCGCTTCCCTCGTATTCAAATTCAAATATGGATTTTATACCTTTTTAACGTATACAATGTTTTCAATACAATTGCATAGTGTTTGGTTTTTTAGTACAGTATTGGCATTAAACAAATCAAAGCAGAAATAGGGTCAAGCTTTCTCCCAAATCTCGTATTGAAGATGTCAGCGGTTAAACAAGACTTTGGGTTCGTTTGGCCAGGTTACATCACGCACTACATGACGGGCCCAAAATTCACAAATTTGTGCCGCCCAAGGTGGCAAAATCTAGTTGCTATTTTTCGAGTGCTACACATCTCTAGTTTATATATTTTGATATTATAGCTTTTTCAATGTGTATGAAAAATATCATCAGGTTGATTAATAAGAGAAAGAGTTTGCAGGTGAGTTCCAAGGAGCTCACATCGCCGCGTGGCGCGTGAATTCGATACCAAAGAAAAGTACTCTCAACCAAAAAAGAAGTCCCCCATAATACTTTTTTTTGTCCGACTCAAAAGCTACTGGGGACATCTTGCTCAAATTATGACTGTTCTGTACAGAAATTCCTTAGAACTCCAGCCATACTCTTTGTTTAGCCCAAAACACTGATAATGTGTGCAATAATGCAATTTATCACAATGCAGCGTGTTTATCTTGAGTTTTTGTGCATACATATATAACTCTTTTTACATCACGCCGGCCGTATGGACAAAAGTCGGCACGCCTGCAGCGCGCCCTCTTTTGGAAGAAATCAATGCATGACCATAATGACAGACAGAGTGTCCTTATCACTGCAATTTCCTTAAATTGTATATCATATATTCTTTGGCGGTTCCTGTCAGTTTTCAAGATTTTTGTGTCAAATATCCTGGCAAAATATTAGAGGAAATTTCATTTCAAAGCAATTTGCTTATCTTGAGTTTTCGTGCATACAATAACTGTGTTTGACTAAGCACAATTTCACACTTTTTAGTGGTTTTGAAATTAACTATGAAGGTTCAATTGACCCAAAAAGTAATACAATTTTAAAATCTAAAATTCCCACGCGGGATTTGAACCCTCAACCTTCAGATTTAGAGACAGCAGCCCATACCATATTGGACTAAGCGTAATTTCACACTTCTTTGAGGCTACGAAATTAACTATAAAGTTCCAATTTACCCCAAAAGAAATAACATTTTTAAATCTAAAATTCCCACCCTGGGTTTGAACCCACAACCTTCAGATCTAGAGTCAGCAGTCTGTACCATTAGACTAAGCATAATTTCACACATTTTAGAGGTTACGAAATTAACTATAAAGTTTCAATTTACCCAAAAAGAAATAAATTTTAAAATGTAAAATTCCCAACCTGGATTTGAACCCTCAGCCTTCAGATTTAGAGTCAGCAGTCCGTACCATTGGACTAAGCATAATTTCACGCTGTTTAGTGGTTGCAAAATGAACTATAAAGTTTCAATTTGCCCCAAAAGAAATAAAAATTTTAAAATATAAAATTCCCACCATGGATTTGAACCCGCAACCTTCAGATTTAGAATCAGCACTCCGTACCATTGGACTAAGCATAATTTCACACTTTTTAGTGGTTACGAAATTAACTATAAAGTTTCAATTTACCAAAAAAGAAGTAAAATGCTAAAATCAAAAATTCCCACCCTGGATTTGAACCCTCAACCTTCAGATTTAGAGTCAGCAGTGCGTACCTTTGGACTAAGCATAATTTCACATTTTTGAGTGGTTACGAAATTAACTATAAAATTTCAATTTAGCCAAAAAGAAATAAAATTTTTAAAAGTAAAATTCCCACCCTGGATTTGAAACCGCAACCTTCAGATTTAGAGTCAGCAGTCCGTACCATTGGACTAAGCATAATTTCACACTTTTTAGCTGTTACAAAATTAACTATAAAGTTTCAATTTACCCCCCCAAAAAATAAAAAAAATTTAAATCTAAAATTCCCACCCTGGATTTGAACCTGCAACCTTCAGATTTAGAGTCAGCAGCCCATACCATTGGACTAAGCATAATTTCACACTTTTTAGTGGTTACCAAATTAACTATAAAGTTTCAATTTACCCTAAAAGAAATAAAATTTTAAAATGTAAAATTCCCACACTGGATTTGAACCCAGAACCTTCAGATCTAGAGTCAGCAGTCCATACCATTGGACCAAGCATAATTTTACTTTTTAGAGGTTACGAAATTAACTATAAAGTTTAAATTTACCCAAAAAGAAATAAAATTTTTAAATGTAAAATTCCCACCCTGGATTTGAACCCTCAACCTTCAGATTTAGAGACAGCAGCCCATACCATATTGGACTAAGCGTAATTTCACACTTCTTTGAGGCTACGAAATTAACTATAAAGTTCCAATTTACCCCAAAAGAAATAACATTTTTAAATCTAAAATTCCCACCCTGGGTTTGAACCCACAACCTTCAGATCTAGAGTCAGCAGTCTGTACCATTAGACTAAGCATAATTTCACACATTTTAGAGGTTACGAAATTAACTATAAAGTTTCAATTTACCCAAAAAGAAATAAATTTTAAAATGTAAAATTCCCAACCTGGATTTGAACCCTCAGCCTTCAGATTTAGAGTCAGCAGTCCGTACCATTGGACTAAGCATAATTTCACGCTGTTTAGTGGTTGCAAAATGAACTATAAAGTTTAAATTTGCCCCAAAAGAAATAAAATTTTTAAAATATAAAATTCCCACCATGGATTTGAACCCGCAACCTTCAGATTTAGAATCAGCACTCCGTACCATTGGACTAAGCATAATTTCACACTTTTTAGTGGTTACGAAATTAACTATAAAGTTTCAATTTACCAAAAAAGAAGTAAAATGCTAAAATCAAAAATTCCCACCCTGGATTTGAACCCTCAACCTTCAGATTTAGAGTCAGCAGTGCGTACCTTTGGACTAAGCATAATTTCACATTTTTGAGTGGTTACGAAATTAACTATAAAATTTCAATTTAGCCAAAAAGAAATAAAATTTTTAAAAGTAAAATTCCCACCCTGGATTTGAAACCGCAACCTTCAGATTTAGAGTCAGCAGTCCGTACCATAGGACTAAGCATAATTTCACACTTTTTAGTGGTTACCAAATTAACTATAAAGTTTCAATTTACCCTAAAAGAAATAAAATTTTAAAATGTAAAATTCCCACCCTGGATTTGAACCCAGAACCTTCAGATCTAGAGTCAGCAGTCCATACCATTGGACCAAGCATAATTTTACTTTTTAGAGGTTACGAAATTAACTATAAAGTTTCAATTTACCCAAAAAGAAATAAAATTTTAAAATCTAAAATTCCAACCCCGGATTTGAACCTGCAACCTTCAGATTTAGAGTCAGCAGTCCGTACCATTGGACTAAGCATAATTTCACACTTTTTAGTGATTACGAAATTAACTATAACATTTCAATTTAGCCAAAAAGAAATAAAATTTTAAAATTAAAATTTCCACCCTGGATTTGAACCAGCAACCTTCAGATTTAGGATCAGCAGTCCATTCCATTGGACTAAGCATAATTTCACACTTTTTAGTGGTTACGAAATTAACTATAAAGTTTCAATTTACCCCCCAAAAGAAATCAAATGCTAAAATCTAAAATTCCCACCCTGGATTTGAACCCCCAACCTTCAGATTTAGAGTCAGCAGTCCATACCATTGGACTAAGCATAATTTCACACTTTTTAGTGGTTACGAAATTAACTATAAAGTTTCAATTTACCCAAAAAGAAATACAATTTTAAAATCTAAAATTCCCAGAACCTTCAGATTTAGAGTCAGCAGTCCGTACCATTGGACTAAGCATAATTTCACACTTTTTTAGTGGTTACGAAATTAACTATAAAGTTTCAATTTACCCAAAAAGAAATAAAATTTTAAAATCTAAAATTCCCACCCCGGATTTGAACCTGCAACCTTCAGATTTGGAGTCAGCAGTCCGTACCATTGGACTAAGCATAATTTCACACTTTTTAGTGGTTACGAAATTAACTATAAAGTTTCAATTTACCAAAAAAGAAATAAAATTTTAAAATCTAAAATTCCCACCCCGGATTTGAACCCGCAACCTTCAGATTTAGAATCAGCACTCCGTACCATTGGACGAAGCATAATTTCACACTTTTTAGTGGTTACGAAATTAACTATAAAGCTTCAATTTACCAAAAAAGAAGTAAAATGCTAAAATCAAAAATTCCCACCCTGGATTTGAACCCTCAACCTTCAGATTTAGAGTCAGCAGTGCATACCATTGGACTAAGCATAATTTCACACATTTTAGTGGTTACGAAATTAACTATAAAGTTTCAATTTACCAAAAAAGAAATAAAATTTTAAAATCTAAAATTCCCACCCTGGATTTGAACCTGCCACCTTCAGATTTAGAGTCAGCAGCCCATACCATTGGACTAAGCATAATTTCACACTTTTTAGTGGTTACCAAATTAACTATAAAGTTTCAATTTACCCAAAAAGAAATAAAATTTTAAAATGTAAAATTCCCACCATGGATTTGAACCCGCAACCTTCAGATTGACAGTCAGCAGTCCATACCAAATGAAGTTCACACTGTTTAGTGGTTACGAAATTAACTATAAAGTTTCAATTTACCCAAAAAGAAAAAAATTTTAAGGGTTCAAATCCAGGGTGGGAATTTTTGATTTTAGCATTTTACTTCTTTTTTGGTAAATTGAAACTTTATAGTTAATTTCGTAACCACTAAAAAGTGTGAAATTATGCTTAGTCCAATGGTACGGAGTGCTGATTCTAAATCTGAAGGTTGCGGGTTCAAATCCATGGTGGGAATTTTATATTTTAAAATTTTTATTTCTTTTGGGGCAAATTGAAACTTTATAGTTCATTTTGCAACCACTAAACAGCGTGAAATTATGCTTAGTCCAATGGTACGGACTGCTGACTCTAAATCT